GGTTTCAAAGTGTAGTTAGTTGTCAACTTGCGTGATTCGATCTTCAATATCCTCTTTTCAATTCGACTTGAACTAAGGCACGGTTCCCCACCTGAACGAGTTGGAATAGAGAGATCTGTTCCTGGATGTGGGGGGGAAATCGTGGATCTAGAGATGCGGTTGTCCATCATCCCGGGGTGGTTCTTTTTCTGCGTTTGATACCACAACGCTGAAGACGTCGGGATCTGAATATAGCTTCAGATATTACCAGTTATGGTACCGGCTGCTGGCTTAGTAAACGGTTTCGGCTGGGCCGGTGCATGCTTTAACCTTGGTTGGAAAGCGCCCAAATGCCAAGGCAGGGTATAGCTGATATAGTGGGTAAAATTTGATATTTGAATATCTACACTTGATCGTTGTGTCTCCAAAATCACAGCATTCTCCCAACATCTGGATATTTCTTTGATTGGCCAGGGAGGTAGGACAACTGGGTAACTGGTATGGCCGGTATGATGTGTGTATTTCCATCATGGATAGACGCTACCAAGTGCTGCAGTGTGCGATATCACAGACTGCGGGGAAACAATTTCGATGGTTCTGGGCTTAACGTTCCAGTTATCTGGTATAGGATAGGAAGATTTGAGGTTGGGTCTTACAACATCATCCATATTTCGGGTTATGACCAGTGACCGTCAGGCCTAGTAGCACGCATTGCATTGCAGGCTACCGGCATACTGACAACCATGGGTGATTTCCGTTTCAGATGGACAGAGACATCCTTTCTAGAACCACTGATTAAATAAAGCACCAAGCATATCCCGAAGCAGCACTGACACCGGGAGATTTTCCTCTAATTTCCGTCTTCTGCATGCATGTTTGGAATGAAGCACGACGTAGACTGATCGCCCACCAAGTAGTCGCGTTGGGGATGCGCCCGTCACTATGCCACCAGGCGCAGCGATCACTTTGGGGAACGCTTCTTGTGATCTGCTTGCTGTACTCTCCCGCGTAATAATTCTCACCCCCAATGCCATTCAATCACAAGGACTATACCAGCAATTAGAATATGGTTGATATAGGTGGTACATTCGGATTGTAACTATTTGACTAGGCGGCCGTTGGGTACGAGGTATGCAGGCATCTTGGTGGGACAGTCTTCAACCGCGGAGAAATTCAGGCCACCTGCAGTTGATCCTCGGAATTTGTGCGAAATGATCTGCATCTACCACAGTCAAGGTATCCACATTAGATATACTCATTTACGGAGTACTCCGTACCTGCTTGCATTGTAAACACCATGGGTATTATTCTTTTTGAAATGACAACCCAACGGCCTGGGACAGTCAAACGCAGGCGCAGGTGGCTTGGGATATGATAAGAAATCGGAGCTGTCAAATTTCCTCCTGTACCAGCGGATGCATGTTTGTTTGTCTTCCTATTTTCCCTGCCGCACATTTGGGGTTGAATGGGCCGCAGGGTTGGGATGAATGATCGCCTTTGCAGAACTTATGCAATGTAAAAAGCATAGTTAAAGCAGGATAAGCTTTCCCACTCAGGACTGAACCCTGACATGTAGGTGCTCCGTCTATGTACGGTTCTGTTGGATATGATCTGCCCGTCTCATGTGCGCTTTTCCCTAGAAGGAAGTGGTTCATATTTGCATCTACGCTCATGCAATGGTAATCAGTGTGCCTCTGTCAAACGCATGATGAGTTGGTCTAGTTCCAGATACTAGTTGTTTGCTCTCCAGTCAATATATCGAAATCCGCCACGGGATGAAAATGACTTCAACTGCTGCTTCCCATACATCACAGCCCCCAAGTCCAGGGTCCGTAGTAGTGGTTTATGGAACCAGATCGTGCGCTCTTGAAAGTGACACTATATTCGAGTCAGTCTTATTCCAAGGCATAAGGCAAATGCTGCGAGGCTGGCTCTAGGCAGTGACACCAATCGCGGACGGGTTGTGGAATCCTGCTCAAGGACTACCCAGTCTGGCTAGCAACAAAACGGCTTAGATGATTGGAAAACAGCTATGGCATCCCGTACCCTCCGATAGAGCCCAGCCATTGAGGCGAAAGCCATCGTGGCCTGCTGGTCCTGTTAACGCGTTTGATGGGCCGCGTATATTCTAAACACGACTTGATAGTTTCTCCATTCCGAAGGATCCCAGCAAACCTGACAGGCTGGAAGCAGAGTGACGAGGGCTTGACAACCCTAGTGATAGCTGGATAGTAATATGGGCTCGCGATTTGGTCGGACTGGGCACCCTAGCCAACGCGAATGTTGTTTTGCGACTCGATAGTTGCAGGATGTCTGGAAGTTTTTGATATCACATGGTGGGCATCAACATCGCGGAGCTTTGTAAGCAGTCGAGAAAAGACAACCTCAGCTTCTCCTATCCATGAGGAGCTTTTTGTACGAATTACAGCCATCTCGAGCGGTCGAGCCCAGAATAACTCGTGGCTACTGAACTCGTGAGTTGTACAGAATGCACGAATGATCCGCCTGTCGACATTCCCTACACCGTCGCACGAGAATGTTCTAATAACATGGCGAACATGACGTAGGGAACAGGCATCCTGGATAGCGACAGTGTCTCTACAATGCTGCTTGGCCTATCTACGAAAATTGGATATGCGTTGGAGCATAGAGGACAGCGTGTTACCGTATGACAATTGTTCTCGTCGTGTCCCGTTCCTCGACAACTCGACCTGAAACGTGGACTTCATGTGTATGCTGCTACGGTATACGGAGGTTTGAGAGCCTGATTCTCATCCTGGAAGCCTGGATATATATGACTTCCATATACCCTTTATTCGGACAGGCTCATGGACCCGAATATATATCTATATGTTCGTCTACATGGGGGTTTCCGACCAACTTTGGTTGGACACGAAAGATGAGATACTATAGGGAAGGATTATTCGCTGTTAATCCGTGTCCTGGAGCCTGTGCCATTCTCTATCAGGATAGCTGATGCTATGCCGTCTCCCCGCGGATAGTGTATGGCGTTGATCTCACAACCAAAAACGGGAATGCGGCTGTTGCCTTACTATCATCCGCAATTGCTTAGACGGCCGCCATACAGCCAGACGCTGTGGCATAATGTCCCGGTGTATGTCGGCCTCACAGATAAGGATAGCTTCTTTTGCATTATGCTGCTCAACCTGACGTTGCTATGCTGCGTGATTGAGTAATGTTGTCCCTGTTTCCAACCTTCTCTACGGAGCCACCGTGGGCGTATTCGGACGCCCCGGAAGGAAGACCGTCGTCATTCCCCCTTAGACCGATACAGACGCCTCGAGTCTTACCTGGCATGCAGAGCCATTTTCAAGACAACCGACGGAACGTCACCTGGGTGCGCGCTTAAGACAGATTTGAGAATGTGGCGAAACCTTCGTCTTGTGTGGATATTATGTTACATGGTTATGATTCGGTCATGGATGGATATCATCTGTTCCGCTATCTCGCCCTCGGGCCCTTCCTGTGCGTCGCTACTTGTGTTTTCGCTGTATGGACGGTGTATTCGTTTTATCCCGCGACCGAGACGCGATCGTTGTACGTCCATAAGACTTGCGAGGTCGCCAACTGTGTAATCAACTTATACATATACTAGACCTGATATCGCTCATCGCCTCGTCTCGCTTTTCCTGTTTAATCTTGAGTATAAAATAGCTTCGCGCTTCTCTTCTCCCTCAGCCTGAACGCACGGGGCACTGGCCCGGCGAGATATCTTCTTTTTATTGCGCCTTTTCTTACGCTTTATTTTCTTTTTCTTGTTTTTTGCTTCTGCGCGGAGAGGGCGTGCGATAGCGGGAGTGCCCACTTGACAGGATGGTTCGATAATTGGGGGATGATCTTGTCCATGGCTTTCGTCCAATCTGGTCTCTTCATCATCCAACTAGCAAACTTGATGCTGGGATAGTGGCAATTCTATGCGTGGCAGGATAAAATATGTCCCCGAATGATATTTCTTTTCGTGAATAATAATGTAATAGCATTGTGTAAAAGCATGGTACATTTAATTATTGAATTTTGACCAGTGTACGGGGTACGGAGTATGCGAGAGATATTTCTCAGGACCCATGCGGCTTTAATGCGTATAGTTGGGAGATAGTTAGCCGAATTAACAATGCTGTTGTTTCTTCTTGCATCTCCATCGTTTTTTCCTCAGACACGGAGTACTCTGTTGTCGGTTGCCCTGTCCATAGCCCTAGTCCCCGTTGGCGTTTTGAGGCTTTTTCTTATCGAATCCCCAAGCCAATCAATAAACGGTCACGGAATATGAACTGTCTCTAATCAATTAAGCACATGCCATTACGGGATAATGAGCTTCTTCCGCTTGATTTAAACTATTAAATTCGGCTAACTAATAATTCATGGTCTATGCGGGTGAAAAGGAAGTTCCTGACTATCTACGGGAGATGACCATCTATGGAAGCAACAAACGTCAAAGAGCACTTTAATATATTGAATTTCGGTTCGGAGCATGGAGTACAGAGTATATTGAAGCCAGAACACATACAGGACCCCTGTTTATCTAAACCTAACCCGGGACATGACTGTGAGGCATGCAGGTTGGTGGAATAAGCTCTCAAAAGTATATATAGACCCAGGAAAGAAACTGGAAAAGTATGGTGTATGCGTAGAAACCATAATTATATGCTATTGATACATAGATGACATGCGTGACTTATCATATACTAGGATTAGCACCAAATGAAAAAAAGGGGGGCTGCCGGAAAGACAAACAGCAGCACAAAGTGTAGAAGGATGAGGGACTGATGATATATGTAGCCAACTTTTCATAGTTCGCCAAATGGTAATACAGTAATACAAAGCGGGCAGAAGAATAAAAGGGGTTGGAAAGTTCCAAGTAGAGCCCTGGCCCAGTCGGGATGTCAGGAAACGAAAGTTGCTGTAGTAGAATATTCATATAACCTGATATTTCCCTCCAAGTTTATTAAAAATGCAACATGCGATGCTGGGTAACTAATGAAATGTATCCGGTTCATGCTCTATCAGCCAGCCTTGCTGGGGGAGTATTGGTTATGGGCCTCTCGTTGCCGCTGTTCAAATGATGTTGGATGCGTAGATAGGGGGCTAGTGTAGTTCATGGCTCCGAATGGGTGCTGTTGTGCCACACCGTTATTTGTATGTACTGGCTCTGGAGCCATATTTTTCACTGGAGCAGGAATGGGAGTATCGGGTGATGCTCTGCCCATAAGCTTTGGGCTAGGTTGGAGTCTCTGTATTGGCGGGACGACGGACTGGACTCCTACTTCATTGAACGAGGCAGGGCGAGCAGGTGAGTGCTTTGTAGGACTAAGACCCGACATTGGGATTCCTGGGGAGTATCGGTTGGAGGGAGGCGTTTGCCCAAATGAAGCTTGGGGGTTGGTCATGGAGGAGGAGAAAGAGGTGGATGGGGATTGACTTGAAGGGTGGTGATGTTGTGGCTGTTGTTGGAATGGATAGGGCGAGAAACCTGCGTGGTTACGTTGATATGGGGTTCCTGGGTATGTGCCATTTGTCCCAGGCGAAGGCGCAGCTGTAGGTGCCGGGACGGGCGCCGGTGGGAATCCAGCTAGAGGACCAACGTCTCCGTTGCCCTGTGTTGGTGACATGGATGGCCGGTTTTGAACTGGAGATGGAAAGCTGCTTGGAATGGAGCCAGACGATGTAGGACGTTGGCTACCAAAGGATGACACCATGTTTCTAGGAATTGATGCCTGGGGTAATGGGTGAACGGGTGCAGGTTGTCGCGCATAAGGCATAGCTGGTCCTGGTTGATGGCCTTGTTGGGCTTGTTGATGAGCATGTTGATGAGCTTGTTGATGCGCTTGTTGGGCTTGGTAGTGGGCTGGTTGATGTGCTTGTTGGGCTTGTTGATGAGCCTGTTGATGGTCTTGTTGATGGACCTGTTGGTGGCCTTGATGATGGACCTGTTGGTGGCCTCGATGGTGAGCTGGTTGATGGCCTTGATGGTGGGCTGGTTGATAGACCTGTTGGTGGCCTTGATGGTGGCCTTGATGGTGGCCTGGTTGATGGACAGGGTGATATACCGGCTGCTGAGGCACGCCATTTTTAACAAACATAGGATGAGATGCAACGGGAGGATTTGGAGCGAAGAGGCGTGGTTCCATAGGCGCTGGCCGGAATTGCTGGGTCGGAGAAACACTGTGGTTATTGGCAGGTTGATTCTTGACAGCAGCCTGTACATTGTCAGGTTGACTCCCTTTCTTCGAAGGCGGTGATGCTGAAGATGTGATGCGGAATTTCAACGGTGGAATCTTGGGCCGTTTTGCTTCTTCAATGCGCCGCTTGCAGTCTGCACATATGAAATGGAAGTCATCCTTTTCTGCCTCTGACTGAGATATACCAAGGCACTTGCTATGCTGCCAGACATTGCATTTGTCGCATGCAACGCTATGAGAGCCGTCATCCTGGGAGAAAGGTGCGTTAGTATTATATTCTCTGCCAAAAAAAGGGGTATCCGTACCAAGTTCTCTCCGTGAACACCACAGCCAGAACAATCGAAGGTCCAGTCTTCTGTCTCGAGCTGTTCAAGGCCCTTCTGGCGTCTTTCCATCTCGGTCTTGAAATTCCGTCGAGATATTCTAGCTTCTCCCTCCTCTGCTAGCTTAGCTTTTTCAGTCATGCGAACTAGTTCTTCCTCATGCTGTCTTCTCTTTTCCTCGCGGTCCTTCAGACGTTGCTCGCGCGTCATCAAGCGATACTGGCGCTCCTTCTCGATATTCTCAGCCCTTTCTTTCGCCTTTTGCTCTGCAATTCGCTCCGCTTCAAGTCTTTTGGCTTCCTCGGCTGCTTGCGCTTCCTGACGTTCTCTGTCTTGTTTGCCCGCAATTCTGCTGGATCTCTTTGCGGTAGCTAGCTTTTCTAGGTTTATCAACTCTTTCTCTCTGCGGAGGGCCTTCTTTTGCTGTAACTCTTCTACTTTCTCGATGACTGGTAACACTTCCTCAATGAGACGGTCTCGGAGGGCCTGTTCGTTTAGGTCTTTTGACTTCTTCAGCGATTCGATAAAGGTATTGTAGTCATTTATGGAGATGGCGACACACTCCCACTCGTAGTCTCGGGAGCCATTTGATGTCGACTGCGCGGCATCGGCGTCATCGTTTTGATCGTCGGTGTCGTCTTGGACCTCAGCGACCTTTCTCCTTTTCGATGAGCGGGCGCCAGCTCGTCCTCTCCTGGTGTTCACCTTTCGTTTTACGGGCCGTTCCGATGGGATTCGAGGTTCTATGCGGCGATAGAGACGGTTGTCGTCGAGGACATAATATTGGTGATCATCACGGTCGTAGCCAAGTTCGTTAATTCTCTATTTGTTCAAGTTAGCCGGTGTCAGTTATGCAAGACCGTTCAACGTCAGTTTACGGCTGTTGGCATACCCATTGTATCTGATCCGATTCTTTCTGTTCCTCCATCCGCTCTCGAAACCGGTCTGGATTCCACAGGGTCCATGCCGACAATTGCTGCAAGACACGTATTCTCTGGAAGATATCCAACTGGTGAAACTTCAACGGGGTTTCCTCATCCCCAAACGGGTTACGGAGAGGCGCTTTCGCGAGGTACTGACGCCGTGTGTACTCTTCGAAGTTGTCATAGCTGAAGGAGAGAGAAAAAGGTTAAATATACCGACTAGAATAGTGATCGTGGGGACGGAAGAGGCGTACTTTAAGCCGCGATGGGAAGAGACGAATTTTAGAAGATTTAGGCCGATGTTAAGTAGCCTCTCTGAGTGTCCCGGTTTGAGACATTCGGTCTCGAGATCCTATGGAGCAGGTTTGATTAATATATTGGACTTCACAGCGGGATATAAAAAAAGCGCGTCACGGCGATGGCAAAAAAAGCTCTGCAGACGGGAAAAAATATAACAGAATTACACTATCTCTCCTACTCCGTACAGCACGCTACGCGAAGACATACCTCTATATCGATGTCATCGTCGAGCTTCATGGGCTTGCCAAAGGTGTATATGTATTGCATGAGATTTGGGAACTCCCACATATTGCGCAGCTTGTGGAGGAGGCCATGTTCCTGCGCGGGTTCTGCAGCGCTGTCCGTCTCCGTCTCCTCCCTGGCACGCTTACGCGACACCATGTTGGGTTGTCGATGCTGTGTCGGGCCTGTCGAGCGAGTCGCGATGGGATGCGATGTGATAGGGAGGTCGAGCTCGGGGGTAGCTAACCGCTGGAAACGAGCGAACGGCAGGGTAACGTAACGCAGGAGATACCGGGAGGGTGTCCGCGTCTGAACAGGAGAGAAGACTTGTCAGGGAGAATAAGATGCGTTGGTCGAGACGTGAAGCCGGGGTGGAATTTTATGATGCTTGCCCAAGTTAACTCCCAAGCCACCGGAGCCGATCTCGATGCGGACCGAGAGAAGCAAGAGACACGCTTTGCCTCGCGTTAGGCACGTGATATACACATATACAAGATCCATGGATATAGATATAGATATAGATAGATATAGCTAGATATAAGGAGTAGATAGATAGATATAGTGCATGATTCTCCCATTCATAGTATTCCAGTAAGACGTGCCATGATAGAGACAGCGTATCCAGCCGAACGGATGAAGCAACAGGGAAATAAATAATACATGAGTACCCGACTTTTGTTCTTGGTGACGAGACGGGTTAAATTAGAGGGCAATGAAATCAAGTACGAAGGGTGATGCTCTTCTAATCCATGGTATCGTGAAAACAACATAAAAAGGAAAGCAGTAGCATAAAAAAGGGTGACAAAAACATTTCCTGACCTCCCTCCCCCCCCTCCGTTAAGTAGAACACGCGTAAAACGAAAACAAGGTCAAGCAGAGATGCAGATATACCCATTGAATGATCGCCTCACACCGAAGTCCCCCTTTCCTCAACACGCACGCGCCAAAGACCAGACAAGAAAAATACAGATGTAGAACTGATGTGGGCCCTAGGATGAGATCCAGAAATATGGCAAGAAATGGTGGAACGAAACGGAACAGGAACAGGAACGGGAGAAAGGGTGATATGTAGGTGGCCAGAGGCAAATAATATAAAACATTGACAAGAAGCCGGGCGGAAAGGTATTTTATGGTGGACGCTGGGGACGAAAATAAACCGATTCAAAGTAGTACCTACTAACCTTTTTCTTCCCTTCCTTTTTTAAAAAACATAAAGACTCGAAAATCAGGATATGATTACTGTCTAACGAGGACACTGTTTTCGATGTATATCCCATGTTAAGATCTTCATTTCTCTGTAAGTTGGAGTTGGATCACATTCCAGGGCCGGCATTCGTGCCGTCGACGACGTTGTCAGAGAGGTTGATGAGGAGCTGTGCAAGGCATCGTTTTGTCGCCGCATCGTCGCGGAGGACAGACGAGAATGTGGCGTCGCGGAGTGGTTCTGGCAGACACTGGCGTAGCGCCTCACGAGCACGGTTGTTGTCACTGAGTCTGGGCAATTATTAGCGGTTGGTTTAATATTTCAAGAGGCAACGACTTACCGTAAGAAGCAGCGGACAACGTGCTTCAGGAGTCGAACTGTTTGCTGCTCGACAAGCTGAGTGACCATATTGCTCAACACAGTACCGACGGCGTAGAACCTTTCGTAGGTAGCACAGATATAAGCTAGGCCTATATCGTCGAGGAGTATCTTTTGGACAATGAATATCGCGACAGTCTTGCTGAGTTCTGAGCCGGTCTCCATTATTCGAAGACATAGCGGGATGATTTCGGTAGTGAGAAGAAAGTTGATGACATCGGACGAGTCGTTCTTTACCAACGCGCCGATGACGCCGAGAGAAGTGAGGCGGAGGTATTCGAATGGACGTGACTTGGAGGTGGTATTTAGGAATGGGTAGAGAAAGAGTGGAATGTGCGCTAAATGATATCAGTCCAACTGTCCTTCAGTACATTATACGGAGACGTACCGTTTAGGAAAAGGGTTCGGGTCTCGTTATGGGAGGCGACACACTGCAGCAACGCCAGAGCATTGCATACTCGGTTAGAAGCAGCGGCTGTCAACTGCGATGGGTTCAGGAGAGGGTAGACAGAAATGATCTCCTGTAGAAGGGATGTCATGACGCCTATGAGAATCGTAAGCATATACCAGGCCGTCATCGTCTATACCGTAACCTACCGAATGAATGCCAGATGATGAGAGCCAGTTCTGGAACCTGTTCTCGCTTCTTACTCAACTCCATGAGTGCGGACTCTCGCCGATTCGGGTCCAGCAGCTCGGCAACCCAGACGAGAACCTTTCTATTCTCCTCGCTCACGCCTCCGTCCGCGTTTCCAGAGGCCCCATTGCCATTCTCCTGGCCACCGGCCGCCTGTGCATTGCTGGCGGCATTGCCACTCATGCCGATGCGGTTATAATGCTGCTGCTGGTGTTGGGCAGCTGCAGCAGCGGCGGCCGCCTGTGCCTGGGCCTGGGCATGTTGCTGGGCCGCGAGAGACTGATGCTGCTGCGACTGCTGCGACTGGAAGTGGGATTGATGCTGTTGCTGCTGTTGCTGCTGGTGTTGCTGTTGCTGTTGCTGCTGGTGCTGTTGGTGCTGCTGGGCCCATGAGGACTCGGCCTGGGGATATTGGTGCTGGTGCGAAAAGACCTGCGGAGCTTGACTCTGCAGCATGGTGAGAGACGAGTTGTAACCACTCTGGGGAGTTGCCCCAAGCGATCGCGAGGTTCAGGCCTGAAGCAGTGTGAGTGCGAGATACACGCAGAGATATGAAGAATATGAGGAGAGCAGGCGAAGAGATGAGGTTAAAGTGGTGAAGAAGGAGTGGGGACAAAACCACCGAACTTCAGCTGCTGACTAAACCACGCATTTATTCCTTTAGCTATTTAACGAGCCATCTAGACATCAGAAGCTGCTGTACAAATTAAGAAACACATATACATCATATAGAACCATTAAACCCGTCCCCTCCGTCGTTTTTGTGCAAAAGCGAGGATGCCATTATGTACCCGAACGCCAGCCATATCCACAGAAAGAAACCCAGAATTTGCACCCATAAATCATGAAAAGAACATTGAAATCGCGTGGAAACATCAAACGTGGAAAAGGACATCATGAGACCGTCGTCCCAGAGGTGGCACACCATGATAAAGACTTAGAGGCCTTTAAGACCGCTGTGTCCGACGGCCTGAGCTGCTACTGCTGCTGCTGCTTGACGAATAATACGACGAGCCGGTGTAGTATGTCGACTTGTCGTCCTTTCGTCGACCCAGACCGAGGCAGAGCGCGATTGCACCGATGACAACGCCCAGACTAGCCAGGCCCAGGAACCCGGTCTTCTTTTTCTTCTTCTCGGAGTCGGGTCGAGAGCCACCGCCGCCGCCGCCGCCAAACCAGCCATGGTGAGACGAATACGATGATGTGCCGGTGTAGGAAGAGTGTCTGCTTCGTTTGCGGCGACCACCTATGCCGAATATGGCTCGCACGCGGTCGATACAGCTCCCCACGCAGCAGCAGATGCATATGAGCAGCAGTATCAATGCTCCGGCGATGGATCCGATGACGATGCCGGCAATTGCTCCACCGCTAAGACCGCCGCTGCCCTTTGTGATGCCGATAACGCTGCTGCCATCTGTGCCGACGGCTGGCATGAACGGGACGGTGGTGGTTGGGGTCGAGGTGACGGTCACGCCCTGGGTGCTGGTGGGACGTGTGGGAGGAGTTGGAGCCGGCTGGGTAGGAAACGGTGAACCGCCGGACTGAACGCATACCAGGTTCTCGTTGCATGCCTGGGCTGCAGTGCAGCATGTCGTTCCGCATACCGTCTCGCCGAGATTGGCCTTGCACTGGGGGCCGGGTCCTGTCGGTGCAGCGATGGGCCTGCTACCGGTAGACGTGACGGTGACGAAATCGGTTTGGACGTAAGTTGTAGTGAAGTATTCCCATTGACCACCACCGCCGCCTCCGGACTTGGGGCGACACGAGGCCTGGTTGTTCGAGTCGGTAAAGCACTCTTCGCTGGAGAGACAGCATGCTTGTCCATAGTAGCCGCATGGAGCACACTGTCGGGGTTCCAGCGAGTGCGTAGGACGAGGAGTAGAGAACGGCGAAGCTGCGACAAGCTGTAGCTGCAGCTGTAGGAGGAGAGCGAGAACAGGCAACGAAGCCCGGCGCAAGTTGTTCGCAAACATGGTCGAGATAGCTGGTATTTTCGCTGGAGAGCTGCGAGTTGCAGATACCCAAAGCGGGGGAGCTTCAGGCTTTTGCCGGGATTAGACACAAAATGTACAGATGCGAGACAGGTATATGCTGCTTCCAGACGAACGCCTCCGGATATGGAGAGCAACGAGCAATTGCAGTATACTATGTGATACTATGTGAGTATGGATGGACAAAGAGTGGGAGAGGAAGAAGGAAATAAAAAGCCTGCGGGAGACTCGAGATGCCGGTTGTAGATGTTTCCCAGCCATCTCCAACATCCCAGCCACCCTCGCCCAACCACCTGAATTTACCCTCTGGCCTCGACAACGGCCGCCGCGCCAAACCGTGTAGCCATGGACGGTCGACGGTGGGCGCCGTAGGCTCCGTCATAGCGAACATAGTCCTACCCTGAAACTGCAGGGAGAACGGGAAAGTCGTCGTCGTTGTACTTTTGTCCGATGTTGTCAGCCTGACATCCCTGCTCAGCGCCGGCATCAGCATCTCAGCTCATGGTCAACTATCTCCTCCATGGAACTACATCGCTCCAGTCCAGCAGTACTCTGTATTCTTGTCTCTCAGATGCAGCTATAACCAAATATCTATCCATGGATCGTCTTCCAGCGATATATACCTTGTCACGTGGTCTACTTTACGCTGCCCAGGGCAAGGAGTAAGGGGAAGACGAGCAAGGAGGAGAAGACTCTGTGATGATAGACTTGACTCTCTGAAGCATATGCCATGATCCATATATCCACCCATAGTCACGACAATATACCCTTATGCGCCGTATCGACTTATCATGTCGCCGTATCTTGATACCATCCTCGTGTTGGATATACAGAATCGGTAGTATGTCATTTCATCGTTGTGTTGGATATGCCACAAGGACGACTTACAATATTTAATGCTAGGCATTATTATGCTAGTTATAAACCTGATATATTTTAAGATTGGAATATATTTCCAGCCGACATCGACTGTCAGTCTTCTACTTTGTCGTCCTCTACTGCGTATAGGAGCTAACTAACGCATACCAGGTGACAGGTGATGAAGAGTGCTGCCATGATGCTGATGGAGGTCAGATCTCACAGTATACCTCAGACGCTTGACCCAACTCCTGACTCCAGGACTGCTATGGTAATTACGCCAACATGCTGCAACCATTTGGTCTTGACAAGTTACGTACAAACATCATGGACGAAAGACTTAACTTCATTCACGGAAACCATCTGTAATGATGTAATGTCTTGTTACAGCTAATATTGGAGGTTTTCAGGCCAGATGTGGATGCCCACTGGGTAAAGTCGTTATGGCCCCTGAAGAACCATGGGGACTTTTATAGTTGCAATCCTGGCTGCTAAGAGGAACCTTGCGTTGTGTCTTGACCAGTAGTTGTGCACTAAAATATTGAACTTTAAGGGGTTATTTAGTTCTCTCTTCTAACTTGGTGTCATATAGCATTGGATGAATGGAAGATATACTACTACATCGTTGTTTCGAGAGCCGTTGTCGGGAGTCGACGTCATCTCCAGATAAATGGTATAAAATATGAAAGATGGCCAAGGTCGCAGATTTGTCCTTTTAGTTAACTACCTTGTTGTAGGTTCTTTACTTCACGCCAACTCTTACACACGCCGTCGTCCTACTCTTATACGGAATAAACAATGACAGAACAAAGTACTTAGGGTGTTTCGGAACCTTTGGTAGGAACCACGTATGGCAAATAAAACGTTGCTAGAACTGCAAGGCAGCGGACTTTCAACAGTTCGATACGAGCTGCATGGGGATACAAGGATGTCGAGGCTGCCCGAATGGCTTCAAGCCTTGGGAGCCTTATTCCATATTTTAAGGTCAAGTATATATCCTCAAACTATCAAGGGTCGTTACTAATATCTTTCGCTCCTTCGCGCCATAATGGAGCCCCCTTCGACTACGTTTGCTAAAGTGATACCATCAAACACGGCGGCAAAGCTGGCCTTTCACGCCGTGTATGAGGCTACCATGGACGAGGATGCCCCTCAACTGCACAGGCAGAATATCTACGTGCATCCCGAGCAGCAATACGATAAGGATGCACTCTTATCCTACCTCGAGGAACAGAAGATCCAAGGGGATACTGATAGCGATAGCCTAACGGACCCGGATACCGATACTGAGAATACCGAGAAACTCCATGCAATGATATGGACTGGCTGGTTTTCTTTCAGCCTTGACCCAGGGCCCCATGACCCCGTAACTGGATGGACTATTGGCAAGGGAGGCAGAAGAAGGGTGAATATTGACTATCTGCTTCCGTGGATTTCAGCCGGTGTTCGGGGCTACCATGCGCGATTCAACTTGCACGAGAAGACCGGCTATCTTTTTGTCTCGAAGACGTCTAGTGCCCCCCATGCTGAAGTTGTTGTTAATGGGAAGAGCGTGGGCAGCGGCGAGCAGTTTTCTCTAAACCAGAATCCGATGAATATTCGGATCAGCAATTTAGAATTCGAATTCCAATACACGAATTTTGCATACGCCGATCAATTCTACAGAAGGAGGCAGACTTATATGAGAGCTAACCTGAATACTATAAGTTTTCCAAATAGCAGTATCACGCCTACTCCTATTTCCACGTTTCGTTGCTTCGGTCCATGGACGATTTCGAGTTCCCTTGGGAGAGGGGCGTACGGGAGAGTCTCGTCCGCAACCAATAGTAAGGGCGAAGTGGTTGCAATCAAAATTATTGAACGCAGCGAAAGGACAGCCCACCAAGTCAGCCATGAGGTCCGTATCCTCAACGAGCTTCAGAAGCTGCCAGAAGTGCACGAGGGTGACAGGGAGCGTGTTGTGCGGCTGAAGGAGGCTATCTATCAGAATGGGGATGAAGTCTATACTTCTGCTGTCTTTGACGAGGTTGCTCTTGTCCTTGAGCCTGCTGTTTCTGCAACGTTTGCACATATCACCAGCCCTGCCGCTGGCAACAAGTGAGTATCCTCTTACTCTCCTTAAATCTTATATTCGTGGATGCCTTGTGAGTAAGCTTTAGATAAGTCCATGGATAAAATAAGGCAAAGTAGGCTTAAGGGGTATAAAATAAGACGGACTAAAGGCCCCAAGAACTTTCCTAGATACCTCTATGAGGCATACGTCTAACGTATTTCATCAGGTTAAACTATAGTCTGCAGGACCTTACCAGGCTATTCCATGATGCTTTGCTGGGCCTGAACTTCTTGCACTCCCACGACTGGATCCACGGAGACCTCAAACCCAGCAACATCGGCATCCTCGACGTCGGCTTCCTCCATGTCGTTCTCCTCGATTTCGGCGGAGCTGTCAACTTACCACCGGGGTATATCCTACAGCCGACGCCAGGTCGAAGTGGAACGGTCAACTATCTTGCTCCCGAGCGCGAGCTTGTAGCCTATGACCATTCCATCGACGTGTGGGCTATGGGTGTAATTGGTTTTCAACTTCTGCACGGCCACCACCCGTGGAAGTTCGCTGTTAATCCATGGCGGCGTGAGAACCAGTTTGCGTCTCTACGTCCAACCTTCCATGACAAGTACCGCAAAGCGGTGCATAGAATGAAGAGCCACGTCAGTACAGAATGTGAGACTGACTCTCCCGTTAAATGTAAAGTTCAAAGGCTGATATGTATAGTCAACGAGATGTTACTGCAGATGTTGCGGCATCCCTGGGCAGTGGAAGGTAATAACGGCGAACGTATCGCTGTCCGGGACGCTCTTAAGAGTGCTTGCTGGCAGGACTTGGAGGGAGATCAGCCATTTGTGAAGCGTAGTCGACCATCATAGATCTAGACGACAAGACTTAGGATAGATATTATTTGACCATCCTTTAAAGTGTTGAAGTAGTAGATGGGCATCGTATAGATGTTCGTGATTAGTCATGATGCAGCCAATCAAGACAGGCTGCGGTTAAATACTATCTAGTAGACATGGCTTCATGACCCTCTTCCTCTATCTAAACCCCATGAACTGTCGAGATATGTTCGACGCCTCCAGCGATGGCCGCGCCTCAAGAGCAAGCCGGCAGCCATGTCTTCAAGTCATGGCTCGATGCTGCCGCTGTTATAGATGAGAAGATGCATGGAGTATGTATACGTCTGATGCTGGCGCTGCTTTCTTGACGCTGACCTGGCTGCCCATCAGCCTCTCCCAGACGTGGTATCTACCCAGGGCCACCATCTAAGACCCCGTCCCAATAGCCCGATATTCGAACGAAAACACGATCCGGAGTTCCTGGAGAAACTCGACTTCTTCCTCGACGACCTGCTCTTTCTGCAGAAGCTACGGCGCCGCAAGTATGGAAACGAGGTCGCCGACGAGTGGCCGCCCAGCCACACCCCGACCGAGATCAAGGACCGCTGGAAGACTGAACAGGAGGAAGAGCAGAGGAAGATAAAGGCTCTCCTTGACATTCCGACGCCTCCTACGCCTGCGGATGTCCAGGTCTGGACCATACCGCGGATGGCCTCTAAAAGACGGAGGCCAGCCGACTCTGCGTACTCGTCTGGCCCGCCTACGCCGGTTTTATCACGAAAGCGTCGTAAACATATACGTCCCAAGGAATCTGCTTCTACCGAGATATCACCTATATCTTCCAAGACGCTGCCACGAGATGGTCCATCTTTCCGGACCCCGCCTTCATTGCATTCTGCCTCACCCGAGTCACTTGGAGATGTCACCTAAAAAGGCGGACATACAGGTCTGTCTTAATCTACCTGTGATGCTCTAGTGAACAAGCAGTACAGATACCCCAGAACCCGATAAAAGGATGCATCACGCACCATAGGGAGCGCAGTCTGGCAACCACCGAAATCCATCGGTTGATCCCAAAGTACATACATATATGGTGACATCTCTGGCAATCTATCTCCCAGAACGGAACGGAACCAGTCACCCAAAGCTAGTAGTTAATATACACCAGCAGCTGACGTCCAGATACGGGCCAAGGATCCAGGTGAGGAGTATGAAGTGAAGAATGTTAGTGAGAGAGAAGCGAGAAAAAGAGAGACATCTGTACAATATGGAGAACACAAAGTCTCTGGTAACGATACTCAAATTGTGCTTCAAGATGCATAGCTGTACATACTATATAATGAACCAAATGTTAAAAAAACACAGAATAAAGTGGTAATTTGGCCAAAAAACTATATACTACTGCAAGGAAAATAACAAAGAGAAGAAAGACATCAAAAATAGATCATTCATTTCCATCCCGTTTTGCGCCGGGTACATCAAGCCATTATAAACGAAACAAAAACCCAAGCACCAATTGAAATATTTGATAAATAGGCGTGAGAGGCAGCTCAAGCAACCATTCCAGCAATAGCTATGGACAAGCCGACGATGATCTCGTATAATGCCGAGGACCGCTGCGGCGAGCTGTTGGGAGAGCCTCCCACGTTTCCAAAGGCGGTGCAGTATCCTTCCTGCAGGCCGTAGCAGGCCCGCGTCAAGAGACTCGAACATATAGCCTGTCCGTTGCCAGTAGGTATCGCACCCTGGACAGTCGTTCCAGCACCATTCCCGCCGTTGATGGTGACCCCGTTCGCACCGCCCAGTGAAGCCGTGCAGGCAGAGAACTGCGACTGGCAGCCGGAATAGGACCGTACGCACTCTAACGAGCCGTGGAAGGTGGTCGGGATAAAGACGAACGGGTATGGAGCGTTAGGCACCGTCGAGCCCGTCGGTGTTGGCGGGGCCGTAGTGCCTGGCTGCGGAAACATGAAGCCAGATGAAGTTGGCGTTGGGCCTGGAGGAGCCGTCTGTGTCGATGTTGCTGTCCCTGTTCCCAGCGTCCCTGTGCAGGCTGCTCCTGACGGACAGCAGGCGATGTGACTTGCGGCGTCGCGGGAGCAGACAGCTTTCGGCTGGCAGCATGCCTCGGGACTCCCTAGGATGGCGCAGGAGTTGAAGCCGGCCGGACAGACGTTCTGGCGTCTGACTAGCTGGGCGAGCTTGGGGGAGAAGCCTCCCAGGAAGAGCGAGTTGTCGACATCGAGGGCCCGCGGCGCATAGAAGGGCGAAGTGTTGTCTGCCGCGGAGGGAAGTATGGATGCCGCGACGAGGAGGAGGATTGTCTGCAGCTGCATCCTAACTGTAGGTGTATGTCTGTCTAGTTCATGAGGCTGTCGCTCTGGTCAGCTTTCTCGCTCATGTTGAAGCTGTGCGTAGATGTATATGGTTGGATGTATACAGAATGGATGTATACAGAGACCGTACCTGGCAGAGTAAACAAGTTTCTGGCAGTGGTGATCAGGTTGCGACCATCAAGTTGCGGCCAACTCAACCTGCTGAAGAAAGCTGAAAACAAGAGATCTGAGTCCTTGACAGGTCGCTTGTCGCTTGTCTGTTCGTCTTTTCGTCAGTTCGTCTGCTTCGTGGCATCCAAGTCCTTTTCTTCATCTTCCGCTGGCAGGGCAACGGCGCCAAGTCGCATACCGGCCAGCATCCCGGCCTCGACTTAGTAACAGTTCACGGCACTATGAGTTGACCGGGGAGGACATCTCAAGAGCTGCTTCTATCAGTGGTCATCTAGCTTATGTTTATACTCTGTAGTGGTACTTGGTAGTGTAGGCATCGTTATAGTTGTAGCCGTAGCATCAGGACAGCAGATACCGCAACAGACGCCAGCAGGCATGCGACAGCGGTCGTGTCAAGTATATCCCATCCCAGATAAGTATAAGTATATCAGATATCAGATATCTATCTCGACCTTCGCGGAGGCTGCGGATGTTCCGAGGCCGACCTCGGTTTTCGGCCCAGAGAATCAACTTTTCTTGAAGATTTCTTGAAGAGAGAACTTTTCAAGACGCAACACAAACATCTCGACCGCAGCTGATATACATCTAGCTGATCGTGGAGGCTGTATAAAACCAAGCTCGCCGGATATGCCTCGCGTCATGATATACGGACTTACCATGGCCCATAGTTAACTCACTGTCCCGTCATGCAAGCTGCTACTATATCTTCCTGCGCAGTAGACCAAGAGCCTGGACTAAATAGTTAATACTCTCTTCTTCTCTTCTATTCTTACCTCCGGGAGCTATAAGAATGTCTAATGGGTCCAAATCCGATGCGTTGAAGACTCCAACCAGTAAGTCAAACACTCGTCCATGGCTGGCATCACGACTGACAGATAAACCAAACAAGGCACCAAGCCGGTCTTCCATTTCGCTGCCGGTCTCTTCTCAGGCCTCACGTCTTCCATCCTCTTGCAGCCGGCAGATCTCCTCAAAACCCGTGTCCAGCAGTCCGGCCAGTCGTCGTCTCTCATACCTACTATCCGCGCAATACTAGCATCGCCGAATCCTATACGGAACCTATGGCGTGGCACGCTTCCCTCGGCCCTCAGGACGGGGTTCGGATCTGCCCTGTACTTCAGCACCCTTAATACCTTGCGGCAATCGGTCGCCATCGTCAAGGTACGAACAGCAGGGGAGACTGGTGGCAGCAGTGCTGCGTCGTCCCGGACATCCGCGCTGCCTAAGCTATCACATTCTGCAAATCTGGTTACCGGAGCCATTGCACGGGTTTCTGCAGGCTTCGTCATGATGCCCGTCACCGTGCTAAAGGTACGGTATGAATCAGACTATTACTCGTATCGGAGTCTATGGGGTGCAGGAAAGGACATCGTTCGAACAGAGGGCGTGAGAGGCCTGTTTTCTGGCTTTGGGGCCACCGCCATCCGTGATGCGCCATATGCCGGTCTCTACGTCGTGTTTTACGAACAGGCGAAGCGATCTCTGGCTGCGCTGCTGCGTCCGGCCGTGCCAGTGCTATCCCAGGACAAGGGAGGAAAGGATACCACGACGACGGCCCAGTCGCAGCCATCGGCAGCTTATATTCACTTCCTCTCCGGAGCACTTGCTGCCGGGTTAGCGACGACCATCACAAATCCGTTTGACGTCATCAAAACCCGTGTGCAGTTGATGCCGACTAAATATCGCAACATGTGGTGTGCGGCAAAGCTGGTATTGCGCGGCGAGGGAGTACGGGGCCTTTTCGGCGGGTTGAGCTTGCGTATTGGGCGAAAGGCCATCAGTTCTGCGTTGGCATGGACCATCTATGAAGATTTGATATTGCGGGCCGAGGCGTCTCGCTGGGCTCAAGGAGAGAAGAGTTTATTGTCTTGATTAGCATCTTTAGTCCGTTCCTCTACTCACTGTATTATTATCCATCTTTTCTCCTCATTCTGTCCAGGGAGGCCATCTGTTTCCTGTCTTGGGTCTGGGCCTATAGGTGTATGGAGTGTGTCTGATGTTTTATCGTTTTGGACATGTATGTATATACTGGATGACTGGATAGAGAAAACAGGACAGAATAAATTAATAAGATCAAAGTGAAATTGTTTAAATACATGGGTTTTCTCGAGTCCCTTTCAATTCATTAATGCGGGCACCTCGTCGTAGTCGTCATCATAAGAGTCGTGGGGATGGTTATATATATGCGCAAACGGTCTTATATAACGCCCTGAATGGGAATAGTAAAGAGAATGAAACGGAAACCAAAGGGGACAAAAAAGGAAAGAAAAGAAAAAAACGATGAGAAAAGAATAAAAACTGAGTAGAGTGTGAACTCTACAAAGGGTAAAAATGAACTCGAATCAAAGACCTAGCCTACTACCAAAACAAGCCTCGTTTGTCTGCCTTCTTCCTGACCAAGAACATACCATCCTTTTTCTTATCGTTGACTTTCATCTCAACCATGACTGGGCCGTTGTGTGGGGTAGCAGTAATCACGCGCTGTCCACGTATCCTTCGTGTGTGCTCAAACAGTCGGTCTTGATCTTCTTGACAGAGGACATGGTAAATAAGCATGTAGTCCGCATCGTTCTTCAAGTCAGATATGTTAGCCGAGATTCTTAGGTAGAAACGTAGAGGAGGCAGAAAGTAGAAAAAAAAATACTCACAGGGTCGTATTCCCATGTCAAGTTGAATGCGTCCAGAGTTCGAGCGTCAACATAACGGCGATGAACCTATACGGAAGGTGTTAGTAAGGAGCGTTCAAAATGATAGATGAGATTCAGATCTAAACAGAAAGCCATCGGAGTAGGCGTACCTTGACAAATGCCTCTTCATCATCCCCATCGTCTCTATGTCTGCCATGGTGGATGTATCTGTCAACCTGAACGATCTCCTTCTCCTTCTCCTTAATAGGCTTGCCTTCCAAAATAGCAGTGATCTTGTCCTCGGAGAAGCCGGCGGCGCCAAACAACTGGTTCACCTTATCAGTGAACTCCTTGTTGGCCTTCTCTTCTTCCTCTCGCCGCTTCAACTCCTTTTCTGCCTCCTTTTTCTTGTATTCTTCTATGGCACCCACTTTCAATTTCATTTCTTGCTGTAGTCTTTCCATCTCATCTTTCTCTTTCTGGGCGATTTCCGCTTCAACCTTTGCACGAACTTTCCTCTCATGTTCCTTTTCTTCCCGCTCTTCTTCCAGAGCTTTCATGCGTTCGATGAGGAGGGCGTCCTCGATTTTCCTTCGGGCAATGTCATCGCTCTCTATCTTCTTCAGCCTCTCGAGTTGAATCTCCTTTTCGATATCTCGTCGGCTTAATCCTGACTCTTCGCGATCTTGACGGTCTGAGCGTCTCTCTGGTCGTTCCATCTCCTGCCACTCCTTATATTCCTGCATCTTCCTCCATCGTCTCATACTCCTAATTTCCTCTTCCTTTGCAATGCGGAATTCTCGTTCCAATTCCGTTTCCTCACGGCGTTCTGGAGCTTGCTTACTTTTGCCGCTCTCAATGCGTTCACGCTCTTCACGGCGTATACGGTCTTCACGACGGATCCGTTCTTCTTCGCGGCGTACGCGATCTTCTTCTTTTCTCATTTCATCAAGCTCATGCTCTCGCTGCCTGATTCTCTCCAGCCTGACCTCGGCTTCAATTTCCGCTCTTCGTGATGGCTCCTCACGCTGTAGTCGACGAATAGCCCTGCGTTCGTGGCGAATGAATTCATCTTCCAAGTCGCTAAGTTCGTCTGCTAGGGCAGGCCGGCGACGAGAGACGGACCTGGCTCGGCCGACTGGAGCTGCAGGAGGAGGGGCGAGTCTCGTGTTTCCTTGTAGCCCTTGCTCATTGTTGATATCTATGTAAACTGCAGCGTCCCCCGGGCGGCGTCGGTGTACTTCGGAAGTTGAACGAGGCCGTCTCCTATCCTCGATGATGACGTTATCACGAGGTCGCCTGTGGACGCGGTGGTAGAACTCTTCTTCCGAATCGGTATCGGAGAGGTCGGCGTGAAGCTGGTGCTTGTGTCGAAACATGGTAGGTCTCTATACACTAATTCCTGTAATAGTTGATGGTGGGAATATAGGGCTTACGCCGTCGTTTGAATTGTCGTACAATATTTAACGAGTATGCGGGGCTCCAAGGCAAACTTGTGAATCTGTCATCCGCTTAGCAGGCGAGAACGGTGTCAAATCGTCGATAAGGTCTGCAAGGCAGGCTGGTGAAGTGTTGAAATCGCCGGATAATAAGAACGAAGGGCTGGATGACTGGTCGTCGGTGGTTGGTCGTCCAAGCGACCCAGAAACTAAGATGGATGCCAGAGACCTGTAAACACTCTCTAGCTGCAGGAAAAATGTTCAAATTCTCAGGTTCGATAAGTAAGTAAAAAGACGAAGGATCAGTAGTCGAAGAAGTGCTGTCGATGCCGTAATAAATATCGCCGTGGGATCAAGAGCCTCAAGCGAAAAGGAGGGGCTATTCTGATAGGGCAGCGACTAGGTATAGGTCCTATCCTATCCTCGTACAGCGTACGGTTTCGGGTTTCAGAACGGCGTCGAGCGATCTGTAAGTCAGGATTCCAGTGGTCTTCGAGTCTCTTCGATGGCCCCGGGTATGCAGATATGCAGTGCTGGGTCTCCCTGCTGGCGGTAAGTGGGATCAGGTTTCGTCATGTGTCTGCATCTGAGGCCTGTCAAGTCATGTACGTCTGCCCAGTATTTATTTATAACCAGCCCTGGCCTGGTGGCGTAGGCGGCTAGCGAAACATAGCGGCCCCGTCACGGGGAGAAGAATCCGTGACAGCCACCAGATGTTGGGCACGTCAGAAGGGCGGCAGGCCATCAGCGCTTAGCCTGTCGATGGCAGCATTGTTGTTCTCGTTACTGGTTGTCATTGCTGTTGATCTGCTTTCTCGCTGTATATGCCGGCATGTACTCCGTGTAAATAGATCGTTGCATTATGTAGGAGAGACGTCGTCAGAAACCAACTACGGGCAGGTTCCGTGGTTCCTCAAAAGGCAAAACAACCAACAACACAGCTACTTGGAATTGAATCTCGGCTTCGTGTCGACTATATAGAAAGGCAAGACTGGAGGAGGAATTGAATTTTTTTTTTCGGTGCTCCATACTTTCAGGCCAAGCCAGATTTGTGATTTGAGGTTTGCCGTACTCTGTAAGCGCCGCTTAGACTGATAGGTTGCACAAAAGCATTTGCCTTCGTCTCCACGAAGCTGCATTCTAACCTGTTCCTTGTCAGATTCACACGCGTGGGTGAATACCAAGACTGCAGCGTTTATGCCATTTCCCAATATGTAAGACATATACGTTCATAAATCGTTTAACCGGCATGCAAGATCGTGACGGCATTTGGCACTGAGATATGATGCAGCGGCCAAGTCAAATTCCTGTCAAGGACCAGACGCCCCACCGGAATGGTAATTGTTTTTGAACCAAGGTAAAGTAGTGCGTATATCCCCTCTATGCTCTTCCCCCACTCCGTAGCATCTGTTCTATATGTTCACGGCTATTCTTGTGTGTCGTCTCAAGGTAGTGTAATCTCTTTTCGAGATTGGCAATATCCGTCTTTAATTCTTTCGTTTCCTTTGATAACCGTGTGTTCACCTTATCTATCGGCGTGGCAACGAACCTGGAGAAACGGAGGGGGTTAGTTTGCGGCTTTCAGGAGTAGTAGCGCGGGCTGGTTCTATTTGGAGGAGCATATGCTTGGGTCATGGCGAAGAAGAGGAACCCATGGATACACACATTTTACCCACGCCTTCATATACATTTGTGCCTTCTGGGACTTGGCCGATCTCCCCAGAAGTAAGTTCTAGCAGGCGCATCTCTCGTTGCTTGGCTGTGATTTGGGTCCTGACGACATTGATCTGCTGCTGAGCTGCAATTGCCTGTGACTCTATCTCCTGAACGAGCTAAAATAAGATAAACAACCATACCGTCAGTACCTATCTCTTCTGTCGGGACCCAAAATGTGGGGGAAGTATTTCTCCTCTCACCTTTTGGAGAGCTTCGTTCGGAATTGACATGGCTCCGGTTGCTGATATATTCAACAGCGGTATCTGGCAAATCAAGTTAGACGCAATTATATGCAACGTAAAGCTGTAGACGTGGGCTTGACTGCGCGCGTGTAGCTGCAACGGACAGATGCCCCTCGGGATATCTTTTAGCAACAACCAGAAGAAGATCTGATTATGTAATGGAAGGCAGGAGCTCTTGTTGTCACGTGACATGACCAACCATCTTCGGCTCTATCAAAACATATAAATGACATCTTGCCTCGCTTTCTATCCAACTGTGTAATGTGCTAGGCGCCTTGTTCGAAGAGATGCACTCGCTGCTATTCTAGGTGGCACTGTTCCAAACGATGCCGGAATCTTTCTCGGAAGCCAAGGCGCCATTTCAATTTTTGTTTCCCGACACCCCAATTGAATACGTGAGATGCAGTAAATGCGTCGACTCAATAATTGCCGGTAATCATGGGCCCAAAGCTTGACGAGCTAAGGCCCTTCTAGAAAACAATGGGCGGATCCTTATTTATAACTGTTCATCTCGAAGAAGATGAGAGGAAGACATCCCTTATGCCGTCGATCACTCACGACTTTCGAATTCCAGCATAGCTAGGCACTCCGAGGGTAATAATAATTTCATTTAGCGCTAAATCGGTAGGGTTACCTGCGTCGAAGGCTCCAAAGAAGATGCTCCATTCGCAGGCACTAATTAGCGCAGACTTATCCGTAATTTCAGCGCTGTACGATGAACCAGGCAGAAGACGACACAGCAAATCGAATGATTTTTCACCATCCGGAATCAGACCAATGGTAGTGCATCATTGACAGGCTGGCATCAATACTCACTGGCCCAAAGCCAAAGGCACTGGCATCTAGAATTATTTCCACTTCTAAATACCTACATGCTGGATAGATCCATGGACTGCTAGCTCGACAGAGATAGTAGGTCTTTTAAAGTGCTCAATACACCACGCAACTATCCAATGCGTACCTTGGTATACAGATTGGCCTTCAAATCCAAGGGTATGTAGGAACTTGGTAGCAAATACGAATGCATCCACCCGGTGTTTATAGTCAATTATGCAATGATCTTCTGACCTGTACAGTCTAAATAGGGACTCAGCTGGATCGTTTGCATCAAGCAAGGCTCCCCCAGTATTTGATAAGGCACATTATTCAACGAAAACGGGAGCAGGGTCATTTCCAAAGGCTATCTGTACGCCTTCGATCTTCACAGCTGTATTTAGGCCAAGTATAAAATGGCACCAAATCACAATCATGCTAATTCCTGAGTTGCATTTCAAATATAATATTCGGTCATCGGGGAACTCCTGTATAGCACGCAGCCACATGAGTAGCATTTGGAAAATCGAAAAAGGTGAACCTCGATTCGAGACACTATCTCGTTTTATTGCCTGGGGATTTTTTTTTTCGCATTCCTCGCTGATTTTCATGCAGGTGGCCCTTGGCTCTTCAGCTCCTGGTAAATTTTTTCTTCAACCCATTCAAAACAGGACGTCCAGGAGAACGCAGCAGTCTGTTTCTGACATGCGGTGACTGTCCCTAGTACATAAATGAAGTCTAATCCATGTTCGAGTTTCTCTCCACCTGCAATCAATGCGGCCTCAAAAGCTGTGACGAGAGCATCCGCCAAAGCTTGAGTATCATGCGAGAATGATAGTGCAGCTAGTTGAATCACAACAGAAGATACTGTTAGATCTTATAGCACCAGATTTTAGGATAGCTCTTGCATCCATCTTGAGAGGGGTTTTGATCCGAGCTGGCTATTTTGGAACGGAAATGCGGTTCGACTACACCCTCAGTCCGATTCCTGCCTATCATCGAGGTTGGTTTAATCTCTGCGATGATATCAGACCCGGATTTCTTCCTGGCTTCCGCCAGCACAGAGAGCCAGTTCCGACGAGGGCCTTGGCTAACGGGGATATCAAATTGGTCAGCTCGACACCGAGCTGAAATCCCGTTTGCATAGCCATTCAATTCTTCTCACCAACGGAGAAGATCGACGACGTAGGAATTATGCCAACAAACGTCATCAATCATGAGGATTCATCGGTGCAAATCACTGGAGTTGCAGGAATGCCAGGTTGGGTGCATGTTCCAATGAAGGCAAGGCTGTAAATGTTGAGGCGTGGCACAGCTCTGGCTTGCACATCTACCTAGTCATTGGACAGAAATATCTGCTCCTAACACGATGGAATTGGTGCGGCGGTGCATACTACCTAGCCTAGTTAACTGGTTAAGTAACTAGTTAATAACCAATGGCGCATTGGGTCTCGTGGTGGAGAAAGGGATTTTGTCTGCCAAAGCTCTTGAGAAGACACCAGTCGTGTGTGTATTTTGACAATTCACTATTTATAACCGCGTCTCCGCTGTTACGGCCCTCTGCTCTTGTTTCCCGTCGGCCGAGGAGATATGTGATGATAACAAGTCCTTCCGGACGGGCCAACTGGTTAATTGGGCCGTAAATGCTGAACATGCAATGAATGCACCTTCATCAGAATGGGATGCTCGGGTTTAATCCTAGCACCCCGTCTTGTCTTCGGCCCCAGCATTCCCTCGGTAGACCATCCTGGAGCTTCCTTCAAACCCGCGCGCGACGACCAAATAACATGGGGCTGTGTCTCTTGGATCGTTCCACTGGAAATCTTCCTGACGTTCCATGGATTCAAGAGGGATCGTGGAGACAAAGCTGAGACTGTGGGGTTGAGGCTGGGGAATAATGTATTCAGCAGACACAATCCTTGCGATTTTATCCAGCGACATCGATGAACTGTCTGTCGATTATTCTTGTCAGCTCTACTTGGCCTGAAGATCTACATGCACAGCCGTTCTTCGCGAAATATCAGATGGAGCAACTCGCCAGCTGGTATGGCTACATCCATGTCAGAGTTTTGCACGTCCTTCGGCGGATGTACTCCGTACGGAGTACCGGAACATGAATCAGTTATTTCTCGAGACTGGCATCCTTGGAGAGTTGTGCCACTGCATGGTCTCTCTATTTTTCATCAGAGTACGGAGTAAGCGGGGTTTCAATCCTTCAACTGACACCTTTCACTTTGAATCCAGGGAGTGTAACTACTTTGAGTCTTGCTCCGGAGTCGAAGCTACACTCGAGCCACTAAATATATGGAAATCTGGAGACAGATTTCTCTTGGCAGGGCCCCCGTCGATGCAGACTAATATAGTATGCTTTGGCAGGTGGTCGAAGATGTCCAGAATTCATGCACCGGTCCATCCGGACATCTAAACACGAGAGGCAGCGCAGATATTGACACGGTTGTAATGAATCGTGCATTTCGACCTTATCCTTCTCTCCTGAAGGATTTACGATCAGCCGCTTAGCTGAGGATGAAGGCAATGTTAGCCGGCCACATGAGGTGGCAGTGGTGAGAGGAAAAAGGATATAAAGGCAGCTTCTTGACCCGGAGAAAGGAGGACAGAATCAGAACAAAGCAAAAGAACCAGACGAACTGTGCTCAATACCAGATCAATTGCTTAAACGATTTATCCTCCTGTCTATTCACTTTGACAACCATCTTTCAAAAAAACGCCACAATGAAGGTCGTCGCTATCCTCTCCCTTGCCGCTGTTGTTGCTGGAGCAAACATCAGAAACCACTTTGAGGACGGCTGCAGAGGCGGCTACATCAACTACCCCAACATTGCCCAAAGAACCTGCGCCCTTGGCCTCCATGATAATAATACAAAGGGCTCCGTCAGCATCGCTTTCTCGGCGTTGCCCCAGCACTCAGCTGTTTATGGCTGGCAGGGCAACCGTAGCGGGAACCTCTGTGGCACGATCGCAAAGAAAGACAACGTTGGAAACACCGACCACAAGTGCTTGGGCTCACTGTCCGGCGGCTCCCAGTATGCTGGTAGCAGCTGGACTCAGCCTGGATTCAACCTGAGAGGTGCCAAGCAGGATACCACCTGCACGGCTAAGGTGGCACCTCACTCTCTTGTCCTGAACGATGGACACAAGTACATTCTCGGCGGTATGGAGGAAGATATGATGAAGTCCCTGTACGATTTGGCCGTCAAGGGAACCACTTCTCAGGAATTGCCAAGCGAATATGCGGTATTTGAGATTGAAAAGGAGAGCGTCGAGCAGCGCGCTCAGGATATCCAGGCTTAGATACTGGGCCAAAGGGGATGAACGGAGGGTGGGTGTGGGTGCATAGCAATATAGCGATGTGACGAGACGATGGTATGGAGTGGTGGAATGGTGATCCAGGCCTGATTTGTTTTCTACAGCCAGCCTCGTGCCATTCGCAGCGAATTGTTTCAAACTGGAAGATGAATTTGTATCACAGTTAGGATATCGTAGCGAAGAGAATGAACGACGAGCCAAGATTAGCTTCCTAGAATCCCTCTCATCTGATTTGTAAATGGACTCCAAGACGAACATCGTAGCTCGGAGATACTCACCCTGGACATGGCCGGAGGATTAGTTAGCGTGGTAGATCTAGTTATGGGTGTATTCACGCTAAAGGACGACGGGATGGTGTAGGATCATGCTGTCAGCGGGCTACATTCGCGGAGCCAAACTTGCTCTCATAGTTGGATGAGTAGTATTCGGAGTTCCAGTCTCCGGATGGTAGCGGGCTGCAGGCTTGTGGTACCTGACACCTGCTGTCACCGGCTTTTGCTCATGATCACGGACAGCCTCTGACGTGAGCACGCGTGACAGTGCCAGAAGACCTGTTTTAATGGCATCAACAGTAATATATCCACCCCCTGGCACAATAGACCCCCCTATTCTTGCACCTGTTGAGGCTCTTCCCGTCTTCCTCGCCTCCTCTCTATCCTCTTGCACAACTGTTGTATTTATATCCGAGGGCGTAGGGCTTCGAGATAAGCTTCGGAAGGCCGACAACTCTAACTTTAACCGGCGTCTTGGCTTTGATGCCAACTTTCTTCTTTCTCTCTCACTCCCCTCCAAGCTTCTCTCTCTTTCCTTTCCTTTTCTTTTTCCTCTTGTGAATTCTTTTTTCTTCTTACTTCTTTCTTATATCACCGCTGAGCGGCACCTACGACGATATATCTGGCTTCTTAAAAATATAGGTTGTCGTTACGCAGATGCATTTCCACATACCCTATCCGCCGGCAAAGGCGGGATTCTGGTCGCCTGTCACTTCGACCCTCAATTGGTGCGAAGAGGTAACTACCGCCGCCTTCACTGCAGATTCAATTGTGGCCAGCTGATCTGACGGTACCTGATAGGACTACTATGCGACTCCATATGCCGCTGAAATCGTCAATGCTTTGACCAATGTCCTCTTCTTGTATCTGGGAATAAAGGGCATCCGGAGCTGCCGGAAGAATGGCCATGACCCTATCTTTCAAATCGCATTTCTCGGATATCTCCTGGTGGGATCGGGGAGCTTCCTATTTCACTCTACGCTGAAATGTAAGCATGTTCTACGTCTACTCTGCCGCTATTCAAGTCCTCCTGCTCCGTGTGCTGATAAACTGATGTGTGACGTAATAGATCCTATGCAGCTTGTTGACGAGCTATCGATGATCTACACGACATGTCTGATGTGCTATGCCACATTTTCCTTCTCCAAATCTCGGACTCAATGCTTTATTCTCGGGGCAGGTCTCCTAGGGCTGTCTATATTTATTACTCTCTATTACCATTACATCCAAGATCCGGTGTTCCACCAAGTTGCGTATGCAGTGCTGACTGCCATCGTGGTATTTCGGAGTATGTGGGTAATGGAAGTTACACTGCGGCCATCCTTCCAGCGGTCCCGCAACCAAAACAAGCCACATCCTTCTATTCCGACGATCACCGTCAATGGAGAAACATTGGATGAGAGAGATATTAGGATTTTAAAGAGCATGTGGGCCATGGTTGCCTACGGACTATCGACTTTCCTTGGAGGTTTCGTTATCTGGAACTTAGACAATGAATATTGCTCGACGCTACGCGGTTGGCGCCGCGAAATTGGGCTTCCGTGGGGAATATTGCTAGAGGGACACGGCTGGTGGTGAGTCAATAATCACTTCTTAATCATTACCCTCGTCGTGGGCTGTCATTTCAAATAGATAGTTACTAATTTGTGACAGGCACGTCCTCACTGGAATTGGTGCTTACATGTATATCACTTGGGGTATATGGCTGCGCCATTGCCTCCACGGTCGCCGGGACGAATATAAGTTGCACTGGCCTCGCTTCTATAACGCCGCAGACATCGTTCGCGTGCAAGATACTCCCAAATCTACTGTTAACGGGGGATACGAAGAAAAAATAAACTAAACACCTCCTACTACACCATTTCCCTATCGCTGATCGCCCTTTCTCGACAGGTTCTAGAGTTTTGGGGGTATATTAGTATTCCCATCTCATTATAAACTGTGTTGGGTATACAATGGTCCTTTGCTTAGCCTTTTCTTTGTATTTTGTGTGTTTACAGCTGGTTAGACTGTTACAACTAGGCATAGAGGCGTAGAGGATATTTCTATCAGGCTGAAAATCAAAATATATGTTTCACACTTTTGAGTGTATCAGAAGTGCCTGATTTATTATGTTCAAAGGTATTCCAATATTAGATTGAGGTTTGCGGAGCCTCCCTAACCAAATAAAATAGCCTGCAAGATCCCAAGAATATATATACCCATTATAATTTTGCCCCAACTGTGGCTTTCTTAGCCGGATTCCGTGCATGTAGTCGATCGACCTGCCTAATCCACTCTTTATCAACGGTTACCTTCTCGATGGGAGATTTCTTCTTCCATTCTATGATAAACTGCTCCTCTTCCTTGCGCCAGCGCTCCATCTCCGTACTTATCTGACTTGTGCACAGCTCTGCTGTTTGGCCAACAGCCTCCATGGGTATTAGATGTCCTACTTTCTCCATCAATACCGCCTTGACCCTTCCTTCCGTAACGCCGCCGCTCCCGCCAACCCCAGTCCCGGTCTGATCCAGTTTCTCCCGGTTTAGTTTTGCATTACTGACCTCCGAGAACTCTGCAAATAGGTATAGGACACTGGGCCTGACAAAGGGGAGCATCTCGAATGTCTTGTGCACTTCGTAGCGGTAGAAAGGGAAAGTAGACATATGTGCTCGAGGGTCAAGGTCCGGATGAGTAAGACGGTTGATAGACTGACTGCCATTGTCTTTTGCTCCATAGCTAGACCTAAAAAATGAGAATACCTCCTGGTGTCGGGTCGTTGTGAGCGTTACTGGCCGTTGGCCTATTGGCTGACCGACAGAGTCGCTATCCAATGGATGAATGGCGGTGGGAAGTTCCCGGAGTCCATACTTTATGAAGCGATTGAGCACTCGGGGATCCCAGTTTTGATAAAACTTGCTTCTTTTAAGGGCCTTTTCAGCAGCTTCTCGTGATGGCCAGAGATCTCGTCGGTATGTTGAGGCGAGGGTTGAAACTGGAATTTTGACCTTTGCCTGTTTGGAAGCTTCATCCACAAGAAATTCGACTCTGTTTGCCACGGGGTCAAGCAGAATGAGAGATGTAAAAAGACGGGGATGCATAACCGAAAGACTTATTCTAGATTTATCCCGCTTCGTTAATTGCGGCCCGTTATATTTGGTTCAAGGGGTCCATCCGTACAAGTTATTGCCGCCCATACTATGGCCAATTCCAATAATAGGACGAGGCATCTCAGCTCTCTTTAGGTTGACCAAGTTTAGTAGATCACGCGGATGATCGTACCATGATGCTAATTAGACAGTTAATGATAGATGTTCGTAACTTGTGAGAAAGGCTTGAGCTCCTTTGGAGGCTCCTAAACATACGGTCATTCCCCAAGGAATTCTCATTGAGCACTCCGCTCTGCCCTTGGTGAGCGACATCCGCAATCCATATACCCCGAATGCGGAAATTGCCCTGTTTTGAACGCTTGTATATCTCCTCCCACAAAGGTTCATATAACTCCTGATATTAAAGATATTAGCCTAATCCAGTGACCAAAAGCACCAATAAAAGCTCCATATCGAGAAACCCCGTACAACAGCTCACCTTTGGAAATCCATTAGCATGTGCACCTATTATGGTAACATCGCCTGGCTGCGGGTTTGGGTTATCGTAAGGGATATATTGCTTAACAGCTAAGTTGAGCGTTGCTTCTTGTTCCGTGGCCGTCGCCTGAGGATAATCCCTGATGTGTTGGCAAGGCATGACATGCTCAATGACCCGAAAACAGCTGGTCATGGTGTTTCCTTTTCCTGCTGTGTTCAGGTACGGGGCAATATTTTGATATTCTCGGGTCCCAACGTTCCAAATGTTCAGCTCAATTGTCGACACAATGTGCTTTGGCCGTGATATTTGGCCATTCCGATGTCTCCGCCTTTCTATAATTATCGCTGCAGCCTGCAATGTATGGTGTTTACAGGGGTTGGTGCTCCTTGCTGCGATGGTTGGGCGGGCCGAATCCTACAACTACCGATGTACCGAGGTCTACCATTTCCGCAGTTTGATCGGCGGAGGTATCTGGCTTTACTGGCCATGGACATGTTGTCAACGTGCCTGTGCCTGGATCCATTCCAACGGGATAGTCGTAGACACGAGTAGAGCTTCTTTACCTCTACATGAGATGATATCGCCGAGGCGGCTTGGGGATAATGCCAATACTCGTATACGTCGCTCTGTTAACAAATACTTATGATTAAGCAGTTGCACGTGATGAATATTCAAAAATATATCCCGATCATGTGATGGTACTCTGATTAATAAGCAATATTATTTCCTTTATAGGAAATGATCTTTGTATAATACAGCTGACTCGTTTTAATACCAAATAGAACCAATACTTCATAGCTTGTTCACCAATAGAATGTAAAAATGATGTAAATACATTACCACTAGTATGAGTCAAGAAATCGTGAATAAACACGTGACTCACGTGTTTTTGACGCGTTGGTGAACTTTAAGGCGCGTCATTTGGTATATCGATATCCCTTCCCTATCGACATCTCGGAGAAATGGTGGGATAACTCCAAAGAGATTCAAAGCCTAGAACCCTCCTGAATCTGATAGTTTTGCTTGAAACAACGATAACATGGCGGAAGAGGGGCTTTTCACCCAATGTAGGCTTTGTATTGTCTGCTCGCCGCAACTTAATACAAAATTAGCAGAGGAAGTGAGTTGTCCTTTTGAACAGGAATGTCTCTGTTGAACTTTGGCTGATTCTGTAACTAGCTATCCTCTGCTTTACAAAAGAATGGGGGCGAGGTAGTCATACATCAACCGCAGACGCCCCTCCCATCCATCAGCGAGTTCAGCCACATAGTCTCTGCAACTATAGACTTCCCAGGCCACGACGCAGCATGCGATGCTCTCATTCCGGTTGTGAAGCCCCAATGGGTTCAAACCTCGATATCTAAGCACAAATTGGCGAATCCCCGGCAGTATAACCCGGACCCTCGACTCTTTTTGAACGACGTCATTGTCACCTGCGAGGATATCCCAGAGGGTGATAAGGATGCGATAATAGGCGGAGTGCTGGCGATGGGTGGCCTTTATACATCCCGGATTACGAGCAGCACGACGCATCTCGTTACCTTGACAATGACTGAGAAATGTACAGCTGCTAAAAGAAGAGGCCTCCCAACCAAAATAGTGCTACCACACTGGTAGGTGTATTGGACTCGAATTCCCTTTCGTTTCGCTAGCCACGTCTAACTGAAGTAGGTTTGACGATTGTCTCAAGCTTGGCAAAAGAATTGATGAGAGACCTTATATCCTTCCCAATCCTGAGATACTCCGGCCTGACTACAGCGGCCCGCTCCGAATAGCTGAAAATAAAGACGTAATCGGAGCCTCCACGCCAGAACCCAACGCTATTCCAGATGTGACCACATCACCAGGAGGGTCAAGGAAAGATTTGAACGTGTTTGAGGGAAAAACTGTGATGATATCCTCAGATTTGGACATAGCAGAGCGCATGCTTAGCGCTATCGAACAACTAATAGTTGAAGGCGGCGGAAAAATTACCAACCAGGTTCCAAAAGCGGACATCTTTGTTTGTCGATACCGTGAAGGCGAAGACTATAAACTTGCATCGAGGTCGGGGAAAGATGTTGGTAACCTCTCCTGGCTATATCACCTCATTACGCACAACGCATGGACGTCCCCCTTGCGGAGGCTCCTTCACTATCCCCTTGCGCGGGACGGCATTCCTGGATTCAGCAAATTTAAGATAAGCTTGTCCAATTACGCAGGAGAAGCGAGAATCTACTTGGAGAACCTCATAGCCGCTGCCGGCGCCGAGTCCACAAAAACTTTGAAACAAGATAATACCCATCTTCTAACTGCTCATGGTAACAGCGAAAAGTGCACCGCCGCTAGGGAATGGAATTTGCATATTGTCAACCATCTCTGGCTCGAAGAAAGTTATGCAAAGTGGCAGCAGCAAACGGTCACTGATCCTCGGTATACGCACTTTCCTCGACGGACAAATCTGAGTGAGGTTGTGGGCCAAACCCGGATAGATAGATATGCGGTAGAAGAGAACTTCTTCCCTGCAGAGCAAGCCCCAAGTGCCAAAAAATCAGCCGCCATGCAGCAAAAAGATAATAACACTCCTCTAAACAGACCGTCCAAGCAAGCAAAAACACCGGTTTCAGTACGAAAGGTTAGTAAAAACGGGGCAGAGACCCCGGCAACTAAACCTGATAGTACCGTGAAGAGTACAAAGAAGTTGAAGGAGAAACTTCTACAGACTCCTGTACCCTCTAGGTTTGCTGATATCGGAAAAGAAAATGAGACCCCCTCCACTACTGGAAGCCGGAAATCAAAAGAGGTTGCGGCTGCGAGGCTACATAATCTTGCTCCTGATATATCATTATATGAAAAGGAATCTAAGCGAGTCGGCGGAGTCATTTATGGGGGTCGAAGGAAAAGCGGCGAACCCGATTCAACCAGGAAGAGATCAGCGGAACCCGATAATGCTTCAGACCCCGAAGAAACTACTGAGGTTAAGAAAGTAAAGATGTCGAAACCGCCGATTTCAATACGTCTTCTCATCACAGGCTTTACCAGGTGGCTAGATCAGCCGAAGCAGGAAGATTCGGAAAGAGTTGGTCTATCCTCTAAACGGAGAATTTATATGAATTTGACTTATCTAACATGCATTTAAATATAGTCTCAACTCCGAGATCTTGGAATTGCGGTTGTCCCTGATCCTTCGCGATGCACCCACTTAGCGGCGCCTACTATTAAGAGGACCCAGAAGTTTGTCAACGCATTAGCATATGCACCAATGATCATCAATTCAAAATTCATAACGGACTGCCTTGAGAAAGATGAGCTCTTAGACCCCAGCAAATATATCCTCAAAGACAAGGCCTCAGAACAAAAGTACAATTTTTCTTTGGAAAAAGCCAGGCAGAGGGCGCAAGAAAACAAGCAAAACCTACTCAGCGGACACACCATTTACTGCACAGAAAAAATCAACGGTGGATTCGATGCGTTCAAGTCCATCATTGAAGCGAATGGCGGGCAGTGTGTTATGTATCGGGGCCGCTCGGGAACGATGATCAGTGGCCGACGTTTGGCGGCTGACGCACCTAACCAGGATGAAGCAGATGAGGTATTCCTAATAAGCGGAGTGGATAAAGCCAGTGTCAAGCTTTGGGGAAAATTCCGCAAGATGGCTCATGACGCGAAGCGAGTACCCAAAATCGTCCAGTCAGATTGGATATTAGATATTGCATTGTCCCAAGAGTGGCGATCTGGCGATTCATATGAGCAAGCTGACGAAGATGCCCAGTAAAACGACAAATAGTCAAGCTGGACTATCTGCCGATTATGAAAGTCACGAAACATTTGAGCCATTCTCTTAGTTAAGCGCATCGAAATATTTCGTTGATGGAAGTGTGGCGCTCTAGGCGTACTCGGATGCATTAGAGATTTCCCAGGGTTGCGTTGGCTCCCCCCATCCTGATAGCGATGCGTTTTACAATCTTCCCAGCTGTCGAGCGCATCATGTATATAACCAACCGTCCAGCCCGTAATGTCTTGCTTCTTTTAGCTAACGTATATGCACATTAAGCTATCAGGTTAATTCTTCAATTCAAAAGAATTTGACACCTTGTTGGTCTTCGCTGCCGAATACCTGTGCCTTTCCCTGTTTGACCAGAACTTGGAGAGATTTCTGCAGGGCTTCAGGGTCCATGTGATGGAACTCTGGATATTGTTTGAATAAGCAACCCGGTGTAAACAGAATATCTCAATGCCGGTTTGGGTAGTACATACCCTGTGAAATTGTTGCTTCCCCCTCCATGAGTTCATAAAGTGTAAGGACAGTATTTTTCTGCGCTGTTTCTTCAACCTGTGAGCAATATATCAGCATATAAATACCACTATAACCGCGATCAAGATGACAGCATATCGAAAGTATTCCCGGCATACTCACCCAGCTTGCCAGCACACTAGCCCATTCCTCTGGTCTTTTCCACCATATCCACGCTATTGTCTTCTCACTCCCGAGCCATTCTGCGCGTTTACCCCCACCAACACCCGCCATCCAGTCAACGACTGTTATGGCATCTGCCAGACTCAGGCGTTTCTGTAGTTTGGTATTGTGAAATAATGGCGAGGAAATGGTATCAACTAACGAGAGACGGTATATCCGGTGATGTCGACAGTAAGACTGAATTAACGTCGACCATTTCTGGAATTGTTCCTGGCGAGTCGTGATATTAGGCTGTAAAGAATAAAAAGGCGGAAACGAGTAGTCTCGCGGGAACTCGAAGTTGGATGAGTCGGTAGTATTTCCGCTACCTGTGGATGCGCTGGGGTTCGCCATTTCTCATTAATATATATGGATTATATACCGTGAATTCCAGTGATGGTGAAGTAGAAGTAGAATTGGAAGTGGAAGAGAAGTAGAAGTGGAAGTGAAGCTGCTGATAAGATAAGATCGCGTGGGGTCTCGGAAGCAAAAAAAGAACTTCCAGTCCGTCCAAACCACTTCCACACCACGGCTACTCAGGACACCGGCGACGAAGGATGCTATAAGACGGACCTCCCGCGATTACAATTGATCTCCTAGGATGTCGGCGCCAGATCAAAAGCGCCAACGGCGCTCTGGACCACAGAAAATACCAGAAAATAAACCAGGCGAAGATGGCCAAATAAAGCTACCAAGCAAGAAGCTCTATCGCCAACGCGCGCATGCGAATCCCTTCTCGGACCATCAGTTGACATAGTATGCATTAGTACTGCATCGCCTGTTTTTGCGTTTGGCATTATACGTCTTGAAATTAGAATAATTAGCTAACTTATGAACAACGCATAGTCCTATTAGCCCAGATCATATGGACTGGTCTGCAATGTTTCCCGCCTACGTCAACCCAGATTCGACCGTGGTTAACCTTTCAGGGGCAAGGAAGTTGGTAAAGGAAGTTGAGATAGCTGATATTGGGTGCGGGTTTGGAGGGCTACTGGTTGCGCTGGCGCCGTTGATGCCTGATACATTGATGGTTGGTATGTGTTTGCTTATGAGCCATTCCCGTTGGTATAGAGGCATATATAAGGCTAGAGAGCGAACTGGTTAACGAGTTCTAGGCATGGAAATCCGCGCTCAAGTTCTGGAATATGTGACGGAACGTATTAAAGCGCTGCGATCTCGACTACCGCCTCCAGCAATACCTCAAGAACCATCTCAGAAGACCCGCACAGAAGCTTCCTCAATACAAGACGCGCCAGAGATACCACCCACCTCTTCTTTATCAAATCTACCTGGACAGCCGAACTTCCAAAACATATCCGCCATTCGCTCAAATACGATGAAATTCCTACCAAACTTCTTTTCACACCACCAGCTCTCTAAGATATTTATATGTTTCCCAGACCCGCATTTCAAGGCACGGAAACACAAGGCACGCATTGTCTCAACTACATTGAACGCCGAATATGCATATGTATTACGGCCAGGCGGAATGCTGTATACTATTACCGACGTGGAGGATTTGCATTTGTGGATGGTTTCGCATTTTGACAGTAAAGGTTCAGACAATGATCTTAACTCACATGATGTTGCTGAGTTATGGGAGCGGGTGGGTGATGAGGAGCTTGCTACGGATGAATGTGTTCGAGTCATGAGAGATGAGACAGAGGAAGGGAAAAAGGTTACGAGAAATAATGGACAGAAATTCGTGGCTGTCTGGAGAAGGAAGGATGATCCGGAATGGTCATGTTAATGTATATGCAAATAGGGCATCCTAGAAATTAGGCCGTGTATTTATACTCCTAAGCCTACTTAACAAACAACAATAAGAAATTACAAAGGCCCAAAAAAATTTCATATTTGTGTAAAGTATCGCTAGCTCCCCTACGCTATGGAACAAGCTAAATGACATATGGTTCACTGCTATCCCCCAAAAAATGATATCAAAATCAAACATGCTAGAACAAATGCAGCAATGAGCGTGTGCGTAATCATGCCTTCAGCCTCTTCGACTCACAAGGCTCACAGACTGGTAGCTCGACTGGACCGCCAATCTGTCTTCCCCTTGCATTTACCTTGGGTTTCCCTTGCCTCACGAAAAAGCGTCCGTCAGGCCCGAAGGAGCCCTGACATTCATGACACCGGAAACATTCCTCGTGCCATTGACCTCCAAGTGCAGAGACAACTACATCCTCAAGTACCGGCTTCTTGCAGGCTTTGCATTTAGATGCGGTACGTCGAGAGTGACAATGGATGCACCATGCGAATCCCTCCTTTTCAACGAAAGGAGTGGATGGCGTAAATGGATCACCGCATTCGGCGCAGAAGAAATGGCCAGCGTGCCACGTCGAGCCACACGCGACGATAACCTCACCTTCGATGGGCGTTTTGCAGCTCTTGCATCGTGGACTGAATAGCTCGTGGAAATCTAAGTGGCAGTAGAATCGTGGTACTTCGGGTCCTAGATCATGTCGAGATTCCAGCTGTGACAACTTTTCTTGACGTTTCTCATCTGGCTCAGGATAGAAGGCAACGCATTCAAGAGGAGTGTGGCAGTGGAAACAGTTGAAACATTCAGGATGGAGGCGGTATGAGCTTGCAGTTACGATACGCCCTGAGATGGATAGATCGCAAGCGACGCAGGTTGCTGTTGGGACACCCGCCTTCGAGAGGGACTGATATCTTTCAATTCCAGAGTTAACGGAGTTCGGGCGTCGGTGGGACTGTTTCTGCCCGGGAATCGGCAGGTCTCTCTTATGCTGGTTTTGACCAGCTTGCTCCATTTCAGATATTGTAGGTCCGAGTGAAGATATGCGAATCTCTGGTGCGGTTGGGCCTTCACCCTCAATGTTGATACTGGGGACTGTTGGACCGCTGATGCTAACTTCAGGTATAGAAGCTGGAGGTGGAGTGACGCTGGAGCCTGTGGACTGCCTAGGGGTACCATGTCTGTTACCCTGACGTATTTCACTGTTCGGCGGGCTGGCAGACCGTTCCTTCTCGGGTTCTTTCCAATTGGGATCAAAGCTCACAATCGGCCGTCCAGGTTTGTCGCTCACGGCTGAAGGCATTGGGAGCTTCGCGCTTCTGTCTCTCAATCTCATGCTTGTCGCGGCGCGAATTTCATCATCACGAATTTCAATGCCATTCTTGGTGGGGATGTCTGGTTCATTCTCTGGCTCTGGAGTTTTTTCCCGTGGAGTGTAGGAATTTGTCGTGTAAAGGGGGTTTCTGGTCTGGCTTGGTGGGTTTTTATGTATATCAAATCGATCTGGCTTTCCTCCCGTAGGGACAGTACCCCATCTGTTTGGCAAAGGCCGTGCGCCTCGAGGAACAGAGTTATATGGCTTGCTTGTTAAAGCAGAGATAGGCTCAGTGGGTTTAGTTATGTTGGGCTCTTCGTTTGTATTGACATCTTCAGGTTCTTCATAAATCGAATCTTCTGGGTTCCTGAATACTCCCTTGGAAGAGCCGCCGCTGCTGGACCTTCTACGGCTCTCAGCTGCTTGATTCTCGCCCTTCTTGTCGATTCCGCCGTCAGGTAGAGCAAAGTTCACCCTTCGCTTTCGCTGTAAGCTCCCTTTCTTCGCCACATTTAATGATGACAAGTTTTCAGGAACTGATGATTTGGTCCCACTCGTTGTATTTATTCCGTAATATGAAGGAAGTTTGTCGGAGCCTGAATTGCTTCCACTTGAACTGCCTGATGCAGACCGCCTACTTTCAGGTCTAGGCTGCCCCCAACTCGGCTCTCCGCGTGTCCCGAGACTCGGTGTCCTCGTGTGACTGCCCTTCTCGAGATGCTGCCGAAGTCTGCTAACATTATTCATGTCGGGATTCCTGTACGCCGAGTTGGTGTCCTTAGGTTTAAAGCCATGAGTCTGGTGCTCCAAAACGAGTTCTGTGGCCTCCTCCTGAGCTGCCTCGAATAGCCGATTCTCATCCTCCTGGACATCCATTTCTTCCAATGCCGTCCTTAGAGACCTGACTTCTTGTCTTTCCATCCATCTTTGACCTCGTTCTATGTATGGCACGGCGGTAGGGTTTGCTGACACCAAGCTACTCCCAGATTGTGATATATTTCTCGGCCCGTTATACACTTCAGATTCGGGGATCATCGGTGTTCCACTTGAGCTGGCGGTATGTGATGACAGCTCAGAGGTAGTCCGTCGATGTGAGAGAGCACTGGACGAGCGGGGAATGATGTCCCTGGAGTTCGTCCTTGAATGCCCATTATCGGATGGTCTCGTAGAGAATGAAGAAGCCGGTCTGGCTGGTACGTCATTTATGTTGACGGGAGCTGGTTCAGAGTCCTTCGAGGGAAGCGGCCGTGAGCCCTTGGGACGCGGTGGGCGTGATGTTCGAAGGTCACGCAGATAACTCCCTGTTGCCATATCGGCTTTAGTTTCAGTGTCGAACTAATGATGGCCGTCAAAAGCCACTTACCTAGCTGGTCGTCACTCATAAACGTAGGCCCTGGAGGAGAACCCTTCCGCTGGCTACTTTTTAACTTAACACCGTGCATCGTAGGCGTATTGAATGAGACGGTGTTATGATAGGGGCATTGAGCACAGCCTTTTAGATGGCTGAGAAGTGGTTATATATAGCTAGTAAGAGAGAGGAAGGCTGGATGGACCGTCGAAACTGCAGATCAGGTAGTACGCAGGTGGCTAGTTATATTCCAAGCGCGATGTTATGAACTAGCCCGGGAGATCTTGTACACCTCATAAGCGTTCGTCTGGGTGTTTTTAGCAGCGTATCAACACAAGCCAAGTCAAAGTTTCGCCGGTTGCGAGGCCAACGCATTGCTGACTCAGCACGGGAGTCGGTGCGAGGCCCGTGAAGAGCTTATTCTTGTTTCAACTCTCTCTATCAACATCAACCTCCATCACGTCCATCACGCCAATCACCCGGAGATATAGATTTTGAAGAGAGAGTCCTTTTGTGAGAACAAGATGAGACACACGTGTCGGCATTCACACGCAGCCACTTGACTCGTCCGGCCGGCTCCATTATTAGTCAAGGCAAGCTGGCTAGTTCCTGGCACAGCTCAATAGTCCGTCAATGCCATATATATGTGGCGATAATTTGCTTGCTCTATCTCAGTTGCTCTTCTTCCCCTTCCTTTTGTATTCTTATTGCCACCCGTGTACGACTTTCTGCCTCGAATATTGGAATCCGAAACTCCGGTGTTTGCTGGGTTTCTCCATGCCTCGAGTTGACGAGCATGCTTCTACTCTCTGGGACTCCCTACAGTGCGGCCTATCGAATGCATATTTCGCCGGTAAGATATAGCACCGATAAATTATGTATCTGGTATTAGGAATACCGAAATCTACCCCATTTCTGGGATTAACCCCGTCAAGCATAACATACACGAGCGAACCAGACCCCGCGTCCCCAACAACGATTCCAGGACAATGGCTACATTTTGAAACAGTAGATGCACTCCGAAATAACAGATGCATTCAAAGCAACAGACATTCAAACAGACACACTCCAAAACTACATATACATTCTAAGATCGCTGATGCACGCCAAATCAGTGGATATATGCCGCAATAGCAGACGGAATCTAAAAAAAAATAGATGCATGCTATGCTACTAATGGGATAATATTTAGAGCGATGTGGCGAAGCACAGGGCCGAGGTTGTTTATGCGGCTGAATTAACATCATACCGGCGCTTCTCCTCATTGTACCCTAGGAATAGCGATTGTTGCCTTGTCGGTCCGAAACCTTGGGTTAGTTGCCCAAGATGGCAGAGGATCTTTTACGAAAACTCTTTCCCCTAATTCCAATCCATGGCATCCGCCCCCACACAGCTTTTCGATGAGATACGACAGGCGCACGCAGATATTATTAAAGATATCTGGACAAGAGGAAAGCAGGAGTTTGGTAACTACTAGATCAGTTCCTTCACACAATATGATATACTGAGTCAAGTTTACTACTCGGTTTGATGATGTACTCCCCTTGAATGGTTCTGATCTTGATGAGCTTGAAGCTAAGTGAGCTGGGAAAGTCCGCTCTGACCATCTCCCGGATTTAGAGGTTAGTGAAAATTCTATGTTGTTATGGAGGCAAGTTGTTACTTGAACCTCTCTTAGGATATTACAAGGGAATCTTCCCTGTGTTTCAAAACCTGGTTTCGAAGTTCTTTTGTCATACGCGAACTTCAACATAAAGCGCAACGATGTTGAGAGCTTCCCACAAAAGCTACGGCCGTGCCCCCAGGATATGCTTGATGATTGCATTGAATGTTTGCGCTCAGGCTCACCATAGCAAATTGTGCTCTCTGCTATATCTTGTACACGGCTGGCAATTTATCCACAGACTCGACCACACGCCGCCAGTTGATATGCAAATGATAGGATGAAAAGGTCCATGGGCAGGTTCTTTAAAAAAAATGTGTGTTTTAAAGTCATAAGAAACCCAACCCACCCACCGGAAGACGGGAGAGGCTGACCGGCGACGCCTCGTAACGGGCTTGCTTGAGAGGGAGAAGGAGAAGGAACGGCGGAGATCAGCCAATCTGTTGTTCCAATGCATTTCTGAGCAGCGGGTCCGTATTACCCACGAAGGAGAGCATAACCGTGACCAATGCTGTAGATGTTCCTGGGAGAGGTGAGAGTGCGGTTCATTTTGCCGGCCCTGGGTATGTAGAAAGGATGCAAAGGAAGAATGCGCTAGATAATCCATCGAGTAAGCCGGTGGTCATTGGACAATCCTCCAGCGACAATCCTCCAGCACTCCAATCGTCCTCGACTGACTGGTTCCGACATCCGGGGCTGCATGGAAAGTCACACAATTACGATATCTCGCTGCAATGTTCTTGGGAATGGTGCTACCATTTAGATTAATGGGCTCATTAGCTAGGTTCCCCTCAGGTTCAGCACAGTAAGTATCTCCGGCAGGCTTTGCCCATGGTCTTCGAGGTGAGCCGGACGTTGTCATAGTGTGTCCTGGTTTATTCTGGTCTTCTTCGAGCAGACGATCAAAACAGCAACATGACAGGAATTGGACGCAAGGGTTATCACAGGAGTAATCTCTAGCAGACGGTCGAGTCAACTATCATAAGAGGGTAGTATCAATGGGCGAATAGGGCTTATGTAGCACATCAAGCCTTGACACTTCGATAGAAGACTGTCTAGGAGAAAGCTGGTACTCAATATGCGCCACTTCTTCTTGTCTTGCGATAGGGCGTGTGTTCGGCCTTAACGGTTCCCTCTCGCCCGGTTAATCAGCTTGAATACGATGCTGCCCCCACCGTTCCGCTTAGACGGCACTGACTCGCAACAATCGACTGGCCATTTTCGAGGCTTTGACATTGCCGGAGGGCTCTCCCGGGTGCCTAGGTTGACAGCAAAAATGGCTTCCTTAATACTGGGTCCATGGCCGCAACCCTTCAGAAGGGGTTTACGCCGTACTTCTATGTTTAATCTATGACAAGCAAGATAATCCTGCTCTGTCGACAACGGGCTGATTCCCTCGTACTTTATACAGCTCAACAGAGTGTGGCTCCAGAATGGCAGATGGTCCTACACCCCACGGTAGCAGCGGAATTTCTACTCAGATAGAAAAAGCCCTGGATGGCTTTGAAGAAAAGAAACTAAACCGCAATTCGACACCTAGATCAGAAGAGGGCCTGGAGGAAAAAGAGCCAGAGGATATCCCTCCAGATGGGGGATACGGCTGGGTCTGTGTTCTATGTGCTTGTCTCATAAATGCTAACACCTGGGGTGTGAATAGTGTGAGTTCTTTGGCGTTTTATATACATCTCAGGTTAAAGGACAGGGGTAAACTGACCTTTACTTAGTCGTATGGTGTCTTCCTCTCTTACTACCTTGAGAACGATACGTTTCCCAATACAAGTCCGATTGAATATGCCTTCACTGGCGGACTGAGCATGTCTTGCTGCCTCCTCATTTCGCCGCTGGTTACTCATATGGTACACTTGTATGGTAATCGAGCCGTCCTTAACTTTGGCGTCATTCTCCAGACTCTCTCCTTTATCGGAGCATCCTTTGCGACGCGGAAATGGCACATCTTTCTCTCCCAGGGAGTATGCTTCGGCTTCGGGATAGGCGTGATTTTCGTGACCTCTGTGAGCATCATACCTCAATGGTTCCGGCGTAAACGGAGCATTGCCAATTCACTTGCCGCCGCTGGCTCGGGATTAGGTGGTTTGGCATATTCCCTTGCCGCGGGCTCACTGCTCCCGAACGTTGGCCTGGGATGGACTTTCCGCGTGTTGGGTCTATGTTCGTTCGCTGTGAACTTGATCGCTTGCAATCTCATGCGTCATCGCAACAAGGCGATCGGTAGCAGATATCGCGCCTTTCATTTCCCGTTACTCAAGCGGCCGGAGTTCCTATTCCTTCAAGCCTGGGGGATGCTGTCCCTACTGGGCTACGTCGTCATATTGTTCAGTTTGCCAAATTTTGCCCTCTCCATTGGTTTATCCCAGAAGCAAGGTAGCATCGCTGGTGCATTGCTGAACCTGGGTCAGGCCCTTGGACGCCCAGTCGTCGGTCTCGTCAGTGATCGGTATGGCCGATTCAATATGGCCATTTTGTTCACCATCTTCTGTGGTTTCCTCTGCTTAGCTGTCTGGATACCGGCTTCAAACATGGGTGTACTCTCCTTTTTTGCCGTCATCGTAGGCACCGTTGCTGGGACCTTCTGGACAACTATCGTCCCAATCTGCGCAGAGGTGGTCGGCATGCAAGAACTTCCTGGCGGGCTCAGTCTTACCTGGGTTGCCATGGTGCCTGCAACCACGGTGGCCGAACCAATTGCCCTCGTACTCAAGCGTGGACAGAACACCACGGGCTCATATACTTATGCGCAGATATTTGCAGGACTTGTATATGTGGCCGCGGGATTGTTTTTGTGGGTGGCTCGAGGTTGGAAAATTGGAGATAACGAAAGAATTGCAAGGGACGCCGTCGCTAGGGATGCTGCTGGTGGCGTCGTCAGGTCTGATAGGAGGCTCACTCTTGTTCCCTCCGCTGCTATGGATGATCCTATTACCGGCTGCACGACAGTTGCACCTGTCATGAGTTGTCCAGATAACCGGCTGGATCAACCGTCTCCCAGTGCGGATATAAAAATATGGTCTCCTCTAACCCTTGCCCGCAGGATGATTTCCTGGAAGCTAGTCTAGCAAAAGTGTGTTGTTTCTGCGTTTCGTTTACAAATTGATGGACGATTTAGGCATGTCTTGCATAGGGGTTTATTTCGTGTGCATTTCGGGCGATAGGATACTTAATAATATAGATAATGGGCAGTCGACACTGTATTGCATCAAGAATTTTTTTATAAATTCGCCTCCATACTTGCGGAGAACAATATATTACATCGTAGATAAAAGTCATCATGCTTTCTCTAGAATCAAAACCCTGACCCTTCTTTTGCCTGCGCCTCGCCCCTTTTCTTCCTTTACAGAGCTGACGTTTACCTTGACCTTATCGAACAATTCGACAACCATGCTTTTCACCCCAGGCTTTGATTTTGCACCGTCACCACCATCGTCTCCCTCTTTCTCCCATACTTTCAGCGAATATTGTTCGTTGTCGAATTCACTCTCTCTCCTTGCCGCCACCTGCTTGCTAGCCTTCTGATCAAGAGCTTTTCCAGGTCCTTGTTGGCCATCCAGAACAAAATCCTCTAGCCTGACAACTCCTTCAATACCAAAACGTGGAATAAAAACGACGACACCGTTATCAAATACACGCATGACGTATCCTTCTTCATCAACACCAGGGGCGACATCGGAGCCGAGACGTTTAGCTTCTTGTTCACCTCGGGCCTTCAATGCTTGGCCAACATAATATTCTATACTAGCCCTGCCAGCGAATTGGGCGTTTCGGTGTCTGTGGTTGATGTTCTTGCAGATATCCTCCAGTTTGCTGCGAGTAGCAAGACCCTCCCCAGCAGAAGCTCCGGGTCCTTCATACCCAATTGCAGCAGCCAATTGTCGATGGGCGACCAAGTCAGCATATCGTCGGATGGGAGAGGTGAAATGAGTATAGATTGGCGAGGCAAGCCCATAATGCCGGAACTCAGATTCTGAATGTGCTCCGGCACAAAAGTATTCAGCAGACGTCATACAGCGTGTTGCCATGATACGGATGAGTGTGTTGAAAAACGGGTTTCTCTCGTCAATACACTTATCCAGGGAATTAGCCAAGGCTAGAGAGCTAGACACGTCAAGAGAGAGGTCGCGCTTTTTCGAGAGCTGAGTGATGAGCTCTTCAAAGTTAGAAGGGGGTGGTGTGGCGTGTCTTCGGAGTAGGGCAGTTTGAGGGAACGATTCATAGATTCTGGCAGCAACCGAGATATTGGCGAGAAGCATGAATTCTTCAACAAGGCTATTCGTATCTAGAAGAGCTTTCGTCTTAACGTCCGCGACTGGATCGGAAAGCTCTGAGTCCGTTTCAATGCGAACCTCCGGTGAGGCAAGATTTAAGGCTCCTGCGTCCATCCTTTTCTGGCGAAGGAGTTTCGATAGTTTAAGCAAGGTGCGCATGCTTGTAGTTAAGTCGTCTGTTTTCGACTTGTCATCGATGCGTAATTGTGCCTGCTCATAACTAAATGCTTCACGAGAAAAGATGACGGATTTCGTAAAATTTGCAGATACGATCTCGGCGTCAGGGGTTACCTCCCAGAGGACGGAGAATGCATAGCGTTCGACATGAGGCTTTAGAGAGCAGAGATCAGTTCCAAGGAGCATTGGAAGCATGTCTATGCGCTTGTCAACCAAATAGACCGTTGTGCCTCGCATACTAGCCTCAGTGTCCATTGCATTATTGGGTCGTACGAAGTTAGAGACGTCTGCAATGTGGACGCCGACTTCAATATTGCCGTTTGGCAGTGGCCGGGAATGAAGGGCGTCATCAATATCTTGACAGCCAGGCGGATCGATACTGCACACGAGAAGATTCCTCAAATCTTTCCTGTCTTTCCACCCTGGATCAGACATATCTTGCGGGACCTTCCAGTCGTGGCCCTCCGAGGGCAGACAATCCAAGACTGTCTTGGGGAATGGTTTATATTGTACATCGTATTCCAACAAAAGAGCCTCTGTCTCAGCACCTTTCGTCTCCACCTCACCTAGGGAGCGCACAAAATGGCCCATGGGGTACCGAGAATCTCTGTCCCAGGCGTCTATCGTGATTAATATCCTTTGGCCCATGAGCTCATTCGCCTGTCGAGTGCGTATTCTTATTTTCGGCACTCGTTTATCCATGGGGATGACGAAAACAGTTTGTTGACGCCGTCCAGCCGATGAAGCTTGAGAGCTAGACGAGCCATCGATATGTCCAACATACTGACGCCAGTTCCTCTTAATTATGCCAACTACCTTCGCAGTTGGTTGAGGGCGGCCTTCGGTACCAGTTCCATGAGCTTGGCGGACCTCGTCCTGAAGAGCTTTCCTTTCGCGCTCCGTCACCACGGCTTCGTTCTCTTCTGACTCTGGGTTGTCATCCTTGGTTAAAGCTTCTTCATCAATGATCTTGGATGATGGAGTTTTCCACTGATCTTTGGGTAGAACTTCGACTACCACGATATCTCCAGCAATTGCTCTGTTGCTATTATCCCGTCCTAGAATGAGAAGCGATTTATCAAAGGCAGGAACATTGACGCTTCCTTCCAGGTAGTTATAAGGAGACACGTTGAATATCCCTTGGTGTAGAGTACCAGCTCTAATTTGGGTCATCATCTTGGACATCGAATAGTACTCGGAATACAGCATCTCTCCTTTCTTCGGTTTTGCATCATGGGCTAATTTTGATTCATTAACCATGTCCAGGAGTCTATCTGCATCTTCGAGTCCGGAAATATAGTCGGTCAGTGATAGAGCAATCACACCCTCCTTATCCGATTTTCGGGCGTTCTCCTTATCATCGGTAAGAACGACAATAGCAGGGATATTTAGCTCCTTCTGGCTTTTTCTTGCCAATTCCTGGAGGTGCTCTGTGTACCACTTTGCAGCTGCCCGTACAGCCCTGTCGTTGCGATCGTTTATACTCTCATCAGCCCCTCTCCTGACATGGGTCTCCATCCGAAATTCGTTAAAAAAGAGGTAGTATCTCTTTTCCTCACTCCGGATTAAGGATATCAACCGATTATATAGTGGTAAGGACTGATTTTTAAGCTCCTCTAGAACGGTTTGCAAGATTATAACGTCATAAAATGCGCTTGTCTGCTCGAATAAATCCATCGCATTAAGTAGAGCGTTTGTGTCGGGCATCAAATAGTGGCCTTTTGGGAATTGCTTTGTACCTGCTGGTTTCTCTGATAGCACAAATGGAGTTACTGAAGCGCAAAACATTCAGTTAGTAAATTGTGCTTAGAGCGCGGGTCAAGGTTAAGGCTTACCAACGCCATTGGCATCCGTTGGAGCGTATGAAAGGCATGTTGTGCATAGTTTGGACGAGCACGGAATATCCTGTCTTAGGTATAACTCTCGCACAATCTTTTGAACTTTCCCGCTCTTTGTTGACCGGACAAATATTTTGCTGGAGACATTCGAAGCGTGAGGGTTTGAGGAATGATTCCTCCTTAGGCTCTTCATGGTGGCGGTGAAATTAAGAAGCCTTCGAGGGGTTAACGAGGTCAAATTGCTGTTATCAAAAGATACTACAAATCGATCAACTCGGAGGATGCGCGGCGGGACGAAGAAATATCAGCTCTAATGGTCTTCTAGAGGGCTGTCGCATAAAACCAAAGTCCGTCCGAGAGAAACAAGGCCAGAGTTTGCTTGGTTTGGTGGTCGAAAGTCGCGAGCTGCAATCGATCGATGCCCGCTAATTTCTACAGCTTTGGAGCTTTGGGCTGTTGATAGCAATTTTGTTATCGTTGATATCACGTGATATGTAACTCTATGAGTCGATCGTGAATGAAGGTAATGCGTAACTCGTTTCTCACACAATTGTATCTACTTAGGAGGCATCTGACGGTTCAAGGCATGGGGGGTATACTGCAATTGGTTATTATGAGAAGTCCAAGGAAATATAGGCCTTTCTTTGGTTATATGAAATACCATGAGGCGGATATCAATCGAACTGAGAGATACACTCCTAGACCAGTGTTGCTAGACAGTAAGTGAGCTACATCGATTAGTCGGGGGGTTGTATGGAGGTGTGCGAGAAGAGCGGCTTTAATTGGCCTATCTATATAGAAAATATCAAAACAGAGAAAATGCGGATGCTCCGTCCCCGGCATAAAAGAAATTCGACAGGATAGCATTTCCCTATCAGGGGAACCGAAAGATAATGGAAAAAAAATAATGAGGGGGTCTAGTACTGTTCTAAACTCTTGAAGCCATCATTGGTGTACCGTGTTTTCCGCTTGAGGCCATCCGCTTTCGACCATCCAGCCCACCAACGTCTGCTGATTAAACCACCGCAGTTTCACTCTCCTCCATAAAAACAGACATATATACAACAAGGGCAGCAAAGCGAACAACGTCTAGAAGCAAGGCAGATCATATGGCGTACGGGCGAGGAAATCATTGTTTTTGTGCTTTGTCGGGATCCTCAAGAATGCCTTCCTTTTCAAGTCTTCTTCGTGCCTCTTCGAGAGCCCATGTTTGTATCCTGTATAAGTCCACGAGTTAGTGTGCTGTGATGGTAAGAATAATGATATAAGCTGCGGTCCGAGACGTACGATGTATCTGGCTTGAATGCATAGGCAACGCCGGCAACGAGGAGACTTCCGATGAAGCCGTAGTAGAAGATTCCTTCCCAGCCCTCCTTGACATACTTGTGTCCCGGCTTCACGCCAAACAGCCATCCGGTTGGCGGATCGAAGTGGCCTCCGGCACCGAGCAGGGAGGCTCGGGTCGAGAATCGGGCGTGCTGTGGAGTTCGGAGCAGGCAGCGCGATCGCGCGGGGAGAGAAACGGCACGCGCAGACATGGTCTCAGTCTGTCTGTTGGACTAAGTGTGAAGCTGAAGAACGATGGTATGGACGGGTGATTGAACCCGGATGAGGTGAGTGACCTTGGCGGGGAGTTGGCTGGTTTAAGATGAGGTTCGTTTCCGATTTTTATGCTGGTCGGGCCAATTGAGACGGGGTCGGCGGTACTGGGCGTCTGGGAGAGGCTGGTTGCGTCTGCACGAAAGGTTCAAGAGGCCATCCAAGGATGGAGATGCGTGGGGAATGTCACCGCGGTGTCTGTCGTGGACGGGCAACGTTCATGGATATCTCGCCTTTGCCTTTGCTGTTGCTCTTTCGGGCTGTGACTTGGCGGTAAAGTCTGGCAGTTTGGGCCGGAGAGGGACAACGTTTCTCCGGCGGGCCTTGGGAAGGTCTGCCGAGCTGCTCACTACGGAAGGCAGGCCGAGACATATTAAACAGTTTGATATACAGAGTATAGAGTAGATAAGTAGTGAGAGTATGTAGAGCATGATAGTGTCATGTGTCTCGTGTAGTAATGTTATTATACCGACATCTGCAGTCAACGGAACCACATACTACCGCGCAGACTAAGAGTAATTTCACATCGCACAGGGCAGATATAGACGACCTGAATGACATAATTCCCTTAGCTGATACCCACGCAGTGCGATCGCCGAGCTTCGAGATATCACGGGAAGCTCGTGAAGGCGCCGTTGGCCGGCGTTCCTGCGCCTATGTGAGTGATAGGGCTGCTTCTCTGGTCAGGGGGCGGAACTTCCGGCGCAGAGCCTACTGCTTAGCTAAGCCACTAACGCCGCCATCCTAAACCTCGGCATCTTTTTTTGGTCGTCGGGAAAGCTGAGCTTCCACTTCTCGCGCCTTGGATTCCAGCAAAAGGAGCCGGCATCTTGTGATTAGAACCATTTTTGCTCTTATATCTCCCCTCGTTCCCCGGCTTCTGTTTATCTTTTTCTTCTCCAGATCCCCCATCTTTCTCCCCAGTCCTAATCCGCTGCATCTTCTATATATATATATATATATCCGATACACCATGGTCTCTTCTCCGGATTGGGTGAAGAAGCTGGCGCCCACTGGGCCTCAGGGATCAGAGCTTCTTCAGCATGAGCGGGAGCAGTCCAATGTTTCCGTTGAGAAGCTTGCGGACTTGCTTCATACCAGAGAAGTGCTGGAGAGACAGGATCGTATCCTCTCCATCATTCAGCCAGAGGAAGTCTTTGATAAGTCTCAGAACCACTCGCTCGGCCGTGTTGAGCGAGTGAAGAGATCTCTTGCCAAAGCCAAGCGCCTCGAGCAGCTGAAAATTCAACATAAGTGGTCCGAAGATGACTTCCTCATGGCCAACAGCTTGATCAGTGAACCCACTCCATACGGCCTCCATTCCACCATGTTCTTGGTAAGACCTCCAAGGCCTCCTTCGTTAGTATGATATTTTATCTCCTAACTCATGTGTCTAGGTCACTCTCAGAAATCAGGGAACCCCGGAGCAACATAAGCTCTTTTTGGAGCCGGCTGAGAGATATGAAATCATTGGATGCTATGCTCAGACTGAGTTGGGCCACGGATCAAATGTTCGCGGTCTTGAGACAACTGCCACATGGAACCCGGAAGACAAGACCTTCACGATACATTCACCTTCTTTGACTGCTTCGAAATGGTGGATTGGATCTCTCGGAAGAACCGCCAACCACGCCGTTGTCATGGCCCAGCTTTATATCAGCGGAAAGAACTACGGTCCACACCCGTTCTTGGTCCAAATTCGAGATCTCAAGACCCATAAGCCTCTCGAGAACGTCCATGTTGGTGACATCGGCCCTAAGTTTGGTTACAAGTAAGTATCCATTTCCAACCCTCTGCATTCGTTAGCACGTACGTTCCCTGCTAACATTCCACCAAGCACTATGGACAATGGTTTCCTGCTCTTCAACAAGCTAAAGATCCCCCATATCAACATGTTGGCTCGTTTCTCTGGTATCGATCCCAACACCAACAAATATGTTCGACCTGCCTCGCCATCTTTGATTTACGGCACTCTCACCTGGGTTCGATCTACTATCGTCCTCCAGTCCGGCGGTGTCCTCGCCCGCGGTGTCACCATTGCCACCAGATACTGTGCTGTGCGAAGGCAGTTCCAGGACCGTGACGCCCCAGCTAACGAACCCGGCGAGAACCAAGTCCTCAACTACAAGATGGTTCAGATTCGATTGCTACCTTTGCTTGCCGCTACCTTTGCTTTGCATTTCACTGGTCGCGGTATGATGGCGCTTTATGACCATAACCAGGCCATAATGAAGAAGTCGGCTAGCAAGCAGGCAAGCAGCAGGGGTGCTGGGCCCGAGGAACTGAACCCTGGCGCAGATCTCTTGGCAGACCTTCATGCTACATCTTGTGGACTTAAGGCATTGGGAAGTACCATTGCTGCTGAGGGCCTGGAAGTATGCCGTCGTGCCTGCGGTGGCCACGGTTATAGCAGCTACAGTGGAATCGGATCCTGGTATTCCGACTACCTACCAACCACCACCTGGGAGGGTGACAACTACATGTTGACCCAGCAGGTTGCCCGATACGTGAGTTACTATCATTCCCTTCATATAGTGTTTGCTACGATATGATGGCTGATTATATACAAAATAGCTCCTCAAATCTGCCCGGTCCGTCTTTGCTGGCAAGCCTGCTAACAATGACACCTGCACCATCCTTCAAAACTACCTTTCCCGTCGTGATACCGGTGCCGCATTCGATATCCTCGAAAATGACTCTGATATTGTAGCTGCATTCGCCTGGAGGACAGCATACTTGACTTTCGAGGCCCTGAAGCACCGTGACGTCGAGAAGCGATCCTGGAACAGCCTCCTCGTTGACTTCTGGAGACTCTCTACTGCCCACTCGCAATACCTTGTCGTCAAGAACTTTTATGAAGCCGTATTCCCATCCGGCTCCACTTCTGAGGCCGCCGCTTCTCTAGGTATCGATGAACCAACTCTCGATGTCCTACGAAAGCTCTTCCGTCTCCACTCCCTACACACCCTCGAGCGCGAGTCAGCTGATTTCTTCACATCAGGAGCTGTCACCACCAGACAGATCATCCTTACTCGAACCAAGGCCGTTATGAAGTTGCTCGACGACATCCGTCCCCATGCCATCCGATTGGTCGATGCATGGAAGTTCCCTGACTGGCAACTCGACAGCTCCTTGGGTAGATTCGATGGAAAAGTCTACGAAGACCTGTTCCACCGTGCAAGTGAGCAGAATCCTCTCAATGACTTGACCTTTGACCCTTACCCATGGAACAATACTCTGGTGAAGAGCGATAAAAGCAAGCTTTGAATAGCTTTTAAAAATAGAGTTCGGGTTGGATTTTTGCCTTCTGGTTGATTGATATATAGAGTCTGGTGTTGTGATGGGAAGATTAAATATTATGACCCATTTGAGCATAGTGAATTCTCATGGTTGATAGATCACTATAGAACAAGGGCGGTTGTGTTAGATTTGATAGAACATCGTTTTTTCTTATCATTTTGTTCTGTTCATATTTCATTTCACATATTTTTCTATAACTAGCATTGGAATTGGACCAACTTTATTGATTCCTCTAGTCTATTATCATTCTCATGGATATAATTGGCAACACCAATTCGTATAAACATGGCTTCAAAACAAAACATGACATGATAGAAATATCACTCCTTCAGAGAGTCAGCTGAAATAACAAAGAAATATAAAGTTATATAAACCTCACTCTCGATACCAGGCATCTAGACTAGTAGCTTCCAGATTAGCATAGCCATCATCCAAGTATAAATCATAGGTTTATCATGACTAGCCACGTTCCCTGGTTGCACTTTGCCGACCGCTGCAGTTCCTATGCCTGTCGCTGACGCCGTGCAACTAATTTGTCCACAGCTGTACCCGTTAGGACAGCACCCGCCTCCATCACTTGGGGCACAGCTCATCCAGCCATCAGCACATCTTTTAGTAGGGGTCGCGGATGCTGAGTTGGGGACACTTTCTGCGGGAATTACTATCGTCATCCCATTACTTTCGACTGTTGTGAGAGACGCAGTGATCGGACACGACGTCGTATGGCAATCCCTTCCTGTCTGGCAGCACCCACCGCCGTATACCGCAATACAGGCGTAGAATCCTATTGGACATAGATCTGGGATACTAACGGATGAAGTCGTAGAGGGTGGGTTGGAAGTAGGCCGACCAGGTGGCGAGATGGTTGGAGATGTTATTGAAGTCGGTGCTGGAGGCGGAGGCGGAGGCAACGTTGTAGTCGTATGGCTGACGGTAGAAATTGATGTTAATGTCGAGGACGATAGAGTGATTATAACCGTCGTCGTTGAGATGAGTAAGCACCCTTCAGCCACGCAAGTATAGCCTGGGGTACAGCATCCGCCTCCCAGGTTGGCAGGACAGGTGGTGAATCCCTTGGGGCAAGATATTAGTTGTCCCGAACAGTCCTGGCCCTGGGGACAGCATCCAACGTCGCCCAGGCCCGTGTCTTTCACGAATAGACAGACATCTCCCTTCTGACAGCAGCTCTTGGGCCGGTTGATAGATGTACACGGTGCGGATCCGGCAGGGCACTGAAATTCTCTTTTCCCCAGTATTGACCGCCCTGCCAGCGGGAATGGAGCTGATATATCAGGGGAATGCGCAAGGAGAGGTGACCGGATATTGACTGATGACCTGCCTCTGACCAAAGAGTCCTCGTTTGCCACATCCGTTCCTCGTTCAAGGATGTGGTCTTCATTCACCGCTCTCTCAGCAAGCGAGGAGATGGATGGATTGCTGCTCTTCATGCCATCTATACGCCAGTAATCCGGCCAAAACTTCTGTCCAGGATCATCTGACATCTTCCGGACCAAGGAAGGGTATTCCTCTTGGGCCTTATCATGTTGTTGTGATATAACATTATGTGCGGTGTAATTGGCGTTGACTTCCTGGGTATCGGTATTGCTCGCAGACAACGCATCAGCCGAGGGAAGAGAAAAGAAAAGAACAATAACAATAAAGAGGTAAGAGATAAATGATGGTCTGTATATTATCGGCATTGAAGCATGAGGTCTAGGACGCACTGCGGCGCCGTTAAGTATCCGCATATCGACAATGTTGATGTATCTTCAATACACCGCTACAACGACTCAAAACCAACAAACTAGCAAGCAAGTTGCATATTTTCTCAGCTTCTGCAGATGGAAGTGAAGGGGAAACGCCACCCGTCTATGCTCGACACGAGACGTATTCATTCGCAAGCTCAACAGTTTCATGAACCATCCTAGCAAGCAGTGGCGGATATTAGTTGAAGAAAATGCAAGAACCTCATCTTATTGGTAGAACAACGCATAAAACGGCTATTTATTTCTTACACACTAACTAATCATATCATCCACAACCTAGGTGTTTCTTTTTTATATTATAAAAGTCAGAAAAAAAAGTAAATATAAGATACTTCTACTTGGAAACAAGATATCTAGAAAGGTAAGCATAAGATAGGTAATTAATTGACCCCCGCTCGATACGATAATTATCCAATCCAAAATTTCCAACCAAGCTAAGCCAGGTATCAACCAACAAGAAGTTTATAGACGAAGAAAGAGAAGAAGAAAAGAAAACGAAAAGAAATTGGGTATCGGACATGGGGCACAGAATCGTCTCATAAGGATAACACATACAATATGATAAACATGTGAAGAATGGTGGTGGATCATATATAGAAGAAGGGAAGAAAAAAGAATAGTGAATGAAGGTAGAAATCATCAGCAGGTAAAGAAATGGATGGATGAGGAGTGAGTAAACGGAGAATCCAACGACTCCGGATACCGTTGTTATATGGGGTTGAATTTGGTGGATGGATGGGTGGATGGGTAAGGGTATAATCAAAAAGCAACCACAGCGACTAGCGGGTAGGTATATGGTCTATGGTGAGAAAATGGCAGTGAGCCATGACGTGCGCCGTTTACCCGGTGAAACTGGACTCGTACATATATCAGAACATAGCACCGTACATAGAATACAATAGCTGCCTTTATGCAGCATGATCCGACATACCAGGAGTATCGGACGATCGGTGGTCCGAAGAGCCCTTGTCTACCTGAGTATCCTCGGCATCATTAGTGCCAGTGTTGGCATTGTCTTTGGCATCAGAGGTATCTTTCTGCTCTGCGGCTTCGGGGTCGGTCGGCGCTGTCTGATCGTCTGGAGTATTCGATTCGGGCCCTTGTTCCTGGGCTTCACCGCCGGCAGTTGCTGGTTCGGGTTCGGCAGGAATTAGTCCCTGCATACGCTCCCAGACCTCCTTTCGAATACTCTCCTCTTTTTCCCTTCGGACACGTTCGAGCTCTTCGAAACCACCGCTGCTCTTCAGTTTGCCGTCGCCTACGAAACTGCTTAGTTCTTTCTGGAACTCGCCTCCTCGGCGGCTCTCTAGTTCCTTTTGGCGTAATTTTTCGGCACGCTCGATTGCTTCGAGGCGTGTTTCGTGGTTGGGTTGGAGAGCGCGGACTTCACCTAGTAAGCTGTCCTTCATGTCGGCGGGGGTGGCGTGGTGGTTCATTGTCCGAGACACAGATCGTAAGGCGATACCGTTGGGGTTGGCTCCGGGTGTCTCGAGGGTCTGTTGTTTAGTAGCTTGTTCAACGAGAGCAAAGGTCTGGGTAGCCTTTTCAAGGTCGTCTTCGAGATCGACGGCCAGATCTTCTTGCATTGTCAATTGATCTCGCTCCTCGCAGACAAGTTGGAGTTCCTTCTCCCAGATCTTTGTCCAGATGGGTTTCTCGCGTTTCAGGAAGTCTTGCATCTTCTTGAGCTCCTTGGTGACGGCACTGATATCTCGACCGACGGCCTCAAGCTGACGTGGCAGTGGTCTGACTCCGCGAGTTACAACGTCCTTGCGTAGGTCTTCGACGAGGTCCTGCAGGTCGTCTACGCGAGCAACCAACTTCTCGGATTCGTCAGCGAGCTCTTTCTTGCCGGCTTGGACTCGAGCGTGGCCGGCGTTGGAACCTGGTTCGAACGACGGGACGACAGCGTCTACAGCCGCAGACTTGACCAGACTAGCCTTGGCTCGGATGCTGCTCATCGACGAGGTGATGTCCGAGGTAAAGCTGGAATACGTTTGGCGTAGGGAGGCAAGGTCATCACGCAAGCCCTGGAGTTCGGCTGCCTTCCCGCCTGCTCCGCCTATGGAAGGCTTGAATCCGGAGAGAGCGGGCATACCACCCGGCGCAGCAAGACGAGATATTTCCTTGGAGGTTTCTTGCTGACGGTCGATAAGCCGTTGAATCGAGGTACCATGTCCGTCAATGACATCGCGAACGCTCTCGACTATGGTACGAATGCCTCCAACGCTTTCATCGAAATGCTTTCTAACTTCGTCTAGAACCTCAACGTTTAGCACAAGCACCGACCTATCCTTTACATCCCTCAAATCTTCTAGCTCATGGCGAATACCAGAAACAGGGTCTTGTATATATATCTCAGGCAAGTCTGCACCGTTGCTATGCGTATTCCAAGCGAATTTTTCAATGAATGCGAGCTGGAGTCTGGCAATTGTGAGGCCGGAGTATCCTTCGGGAAGCACGTATTTCTTTATCTTGCTCTTATACTGCAAGAAGAGGGTTATCTCCTTGCTCGGCGGAGGGGAATGCTCAGGGGTATACTCGGGTCTATGAGACTGTGACGGGGTAGAAGGCGAAGGGAGCGGCTTGTCAAGATTCCGATGACCTGGTGTGTGACTATCGGCGGTAAAGTCTCGTTTCTTAGGCTCCGGTGACAACGAGTCCTGTTCGGCAATCTGCGGCAGACCAGATAATGACGATCCTCCAACAAGAGGGGCGTCTCTGCTCTCAAACTCCCTTGGCGATCGGAGTTTGTCTGTTGGAGTCCGTGCTAGTGGACTACCGGGCGTCGCGACTTCGGCGGTTGGCTCTAGTTTAAGATTAGGAGATACTTCGCGGCCACTTGGTGAAGCGTTTTTACTCGAAGCGACATCAGCAAATCGATTTCTTGACCTCTGGCGGTCATGTAAATGAGGCCCCCGTAGACGGACAGCGTTCATGGATTCGCGCACGTCCTGGCCACGGTTTGGGATGGGCGAATTCTGCGCTGGAGGCAGGACGGGGATGCCGTTGGGTGATGCGCCGAGGTGTTTCTGGATCTGATAAGCAGAAAACCGTCTCGACGCACGTCGTTCGAGCTCGCCGCTTCTCTGTAGCATGCCTATGGCGTCATTCTGCTTTGAGGTTGGGGGAAGTGGTGGAGGGGGGTGGGGGAAGTTGTGGATGTTATAGGAAGGGGATTCGGGTCGGTTAAGTTGTAATTCTGTGTCGGAGTGTGGCGGCAGAACGGGCATGTTCTGCATGGTAAAACTTGACAAAGACGAGGATGCTGTAGTAGTGGCAGTGGAGGGTGCCAGCGTGCGCTGTGTCTCCTGTCTCCCCGCCTCACGTTCGGAAAAGCTGCCACCGGGTCGATCGCCAGGCCAGGGAGATGGAGACTTGTTTCGAGAAGATACGGATGCCTGGTCCTCATCGTATGGAGCACCCTGGCGGTGGGCGTTTACGGGACGCTTCTGGGGCGACTGCGTCGACGTACTAGGCGCCTGCTCTATCGTCTGCTGGACAGCTCCATCTCCGAGTTCGAAGCTCCCCGAGCTTCCCTGTCGCGGTGGCAGAGCCTTGCCTTCCTTTGCCTGCCGTGACCGTAACTTGGCCTGCTTCTTCTTGAGCCCATGTAGGAGGTTTATTATGATATCTCGTATACGTGGCAGGTACCGATCGAGACTCTGAGGGGAGGCATCCTGGCTGAGAGTGTCTTCGAGAATTGTGCGTAGCAGGTCCGGAACTGGGCCCAGGTCGGCGGTATCCATGCCGATGGCACCAAAAGCGCGACAGGCGAGGTTGAACTCGTACCCCAGCCGCACGTATACATCAGAGACTTCGGTTTCCTTGGCCTGTTTGCGCGACCACTGGGTCAGCATCTCCAGCAGCTGCTTTGTCGCAACCAGGAGATGCGTGACGCTCTTTTCTATCTGCGAGAGCTGCTTATCGGCCGCCTGCTGTAATTATCAAGGAGAGAGAGAGAGTCAGTCGACTGTTATCATCCCGTTCCAGCCACCTGGCGGATAGGCGTAAAAACGAAAAACTCACGTTGCTTCTTGTCGAGGAGGCCTTTGAGGCAGAGGAGACCCGGGCACCGGCCGCAGACTGAGTCGCATCGCCAGCACCGACGACGGACCCTGACGACGAGGGCGAGGTCTTGTAGTGGCCCTGCTCGGAGCCGGGCGAGCGCCTGGGGGTAGCTCGAGCCATGGAGGACGAGTAGGAATCCATCTCCTCGCGCACAGGAGGATAAACAGCGAGCTGCTAGGACGGACTCATAGAGTATCGCTCGTCGTCTTCGTCGTCTTCGTCGTCTCGTCGTCGTGGTTCAAGTGTGAGGATGTGATGAGAATCGGGCCGCAAGAGCTAGCCTGATGGAAGCGGCAGGAAGTCGATAGCGCGAGGCTTTCAGCAGGGCATCGGCGCTACGCTGGCTCTGTTGGACACTTGATAGCTGCAGGCCGCTGTCAGTGACTGTCATCTCTTGACTGCTGACTGCTATCCGACTGCTATCTGTATAAACTTGAAGCTGACTTGAAGCTGAACTTGACGTCTTGAACTGTTGAACGAGGTTGGAGGCACATGACCTGTACGATACCATACATACACAATACACATACACACATACATAAATAAATAAATATATATATATATAGATAAATAAATAGAGATATAGAGATAGATAATAGATATAGATATCTTAGATAATAGATTACATAGATGGGAGGCGGACAGGGCATAGTCGTGGATATAGAGACAGCCATAAAGATAGTGTGTATCAAGTATCAAGTCCAACTTCTCATCTTCACAACAGACATCCACGACTCCGACATCTCCATCTCAGCACACACGACCAGTCACACTGCCCGCAAGCTGCCCTCGTCCTACCTGACCGAGGCCGTCCTGCTTGCACGATCTCGCTGCTCCCGTCGCTGAGACCGCTGCCCTAATTGACCGCTGCGACCGGCGCCTGGCTCCCCTTCACCCAGTGCCCGGTGGGCCGTCGTGCCTTTTCGCCAGCTTCGCCAGCTGCTTACCGACGCCGCTGGAGCTTCCGGAGCTGCTCGAGCTGCCTGAGCTGCCTCTCCTCGAGCCCGTCTCGTCCTCTCGCCGCTGCTGCAGATGGCTTCGACCGTCAACTCGCTGCCGTCGTCGAATGGAGCCGCTGCCACGCCGCTGAACTCGTCTGTCTCACCGAACACAATGGCTTCCAGAACTGCCGGGCGTCCTGCTTCGGGCGTCAAGGGCGCCGACATCACTCGTCGTCAGTCGGGGAGTCCTGTTGACGCTGGCCAGAGGTGTGTATTCTCGCCCTGTTTGGTGTTTCGCCCTCTCTTACGTGGACAAATCTCTCTTTTCCTACCTTTTTTCTGCCTTTTTCTGCCTTTTTTCTGCATTTTTTTGTCTACCTTTTTTCATGTACTTTTTTCTGTCTATTTTTTCTATGTATGTTTTTACCTTCAAATAGACATGTCACTTTGCTGGCGGTCTATCTCACAGTAAATTTCCGCGGCGGTAGTACGCGGTCGTGGTGTGCTGTCGTTGTTTGGCCTGTACTTACCTCTCCTGCCTACAGACGCCCCAGCTCGCAGAAAGCGTGGACGCAGAACATCAACCCTGCGAACCAGAAACCCTCCAGCCCTTACCCACAGCAGAATGGGAGTGCTTCGGGGAGGAAGTCTGCCATGTCTCCCAGCCCCATGCAGAACAAGGAATCTTCCACTCCCGACCAACACGCACACGACCGTCTTATTTTTCTTCTCACGGCGGCCATCGTACGTACTCTATTGCCTTAACACCGGCTCAGCCTTGGCTAACACTCTCTAGGGGAGCAATGTGACCGTCACCATGAAAGACGGCGAGAAATTCACCGGCATCTTCTCGGGCTCGGCCCTAGAGTCCAACGAGACCATACTCATCCTCAAAATGGCCCGTCGTTCACCTTCTGACGCTGAATCGGCGCAGTCTAACGGTGTCAGCCACAGTGACAGCTCGTATGTTGGTGCTGGTCCGGATCATCAATTGATGATTGACGCCCAAGATATCACCTGCTTGGATATCCCAGCCCTATCAACCACCGGTGTGGCGGCCAAGGAACAGAATGGTGAGCATCACCAGTCACTCACGTCTTGATTCATACTAATCTCTGAAAAGGAGCTACATCCGGGTTCCGCACCGACACCGATATTTCTGGAAACCAACCCGGCCGTGAGAGACAACTTCAACGCTGGGAGCCAAGCGGAGCAGACGCTGCTGTTGAGTGGGCTCCAGAGAGCACAGGATCGGCAGGCTGGGACCAGTTCGAAACCAATGCTAGACTCTTCGGCGCCACGTCCAGCTACGACGAGAACCTATATACCACTCGCATCGACCGCTCCGACCCTTCATACAAACGCAAGGAGGCCGAAGCTGCCAGAATCGCCCGCGAAATCGAATCCACTGACACTGATAACGTTCACATGCGTGAGGAACGAGGCCACGTCCAACAACACGACGATACCGATGAGGAAGCAAAATATAGCGGAGTGAGACGCGATAACTCGGCAGTTGTTGCCCCTCTGGCTTCTGGACAGCCTAATAAATATATGCCCCCAGCAAGACGACCCCCTACCGGCCAGCCAACCGTGCCAGGAGCCCCAGTCGACCCTGCTATTATTTCTGCCCAAATTGCTCGACCTGACAGCCAAGCCAAGGCTCCCTCCTCTCAGCCTAAAGAGGCCCCTTCAGCCCCCATAAATAAAGAATCCCAGGAGAAAGAGAAGGCTCCCGCTGCTCCTAAGGCTAACGAGGCTTTGAAGACCGTTGCAAGTAACGGGGCAATCGAGGCAGAGCGTAAGGGAGCCGCAGCTGGTCCCTCTCAGCCTACATCAGGTGCTGCATCCGCTTCTCGCGGTAGCGGTGAGAACGCTGCCTCCAACGTTGAAACCGAAGTGCTTGATCATTTCCGACGATTTGCCAATGATGAGAAGATGAAACTCCAGGAACGACGTCGTAACCAGGCGTCGTATGATCGTACGATCAAACTAAATGAGCTGATGAAATTTTCAAAGAACTTCAAACTGGGTACCCCCGTTCCCAAGGATTTGGTGCCAATCTTAGCTAAAGACCCCAGCAAGCAAGAGGAAATCGTCGAGCGTGCAAAGAAACAGCACGAAGAAAAGACCGCCGGTGTACCAGCTAAACCAACCGCTGCTGCTGCGGCTGCTACTACGACCACCGCTTCTGCCTCTACCACAGAGGCTAAAGCGACTCCACGCAGCGCAGGTGCTCCCCGTTATGAAGGCGGAAACGGTCTCCCTGCAAATGTTCCAGACCGACAGGGTGGTCACGGACGTGGCCGTCAAGGTTATCCACCAATGGGTCCCCAAGCTGGACGACAACTCCAACATCAAGGAGGCCACCCAGGCCGTGCTGGTCCTGGATTGCTCAGTCACCGGTTAGTTGAGATTCAGCAGCAGCGTAGAGGCGCCGGTATGGGTCCTGTGCCTGCACCGCTTCCCATCCAGGATGCTCGTATGCAGCCATCTGCCCCAGCTGGCGGTGATCAAGGACAGAGCAACAGCCCTCCAAAGCCGGCTGCTCATACTCCTACCTCTTCCGCTTCTACCAAGTTCAACGTTCGTGCTATGGAGTTCAAGCCTAACCCAGCTGCAAGCACTTTTACCCCCGCTGGACCAGCAGCCGCACCATCTAACGCTGCACCAGCAAACGCCCGACCTCAATCTGTTGCTCCACGAGCCACGAGCCCAACAGCCTTCTTCGGCGCTAAGAAACCGCTACCTGCTACCGAGAGACCCCTTATCGTCAACAACTTTAACCCTGTAAAACGTATGAAGAAGGAAGCCACAGAGGCCGGTTCCAAGGACTATGCTTTCAATGGCGGTATTCCACCTGCGTACAGGACTGCTCCAACTTGGGATGTTTCCCCAATCAATGAAAAGAAGACATATGCGGACATGTTCAAGCCCCCAGTTACCGCTGCAGCTGCCTCGCCACAAACTCGTTCTTCAAATACACAGATGCCTCACCAGCAACAACTCCCATACCATCTTCAGCATGGTGCCCACAACATGCCACCAAGCAGCGGACCTCCAACTCATCTTATCCCTCCACAACAGCAGCACGCTGCTCCAATGCATTATGATGATCACCATCGAATGCAGATGTCTGCATCATCTTCTCAAGTCTATCCTTCTCCACGTCTCCAGCACAGTACCCCAATGGCTTATCAACACTCTGTCGGCCCACATAACCAGATGGCCATGGGCCACGCTGTGCCTCCATACTACCCACAGTCCGGACATGTCCGCCATTACCCCAATGGACCCCAATTTTCCAACCCTCCTAATGGTGGTGCTCCAATGATGGCCCACCAGGCTTCGAACGGACCATATATGGGTATGCCACCGCAAGCAATGACACCATATAATCCTCCAATGCAGATGTTCTCTCCCAACCCTGGACATGTATACCCTCAACATGTCCAACCTCCAATGCAGACGCATAGTGGCTACCCAAGTCCTAGCCGCGGTGCGCCGATGATGATGCATCAGGGCTCTCAACAGGGACCACCTCCTCAGCCAATGATGGCCATGAACGGGCAGCCAGGACAGGGCTACTATCCTCCTCAGCAGCCTAATCATATGCCACCAATGCGTCCCGGCCATCACCAGCAACAACACCCACACTTCGCCTCCAGTCCCCACCAGTCCCATAATTACCCGCACCACCAGTACCGCAACCAAAATCAGAACCAAAACCAAAACAATAACAACAACTTCAACCAAATGCCTCATGGGCCTCCACCACCCATGCAGCCGCAAGCCGGTCCACCACCCGCTGCCTCCTCAGGCGCCCATCCAACCGAAGCACCAGAAGAAGTGAAATGAGTGACAAACTTCTCGACAACTCCGCTTTCAACCTGAGGCTTAAATCCTGCCACTCCAGCACGCCGCATGCGCTGTTCATCTATTTCCCGCTACTACTACTGGCAGCTATGGTTCGCGGCAAGTGAAATATGAACAACCCGATTTTTATTCCCTTTTCTTTTACATCTTAAATATATGTATGGCCGTTCAGTCCAAGCAACCAACCAGCCACAGTCGCTCGCCGTCCACTTGTACCGTAACTATTACCCTTTTGCTGGATCGCAATTGTTTCGAAATCCGAAGCAAAGGGCCTATATAACCAGCACCCCCGCTTAAAGGCTTGTGCTACTGAATTCACAGGTATGTATAACACAATACCCTTCCCGCCAGCTTAATGGACCATGGGCTAACATATCTCAATAGCTACATGTGGATATTCCAAATTTATCAAATACCGAGACACCGACGAAGACAGATTCTTGATTTTTGTGCCTGAGATGCACACCTTGACAAACTACTGTGATTAAGCAGACCATCAGCGTTCTCCGGTCACCTTCATTTCATGCATACATGCATGTCTATGTCAATTTTGTGATGCAGATTTAGCCATCGTCGATCACTCAGTCGCGAGTTGATCGTGTATTGAAAACAACCCGCACATCACGATGGCTTAGCTATAGCCCCGATCTTCGCATGTACCAGCACGTACCATAAGCCACGCATGACTGTTACACAAAATTAACAAGTAATGATAGGCCGGAGAAACCAAGAGAGAGAGAGAGGAATGGATGTCTGCTGGGGAAGCTGAAAGTCGATTTTCTTTTTCTTTTTTTTTTCTTTTTTCTTTTCGGGTTTTTACTTCTTCTATGACGTGAAGTTTTAGGAGACGGGACTTTAAGCTGTTTAAGGTGGAGATGTATGGAATTGAAAGCTGCGAGAAGGATGGAGGGAAGGGAATGAAGCAAACGGAGGAAGCGTGACGTGGATAAGAGTTTGTTTGTTACTGATTTTGGTATTATTCATATTCGGATAGTGTGATTCGATTCAATTAGGGGAAGTAGTTTTATTGAATGGTCATATCATTGCGTCTATCTATTGCGTTAACACACTATAAACATCGTAGCCGTAGAATAATTTCCTAGAGTTAGTATTCCAGAGCGGAACGCGTCATCCTATTGATTGCTCAAGTTAGCCACTGCCATGAAAAACGAATAGTACCGAACAGTTGGATAGGAAGGGCAAATCAGTAAACACAGATCTCCTCAGGTCTTTTCAGTTATAATTTGGACATCATTCTTGCAGAGACAGGGTTGCCAGGTACCAGCCAACTCCGAGGGTGTGAATCCAAAAACATTTAAACAAGCCGGCTTGCCTGTTCAAACCAGAGCGTTTCTTATAGATATGGCTTCCACAGCCCCAAATGTCCCAGGGCAGCAGGCTGAGCTCTGGATCAAGCCAAGAGCCAAGGTTCCGTTGCAAGATCGTATGTATGTGCTGTTAGTGTCAAGGGATTGCTCCCCTTTTGTCAACCACTGCCATTAGCCCCTGTGTCCTCATGGTGGAAAGCAGATCAAGGGCTCCAGATAGCGGTAAGATATTCTTCATATATGCATTGAGCAACGTACTCAGGAAGGGAAAGTGTTGGATTGCAGCTGATGAGGGCAGCCCGCACTAACGCCCCTTGGACAAACCGAGGACAGGAGGGGTTGGAGAGTGGACGCCATGTCCAAGATACAGCTGCTGGCAAGAACAAACAAATGTAAAAGAATGAGCCTGTTCGTTCGTAGATCCATCCTCAAAGAGACCCAAATCTAGCACCGCGACTGTCACATTTCAAGTCTGACCTTTTACCAGGGTCACATCATTGGAGATCTTGTAGATGAGAAAACAATTTTCTCCGTTCCTGGAAATAACGGGAAGTACAGAAAAAGAGGAAAATGAAGCTGGCCTTACATTCCTGACCTCATATCCAGATGAGGTATCGCCCCCTAGCTCACATCCTCCACTGATCTATATGCTAGCCGTGGGTGTATCGATTAAGCTGAAGGTTCTATGCTTCAAAATAGCCGCGCTGGCTTTGAATTCCAACGTAGTAGAATGAGAGTAAAAAGAGATGAAGTTGACGAAGTTGAAGAAGTTGAAGAAGTTGAAGTTAAGCATTTTGATGGACAGGTTGGCGCTAGACCGAGTTGGGAAAAGCCCCTAAGGACACCGATATCAAACCTTGGGAGTAGATATCAAAATCATTAAAGAGCAGAATGACAGTTCGAGTGCGTTGAGGACGTTTCATTGGATGCTACTGTTGGTCTATGGTTACGATAACTGATTCCGCTTTCTGCGCCTTCTTCTCGCTCCCGTTATTCTTCTCCGCGGGGTGCTCAGGCTAAATTTATACGTCCTCTTATCGCCGTTCCTCCACCCCTTTATCTTCGCTGGCAGTGATACTATAGCAGCTACGGAGTAGTCAGGCGTTATGGATTTCCTCAAGTCAGCGGTAGCCTCTGCGATTGCGAAGAGCAGCTCGTTTCCATACTCGTTCGGAGACAAGGTCGATAATGGCGACTCGATTTGGACGCTTCACAATGGCACGAAGAAGGTATTGAACTACTTTCCCTTCTCCTGACGCTTCATGAGCTGTTTATTGACTAATTTTGGTATTAATTTAGGAAGATTCCTCTCCGTGTAGCATATTTACTTTCGAAATAATCCAGAATAAATCGCATCTCCCACTCGCAAGGAACGCGCTGCGGAAGTTACGGACACTGAGGCATCCTGGGGTAATAAAAGTCTTGGAAACAATTGAGGTACGAGCTACACTGGTGAAAATTGACCATAGAGGAAGTGGTGTCGGATGGTGCTCTAGCTAACTTGGAAAATAGACGGAAACACAAATCTATATCGTCGTGGAGCGAGTTACTCCCCTCTCTTGGCCAGTCAAACGGCGGAGTCTGTCAGAGGAAACGATAAAATGGGGGCTCTATACCATTGCTGTTAGTATCATGACTCTATCTGTCATAGCGATTTCTAAACCGGGGTTTCTAGTCCACTCTTAAATTTATCAACGAAGACGCCTCATCGGTACACGGTGCGATTAGAGTCTCATCTATATACACCGGGGAGAGTGGAGAATGGAAACTAGCTGGGTTTGACATATTAAGCTCGCTGAAAGAGGAATCTCCAGTTATATATGTTCGTACCCCGCTCCGCACTGGAAAATAGCAATCTGAAGAGCAATCCATTCTAACAAAGCATATAGACATATGGGAGCCTATTGCCGGACTCCAGGCGATACAACCCTCCAGAAGTTCTTAAAGGTGGATGGGATGTTATAAAAAGCAACCCTCTTCCAGCCGTGGACGCGTATAATTTTGGAGCAGTGGTGTTTGAGGTTTTCAACGGATCCTTCAAGGGGGGTGAGCAAGCCGGGCAAACATCAAATATACCCCCCAGTATGCGACCGAGCTACAAAAAGCTTATGAATACGAACCCTAAGCTACGACTAAGCGTAGCCCATTTCCTCGATCAGGGAAAACGCTCGGGAGGCTTCTTCCAGACACCGCTGATCAGACTAACTCAAGATATTGAAAGTCTAGGGCTTAAAAATGAAGAAGAAAGAGAACAATTTATCAAGTAAGTTTGGAGGGGCCCCTTTGCTTTCTTTATGATGCTAATCAGCAGCAGTGAACTGGATGAATTATCTGATGATTACCCTGAGGAATTCTTTAAAATGAAAGTTCTACCTGAGCTACTCAAATCTGTAGAATTTGGTGGAGGCGGGCCGAAAGTACTCTCTACTATTTTGAAAGTTGGCACAAAACTAACCGATGACGAATATGCGCAAAAACTTATACCGGTCATTGTTCGGTTATTCGCAAATCCAGACCGAGCAATCCGCGTGTGCCTGCTTGATAATCTTCCCCTTATGATCGACCGTATACCCCAGAGAACCGTAAATGATAGAATATTTCCACAAATGGTAAGTCTGAACTGGTTATGGGTCACACTCAAAGCTAATGCTCCCCTAGGTCACAGGATTTACAGACCTTGCACCGGTAGTTCGAGAACAAACAGTCAAGGCTGTTTTAGCTATAATAGGCAAATTATCTGATCGCACTATCAACGGTGAACTAGTACGGTATCTTGCTAAAACCGCCAACGATGAACAGCCCGGTATCCGTACAAATACTACAATATGCCTGGGCAAAATTGCTAAGAATCTATCGGCGGGTGTAAGTATCCCGAGCACCTCTTGGTATGCCCTTCACTAACCTGTACGAAACAGTCTCGGCCAAAGATCCTTGTAGCTGCCTTTTCCCGTTCATTAAGAGATCCGTTCGTCCATGCACGAAACGCTGGGCTTCTTGCTCTAGCGGCAACGCTGGATCTCTTTTCTGAGGAAGACTGTGCCGTCAAAGTCTTACCAGTAATCATCCCTGCACTGATCGATAAGGAAAAGTACGTCCAATCCTTTCTAAAAACCGGAGTATGAATATATCACTGACGTGTGACATAGGCTTGTTCGAGATCAAGCCAACAAGTGTGTAGACCTATACTTGCACCGAGTACGCAAATTTAGCTCGACTATGGCCGACACGGCAATTCCACCACAAGACCGAGGGAACCCGTCAGTGGTAGCCACCAGATTGCCTAGCCCTAACAACGCAGCATCGTCATGGGCCGGATGGGCCATATCATCTTTCGCGAGTAAACCAGGGGAAACCAAAGGAGTCATTGAACCAATTCAACCGACCCTACCAAAATACAATGGCAAGCCAGTGAACGATTCCATGCCAAATTCACGAGCTGCATCAACAGCTCCCACCATTGCGCAAAATGCCGCACGATTCTCGCAGCCAATAACAGCTCCAGTTTCAGCCGCAGCTACCCCTGACCTACTAGAAGAGGATGATGAGAGCAATGCGTTTGAGGATTGGGGTGCAATGGATGAAGCTATTGATGATGATGTGGAGGTTCAGGAGCAGGAAGAAGCATTCCTTGAAACTACACAATCTCCCAGCCCGGCTCTCTCGCCTCGACCTCACCATTTTGCAGATGAAGGAGAGCCCGACTTCGCTGGGTGGCTTGCTAGTCAATCTAGGGCGAAAGCAAATAAACCGTTAGCAAAAGTGGTTAAGAAATCCATGGCCTCTGGGAACTCCAGCAATACACAAGCCAAGCCGACACGGGCAAAACCTAAGGCACAGCTTCAGCCTGCAAAGAAGATCGATACGAAGCCTAAAGACGAACCGTTAGATGATGACGGGTGGGGAGATGCCTGGGAGTAAAATTTTGGGTCGCCATTCTACTATACCCGTTCCCTTCATGTATTCATGTTATGGGGGAGTTGGAAATGTCCCCCACAAATGTTCCAATGATGTTTTTTTAGCATTGGCGTTTTGGATGGAGCCTTACCAGGTAAATGAGCTCCGATTATTATGTTGTCATTGTATTTCGTTGGTTATCACGGTGCTTACGAGCGAAAAGCGAAAAGCGAACGAACCTATAGGGGCACTAGTTGGAATGGATATCAATATCGATATCTTTTTACGAAGTAGGCAGCTAACGAAGTCGGTAAGGTGCTATCCTAATAATAATATGCTAGTTGTTTCAAGACGGAATTCCCGTGCGATAGCAGGCTGGCGTCGTGTGAGGTTAGTCTATCCTGGGCATTCCACCGTTTCTACTCGGTTTCTAACTTAGCCAGCTTTACGAAGGCAACTCTTTTTTTTCTTTTTCAGCCAAGTCGATCTCCAATCTAGTCACCAGTCTGCAAGTTAGCACGAGTCAAAGTTTATGGCCTGGCATGAGCTCCGTCTGATACAACTTCTCGCAGCATCGTTTTTATGGCGTTGTCCTGGCTTGCATTCAGGGGCGGCGCGGGTTCTATCCGTGCTCGATTTATAAAGGCAAAAGATTCTAATATAGAACCGAAATGCTGCGAGCAGTATAAGGACGACCCATTTCATTTCATTACCAAAAAATACAATAAAATAAGGCAGCCGGCCGGTTATGCATGCAATCATTACCCATGAAGGTCATCAAAGTTAGGAACGGCTCCCAGTGCAGGATTTCACAGGCCTGTGACCGATGTCGGGGCAAGAAGATTCGATGTGGTGGCATCAGGCCTTCTTGTTCACATTGTACGAAGGCCGGAGTTACATGCAGAACCAGCGACAAACTCAGCAGACGAGCGTTGCCTGGAGGATATACCGAGTCGCTGGAGGGCCGCGTCATGTCTTTGGAAGCTGAAATACAAGGATCGAAATCTCTTCTAGAGATGAAGGACGAGCATATCGGCGAGTTGTTGAGGCTTCAGTCACTTTCACAGTCTCCTCCCCTGTCGATCTCTACGCCCGCATCGACCCTGTCTCCCTCGACACCTGCATACTCAAGTCATCAAGTATCACCGGCTGTCGGCGACAGTGACCTCGTGTACGTTCAGCAACCGACGTCTGCGTTAACAACCCCGGGTCCAATATACGATCTTCCATATCAACAATCAGCAGCCTCTCTTTCAGTACCCGTTCTACAGTCTTCGCCAGATACTATAGGCTGTTGGTCAGGGAGATCTTTGGCGTTGGCGTTGCGAAATGCCATACCTAAACACGACAATGTCAATTTAACGGCATATAATGAAGGCAGAAGTTCGAATATCACGGTTCAATCTATGGGACAACTCAATCCCCACGAGACAAATGCCCAGTATCTTAACGCCTTTATCTCGCCAATGCATCTATATGAAGCTATTGGGATGCCGCTCAGTCCCAGTTCGATGCAGCATGTGGCGAACGTTAACGCCTTCATCTTTGGTGCCTGATGTCTGATGCCAGCATTCTGTGATGTGATGATGTGATTTGTATTTGTTTGTTTAGTAAGGGGTGGGTTCTATCGAAGTTACTTGCGCTATGTAATTATCTATTTGAAATTTGTGATTTCAAGTTGTTTTGTCAACTTCTAGTTCAGAAATGCATTGAGTGAGCCATTGTAGGAGGGATGATTCTTCTTTCCAAGGTACGTGATGCATCCTACATTGGCCCAACAGGCCTGTACTCGCATAAGGGGGCGAAGTTGACGAAACATGTTGGCGACCGTACTAATTGCTTTTTGTACCTGTGAAGTTCTACACTTATCCACCTACGGAGTTGTTAGCTCGAATTAGCCGAATAGGCGATCACCATATTGCAATCGCCGTCGACACATTGCTTTTGTCGGAGAATGGACACAATCGCCGTTGGTTGCCGTTCCTGTTCGACAAGGCTGTCTCTCCATGAAGTGAACATATAATTCGTCCAGTATGGAATATATACGGAGTAGGCGAACACGATTGACAACCAATTAACTAGTCGGTGGCTTCGATTTTACGATAGATTCATTCAACAAGATGCAAACCTCCTGCCAAAACAGCCATCGTCAGAACGCCATAGGGTGGACCGGTGGTCGCTATACGAAAACGCAAGCTGGATATATATATTTAGCATAGCTCTGCGTCTGTGGGTAAATCGACTAACCCCATGCTGTACTTGATGTAAGCAACGACCATGCGTTAGCCATTCACACCGTCGGCATCAGTGACATCGTTGAGACTAAACGTCAAACATCTACACCGGCACACCGTAACTAACGGAGACCATGCGGAGATAACCCCTGCTTCTATCAAAAGTCAATCAATCTTTCGAAGAAAAGGGCTGCATCAAATGACATAACTAGTCAACAAGACCGCCGCATCCACGTAAAAGGCGCTGGCCACATGGCAAGTGCTTTTTCCTTTCTTTTTTTTCTTTCTTTTTTTTCTGGATAGGGGTTAAGCGAGCTGTCCAGTTCGTGGTTCAATATATCATGCTATCTGAGTACAGGATAGCTCGCAGTCTGGCATCTGGTACGTATACCTACTACGGAGCATCAGGTGGACATGCAAATATGCTTGCTAGATTATTTAGTCTAACTAGTCCAGTTGCCAATATGCGTTCATCCTGGTCTCGTTTCTCTCGGATGAAAAGGAGAAGCCATCAGAAACGGTGGCAAGCTGCTCTGTCGATAGGTCATCAACTCCTCCGTATACTGAAACCGCCCCTGATCATGCACGGCCATGCAGACCTCTGCGTATCAGTCTATGTCTTTCTTTTCCCACATAAGCTAATGTTTGACTAGAAATAACGATCAGGGCACGGTCTAATCCTTGCCAGCCGGCCAAACGGAGCTACCCATGCCACATAGCGGGCTGGCACTATGAGCAGGGTAAGACGTCGCCGCGAAGATCGCCGCTAGAAACATATCAGATGAAAAAGTTTCTCTCCTCCCAACGATCTTAGGACTACCAGATACCAAGGAAAGGCTAGCATCCCTCCTCACGGCAAATACTGAGGACTAAGATAGCTCGACCGGGATGAGGGTCGTATTCGCCCGTTGGTAGCGCCGGCTTTGCACCAAACCCCCAAGTCTACAACCGTATCCCCATCACCGTCATTGGGCTGGCGCATATGGTCTTGCATCAGGCCTCCGATGAAATGTCGCAGATGTGTGATCTCCATTCAAGAGTGTCTAAGCGGCATTAACTCCGTACTCCCACTGCAGCCAATCCGTTCCATATCAAGCTCCAAAAGTCACTGACTAATAGTATCTAGATCTCGCTGGTCTCGACTCTCGATCAAGGCTCATTCTCCACGCTCCACATACTTACTCATCCGAGGTGGGTGGCAGCTTTTGGCGCGGCGGTGGCGCTACATAGGCTTTTGATGCCGGGGTTACCTCTCTTTCGAGTCTAGGTATATCCTAACTAGACGGAAGCTTCACCCTACAATGCTGTGGTGCCCAACGCCCGAAAGCTCGTTCGAATTATGGACGACCTCTATTCTACTATTTTTCGATGACCAGATTGGCCCTATTCAGATATAGCCATGTCGTATATTCAGCCTCTGTGGCCTCGAAGAGAATCAGCCGTTTGTCGTGAACTCCGTGACCTTAGCATCAGACGGACTAGGTTCCCCACGTTATTCCTTCCTCGACCCAATCTTCTTTCCTCTAGCTTTTCGTTTATCCATAAAGCGAAGTCTTAGAGGAGCACCGGTGATACGGACGGGGCTCGGGAAAGGTAAGCTTTTGCGCGGCCGCCTCTGCATGCTTGCTTCCACTTTGCCGAACCAGCAACGGCTAGCAATTTTCTCTTACTCATCGACTCGCCGCCGTCATGTTATATTTAACGCTGGCCGTCGGTTAGAGTGGTTGGCATTAACGCCTTTGCAATCTGATCTGGAATCCAAGCTCCAATGAAATGGATTCTAACCATCACCTTACATATGGCCATCACTCGGCCTCAACAGCGCATATACCCAAAGTACCATTTTTTGTTCGTCAAGTCTTCATCTTACTAAGGCTTACTTGATAGTTGTTTAACTGACGATCTTTAGGCAATATTATGGACCCTCTTCTTGCTCACAACAGCTGTGGTCATTCTTCGGATAATCATCAGATTGTGGCTTTACCAGAAACTATTTTGGGACGACGTATTCACTATAAGCGCATATATAGGACTTATCGTCCAGCTAGTCCTCGTTACTATTGCAGCCCCCAAGGTATATAAATTATTTCATGGGCTTTCTCGCCCTCTCCCGCCAACCGCTCATGCTGAGCAGGTCACATCAATGCTCCGCATGGTGTTTGCACATAATGTAGTTTATACAACGACTATATACTGTGTTAAAGCGACCTTTCTGGCATTATATTGGAGAATTATTTGCAATTTGAACGGCTACCGGAAGGCATGGTGGGTTATTACGTGTCTTTGCGTGATAGCATACATTACGAACCTCGCTTTATTCTTAGTAGGGTGTCCGAACTTGCAAGCATGTAAGTTGATGATATACCTACTCGCTAAGGGCGTCAACTGACAGAGTACTACTAGCTCGATGTATCAACCCTACACGCACCCATTATATTGTTGTCAGTATCCGGTTCCATACTGCAATGGATATCATCACCGATCTGTGTAGTAAGTCAACCTGCTATGAGATAATGAAAGAGGTACTAACAAGTTTACGATAGTTATGTTCCTGCCGATTGCCATCATTATACGCTCTAATCTCCCTGGTCCGCAAAAAATTGGGCTAGTAATCCTCTTCGCGCTCGGCCTCAGTGTTATTGCTATATCGGTTATTCGCATCTCAAAGGTCAACAAATACCGTAAACAGCCACCCCTCATCCGGCTGTTATTCTGGAGCACAGTGGAGACAGGGGTAGCAATTATAACGTGCTGCATCACCACTTTCAAATCCCTTTTAAACCAGCGAAAAAAGCGACCTTCACGCCATGTATACTACCTCACGTTCTGGTTTTCAAACACCCGCAATTTGAACTCCGGGCGTGTACAACAAATTATTGACATAGAATCGAGACAGACATCTTTGTCGAAGTATTCCAAAGGGGAAGCCGAGAGAGGAGCACGAACAGCCGGCGGATATTTGGTCGATCGGAAACATGTCAGCGCTGCGAGTCTTGCGTTGGATAGGAATACGACCAAATGGTACGATGAGGATTCAATCCAGGAAACTCTGAGTGATGGCTCGTTGGACCTTTCCAGCCGTCAGGCAAAACTTCAATATTACCAGAACCCTCGGCATCTGGAGGATAACAGTCTCAGTCCTCAACTGCCGAGTAAGGCACGAGTACGATAAACGATCTATCATTTTCTATGTCTTTTCCTCGTCTGGGTTGCAGCGCTTCTATCCCTCGGCGTCATGTGTTTGGTATGGTGGAAAATATATCGAGTTTTTTTGGGATGTACACATAATGGTCGAACGGTCTTTGGCTTTTTTCCTCCTTTCTCACGTCTATACAAATCAGGACGAACCCCAGCTTCTGGGATCTGGAGCTGGCAAGACGCCGCGAGGTAGAGCTCGCTTGCCTTCTAGCAGGCGTCGAGAGCGGCCTCTGCTGTCCTGCAATCTGTGCAGGCGCATGAAGTGAGCGTCCATCCGTCTCATTTACGAACATGTTCTAATTCTCACCAGACTGCGATGCGACCGACGGCAACCCTGCGGAACCTGCACCCAGCGATGCCTGGATGCCTCCTGCTCGTACGCGTCGAATATGTCAGGTCCTGCTAATGGCGAACAGCGAGCTCCCACTCTGCACGATAGGATCAAGCAGCTAGAAAGCCTAGTAGTCGACCTGATGCAGAAAACTTCAGATACTCAGATACCAGCAACTTCATCGCTCGCCGCGGAGCGCTCGACTGCATCTGCTCTGAGTGCAGGTATCGCCAGCAATGCCTCTCCGGCCTCTGACTCTGGTAGTATGCGGTTGACCACCTCAGGTGCGAGCTACGTTAACAGCTCCCACTGGGCTGCTATCCTCGATGAAATCGCAGAAATCAAAGATCATTTCGAACGAGAGAAAGAAGTCCAAGCTAGTCCTCCGCCCTCTGATCTGTCTTTTCCTGGTTGGACAAGCCCGCAGCTTCTATATGGCTGTGCTAATCTCATAACCAAGGAAGAAATACTGGCCTCAATCCCTCCTCGGCCAGTTGTTGATCGGCTGGTCTCGCGTTACTTTAATTGCTTTGAGATGTCTCCAGGTGAGTATACTCTGAAATTGAGCTCGATTCTAAACTCACAGTTGCAATATAGCTGTTCTGCATAGCTTTCAGTTCCTGAAGGAGGTATTACAGCTCTTCCGCCCTGCTACTGACTTGTTTACCACTGACACGTCCCAAGTACGAAATTTTTTGGGAGGATCCATCAGCAGCGCCGGTTATATGGCTTGGTCTCCTCTTCACCATCATGTGTCTTGCGACACTATTTCAAAAGTTCAGGTTGGACCCTAACGTCCAAACCCCCGAGAGCATATCGATAGAGCAAGACTTCCAGAGGAAGATGGAAGGCTTTCGGCAAAATATCGTGCATTGCCTTATTTTGGGCAATTATACTAAAGGGGGCCCTTATGTACTCGAAACGCTCATTCTATACTTTACCGTTGAGCTCTTTACCCACCCTGATGCTGAAATTGGTGTTTGGATACTCCTAGGCACTATAGTTCAGCTTGCGATCATATGGGCTACCATAGAGATCCAAAACACTTTCCGGAAGGAATGTCCCCCTTTACAGGTGAAATGCGAAAACGGGTCTGGGCAACCATTATCGAACTTGACCTTGGTATTTCTACACAGATGGGTCTTCCACGATTAATTAAGCAATGGCAGGCCGATACGAAAGAACCTTCAAATTTACAAGATAGTGATTTTGATGAATCTACGGTAAATATGCCACCATCACGGCCTGAAACGGATCTCACGCCAATGCTGTACCGCCTGGTGAAGTGCAGGATGATGTCAACGGTTGGTTATATATGGGACTTTGCTGCTGACACCAGGTCCTACACCTATAATGAGGTGATGAAGATGGATAAAAGGCTACACGACGCTCATGAATCAATTCCAGAATGCCTCAAGTGGCACTCGATGGTGCATAGTATCTTGGACTCGCCACAGATTATCATGCAAAAGGTATTCCTAGATATTATATTCCACAGGGCTAGGATCGTACTACACCGGAAGTACTTATATTGCTCGCCAACGAAGTCGCAATACAGCCAATCTCAACAGGCATGCTTAAACGCGGCACTCGAGCTTCTCAAGTATCAGCATATACTACAAGAAGAGACACAGCCCTTCTGCCGACTCTACCAGGAGCGATGGAGGGTATCATCTCTAGTCAACCATGACTTCCTCCTAGCCACTAGCATCCTCTGCTTCTATCTGCAGAAGACTCGCGGCGAGACGCATGAAGGTGCCGAAGTGTTGCAAGTTGACGACATGTGGGCAACTCTTAGGAGGTCATACGATATCTGGCTTCACTCAAGCGGTTCATCAAAGGAGGCACAAAAGGCAGCAAAAGCATTGAGAGTGGTTCTCAGTACTAGCTGCAACGCCTCCAGTACAGGTTTGGACGTTGAAATAAATACTCCGCTCGAGCAAGGTAAGTGAGAAATGGTAGAGGGAGTCTACATATTAGGACCTAATTTTCGTTTACCTAGCCAACCCTGCTGGATTCGACATCCAATCCCCAGCCTTTGATGCAACGATGTTGGCTAGCTGGGCATCTCCGACAAACGAACACCTCGGGGGTTTTGCAGCTCCTACGTCTACTTCAAATGTTGACCGGCAGGCGGTGGGCGAACGTAATAGCTCTTTCGCCGTTTATTTAACTTAGCTAACTTATCGATAGCAACGCACATCATGAACTCGCTGCAATGGCCATGGGACGTGGACTACTCCAATGACCCCTAGAGTTGTTTCCACATCCCTATTCGTACCATGGATAATGCTCGAGCCCGATAGACAGAACTATAAACGGCTGCATTTCTAGTCGTTGATTTTGCCATTGAACCTATATATATATGATTATAACCCGTGGCTCCAACTTCTATCTACGAGGGTATATCTTCATGGGTTACGGGCACTAGTTATGGACTTGGCACCAAGCTATCTGTACTCCTATTTGTGGCGGCGTTGCTTGATATATCTAGCCCTTCTTGCCTTATCTTTCTCCATTTCTCTACACACGCCCGGCCATTGAACTGTGGCTATTTGCACGCTCTTGGCGTATCAACTACTTAAGCAGGCTAACTGATCGATCGCATATGAAACGAACATTTGCATGTTCTGAAATGATATCTCCGCTCCGGATCAAGCGCCCGGTCAGTACAAGCTCGGGAGATTCAGGCGAAACAAGACTGCCTATCGCCAATGCAGGCCCATGGCTAGAATGCAGCTGTTATTTAGTAGTTATGTGGTCCAGCACTGTTCAACCGGCGCTTGTTGCGAAATCCGATCCGATGCCCCGGGCCGATGCTGGATTCAGGGGTTGGCTTCCGTCTTCAAGATATCCCCGATTGCTTTTAAAGCCAGACTATATACCAATATTTTCATGGAGACTTGCTCTTAAACATACCCAAATCTTTTGATTATTTACACACTACTAGGACGTGCAGAGAGCCGCGAAAACAACATCGTGAAAACACTTCAACGGGATTTACAATGTCCATACCAGCTCATTTGGATAAACAGATGGAAGATCGGGAGAAATTGCCCTTGCCTGCCCCAAGTTTACCCGATGAGCTGCCCAAGGATCCCAGCGTTGTGGACTGGGATGGCCCCGATGACCCTGCAAATCCCCTCAACTGGCCATCGCCCAAGATTAATCTACATATCGCTATAGTGAGCCTTTTCATACTCAATGCGTAAGTAGTTTGACCTTCCTTTTCATTTGAAATATAGCACAATGCTGACCCTTGATCAGTAACCTGGCCGCAACTATGTTCGCCCCTGGGGCAGCAAAGCTGGCTAAAGAATTCCATATCACCGATCCCACCGTCGAGGTTATGACAGTAAGCCTATACGTGCTTGGTTTTGCCCTGGGCCCGATCTTCCTGGCCCCTCTTTCGGAATTATATGGCCGGCTCCCTATATACTACTTTTGCAATTCTGTCTATTTTGCATTTACCCTAGGGTGTGCATTTAGCACCGGCGTTGCTATGTTCCTCGTTTTTCGATTTATCGCCGGCTGCGCTGCATCGGGCCCTATGAGTATTGGCGGTGGCACGATAGCCGATATCACACCTCTAGAAAAACGGGGGAAAGCGATGGCACTATTTACTATGGGGCCATTGTTGGGACCTGTATGTGATCTCTACCCAAAAGATACTTATGCCTGCTAACAGACGATATAGGTTCTTGGACCTGCTATTGGAGGTTTCGTATCCCAATATACCGGCTGGCGCTGGACACTTCGGATTATACTTATATTTGTAAGTACTGCTTCTCGGGATTTTCTTTTTATAAAATTTCTACTCTGTGAATCAAACTAATATACTATCTTTAGTCTGGGGTAATCGGAGTTACTACCTTTGTCTTTATGCGGGAAACCAACACTGCAGTCTTACTACAACGAAAGGCAGAGCATATGCGTAAGGAGACCGGAAACCTCGAGCTTGTGCCTAGAGGCAGTATTGTAAGAGAGACACCTCGGCAGATGCTCCTTAATGCTATCATTCGCCCGCTTAAGATGTTGATCTTCTTACCAATCGTTCTACTTGTCTCACTCTATACTGGTCTTATGTTCGGCATCGTTTTCTTGCTCTTCACCACCTTCCCATCCGTTTTCCACGGAGTCTACGGGTGGGATGAGGGTGTCTCTGGCCTCGCCTACCTCGGTCTCGGTATTGGCATGATGCTTGGGTTGGTCCTATTTTCTATCCTAAGTGATAAGCTCCTAGGGCAGAAACAAAAACCAGGAAGCTCCAACTCTGATGCTAAGCCCGAACAGCGCCTCATCTTGATGAAGTGGTTTGGCCCAATTACTCCACTTGGCTGCTTTATATATGGATGGAGTGCATACTACCATACCCATTGGATTGTACCGATCCTAGGCACCGGCATCATTGGACTTGGGTCTCTATTTATTGTTATCCCTGGGCAGATTTACCTGGTTGATTGTTTTGGAGCACAAGCGGCTGCTTCTGCCTTGGCTGCCAACTTGCTCGTCCGCTCTCCATTTGGCGCATTCCTCGTCCTTGCTGCCCCCCCCGATGTATGAGAAACTAGGACTGGGATGGGGGAATAGCGTGTTGGGTTTCGTTTGCCTAGCTTTCACACCAGTCCCATGGCTGTTTTACCGCTACGGCGATGTCCTGAGAAGTCGCTTCCTGGTCAACTTGTAACTTCAATTGCGAGTTCCCATACTGCCTGAATTGCGGTATCTTATTTGGCATATAGAAATAGATATCTTACACTTTCTTTCCTCCATATCAACAAATAATCCTCAGGTTTCTTGGACTTTAACAGATTACTCCGAGCCGGAATAGGTCGTCTTCTTTGATAAAGCATAGATTCCATATAATTGTGAGTATTCATGTATAAGAATAGTGCTAGGCAAAAGTTCCACGCTGTGAGCTGATCTGGTGGAAGCTACCGTCCGCTATATAGACTATTCAGGTATCTAAAGCGGGATAGAGACATCGAGGAAACGATATAGACACGATCGGATGCTCTACACGAAGATGGCGCTCGATGTGCTGGCTGTCGTCCCAGGCAGCAGGATTATTGGAGGATGTCGTATCGTCGCTGTGGCTGAAAAGTGAAGCCTCAGCCTCGTATTTATACAAGTCCAGCCCCGCGGTTTCGTCGCTGCCTACGATTGTTCTATCTTCCAACATATAAAAGCAATTGCGGCATATCGAGTATATCTGTATCATCGAGCATCAGAGTGAATTCAGGTTTACCGGCTTCAACATGACGCTGACACAATCGCATCCTGACGATGCGCCTCCGCCCTACACTCCAACCGACCCTCTCACACCAGCTTCCACTCTCAATGATTCCTCAAGCCAGATATCGGCAGACCACATTGCAGAGAACATTCTATCCTATACCCATGCCGTGGAGGCTCCCAATTTCATATCTGCAGCTCCCTTTTTCAGTGAGCGCGGCCTACCAGCTACCAATCAATCTGATACACGGCCATTTGAACATACGCTGGTTCTCTACAAGCGGAGCCAGGCCAAAGACTACTCGCGATATCCGCGTTGCTGGCGCTCCAAGAGTGAAGAGATCACTCAGCATGACTGGGATACGTTCTTAAATTACCTTCTGCCTTCGCATCTTGGGCCTGCGTCGAGTCACCCTCAGTTACCGCAGAAATTACGTGCGGAGATAGAGCGTGATAGGAAAGACAGGCCACAGGAGACGGAGGAGGAACGGCAGGCGAGGATTTCGGCAGTGATTCAAGAGTGGAATATCTCTTTCTTTCGACCGAGGGGAGTCATGATAGTTTACTGCTTTAGCCGCGAGGATGGAATGCAGCCGGAGTCTCCGTTATGCCCGACATGTTATCCAAACACGACGTCTTCTAGGACACACAGCAATACCTCCCGCCCCTTGTTTGAGGAGCCTACGTCCTCGCGGGCGGTACATGAGCCATCTCGGGCCTCTTCTTCAACTCCAGTGAGCTCTCAAAACCGGCAGGCCTCGAACTCAGCACCGCCAGGAGGAAATGGAGGAAATGGAGGAAGCTCAGAAAATCAATATCAGTACAGTTCTGCCTCTACCGGCGGACCTGGTGTGTGGATGTTTAACCCCAGCGCCGCAGTCAATAACATCGCTTCGATGATTTCAGATCAGGTTCAACGATATAGTCAATATATTGGCGAACAAGCGGCTGAGCACAGTAGGAGGGTCAGTGAACAGGCACAAGCAGTCAGCCGCGAGGCGCAGAACAATGCCCAGGCACATGCAACATATGTCCAACAGCAAGCTGCATACGTCCAACAGCAGGCTGCACTAGCGAGAGAAAGGGCCTACAACAACATTACAACATACAGGAATCAGGCACAATCGGCATGGGCCGGACCCCATGGCCCATTCCCAGGTCCTGGCCGGGGCGGCTTCCAACGCGGTGGATGCGGCCCAGGCGATCTAGGTAGAGGACATCCACACACCGCAGGCGGCTTCGGGTTCGGTGGATTTGGAGCGGGTAGAGGTGCTTGGGGTTCTGGTCCAGGTATGTGTCCGCCAAACACCACTGGCCTGGGATGCACCCAGGAGAAGTCTGAAGCCGGCCAAAGAGATCGCGAATGGGGCCATGTCGAGACGAGGGCTCAGCCGACGGGAAGAGCGAGGAGCGCGTCTATCTCTTCCTCCTCATCTTCTTCATCAAGCAGTTTCTCTGACTCGTTGGACTCTGCTTCATCCGACTCGGACCTCAAAAAGGGTGAACTCGCTGCTCTCAAAACATCCCTTCACAATCTCAAAGAGCAGCAGGCCCAGAGACGCATTTCGAAAGTGGACTATCGAGCCCGCAAACGGGAACTGAAGCGTGATTGCAAAGCCCTGAGGTCGGCTCGAAGAGAATTCCGATCAGCAGGCCGCCGTTGTCGTGGTCCTCCTGCTGGTGCAAGTTCCAGTGGACCTAAGACTACCCGCGAGGAACTTGGTGCAGACCTTGAAGAAATCAAGAGGGACATACAAGAGATCAAACAGCATTATCACAATTTGATATTTGGATATCGTCAGGAGAAGCGTGAGCTTAAGCAGGAGCAAAAGAATCATAAACAGGAGGAGAAGCAAGCTAGAAAAGAAGCGAAGGCAGCGAGGAAAGAAGAGAGGAAAGAAGAGAGGAGAAGGGCTAAGGAGAAGGGCAAGGGCAAAGCTAAAGGTGAGCTCAACTAATCCCTTGCTCCATGATTGATATGTTTTTACTATAGCACGATGTCTGTCCAGATGCTAACAGTGGGTAGAAACAGAGCCGGTTGAACCTCTAGCGAACAACCTAGGGGCTATGGAGATTGGAACCGCCGAATCAAGTAGATCTCCCCCACAGTATTCGGATACGCCGCAGCCTGCTGAAACCACATTGAAAGATGTCAAGCAATGAGATGTAAATCACCAAAGGTGCGGAGCATTCGGCAAGGGAAATATCCTGTCCCTATGAAAAGCGAAAACTGCCTCGCATTTTCGGGCGTGTCGGATATGATGAGATATGATATGGCGTAGATATGGTTGTTTATTACTTTTGTCTTAAAATCCTTCTACTACGATCCCTAATGTGAACTCTACTCATTCGAAATACGTTTAAGACTCCAGCCATGCTTCTAGGTTTATCAGTCTCGTAAGAGTAACCAGTGTCATCCCTAATAAAGCCGTGTAGGGCAAAGGCATAGCATAAATGTGTCAATAGTCTCATCACCATCGTTCGTACATTTTGAGAGTAGATAGGCCAGGACTATCTCTGCTGTCACGCCTGCGCCCGACTCTCATTACGCTCAACGAGGTCTCCCACGCCCAAACTTCTCCCGACCTTTACTCTGATCTTCTTCTCCTCCTTGCCAGTCTCATCGCCGGCCTTCCCCACATCACCAACCTCATCACCCTCATCTAGGTCGTCATCTGTATTCTTGATAGCCTTGCCATTGGGACCCGATGTAACTCCCTCGTCATCCTTGATCCATAGGCCTGTCAGGTCCATCTTCATGGCATACGCGTTCTCACCGTCAGCGTAATATTTAGATTCGATTTTCTCGACTTCGAACCCGAGTGTGTCGCGGTAGAGACGGAGAGCCGCCGTGTTAGAGACACGGACATGGAGTGAGACGTAGTGTGCCTTGTGAGATTCCGCCATTGCTCGTTCTACTCCAGTATTAGCTTCTAGATTTTTTTTTATATAGTCTGGGGGATGTGTGACATACGACTCATGCGCATCAGCCTCTCGGCAATTCCTAGCCGTCGATGTGTCCTCATGACACTTAAACTTGTAATATGGCCATGAGGGAGCCCGTCAGACGGTTCCTCTTCCATCTTAGCGAGGACATATCCAACGACTTTGGGATTGGAGGAGGGCGAGTAGGGATCTTTTGACGAGCTCGACCGGTCTCGGACGACGGCCACAAAGCTAAGCTGAGGCCATGAGAGCGCGTGGTAGAGGTAGTATTTCAGGAAGTAGTTTTCGGGGAGATTGGTGATATTGCAAGTCTGCACTGCGGGGAGGAGAGAAATATAGGACGGGTACGAGCAGAGAGGAAGAATGTCGACCATTGTGGCTTCACTCTCGGTGTTTCTGCGGTCTGTCCGAGTTAATTGGCGATGGCAGACAGATGCGGAGGGCGACTCTGGGCCGTTTTAATAGTGAAGCCGCGAGCTGGAGACAATGGCACGCCGGAGATATTGTTGGCGATATTGAAGATATTGTTGTCTGGAGGGGAGAAACAAAGAGAGCTTGTGGAGAGTTCGTGCGAAACACAACTACCACTACAACTACAACTTCTACTTCTACTACAACTTCTACAACTACGACTTCTACTACCATTACAACTACGACTTCTATCTACACTACGTCGTATGAGACCATCTCGGACATGCTATGCAAATGAAGATCTACAAGTCAACCACGGTCCGACTGGCTAGTATCGTTCAGTCAAGACGCGCAACCAGAGTATTCACCGGCCTGGCTATGCTATAGATGCCTGTCTGTGGCTGAAGACCTCGCCCTGAGCTGCTTCACATCGCATGGATTATCATGCTATGTCTTAGGATAAAGCCTCCACCGAGATCCAGTTCGGCGTGACGAGGACAAGACGAGGACAAGAGGACTTGGTGGTTTTGCTTGATCACCGGCTTCGAGCAACCAGATGACCAGAGGTTGAACTGTTACACCTCGCTTGCTCTTCCTCCCATCGCTCTATCACGATATCTTACCTATCTCTTGTCTTGCTCTGGGCAGCTGTCTGCAGAGTTGAACTTTTCCTTCTCTCCACCGGTTACGTCATTATCTGCAGCAGGTTGCTGTTAAATAGGCGTCAAAGACATTTTCTCTTTGATACCTACGACCAGCCATGGAGGCCTTTTTCTTTACTCTTTGCGCCCTCCTCGTCGGGTTTCTTTGTCCCATCCAGGCGGCAGCCGGAGCGACAATCACCTTGAGCGGCTCAGATATCCCTACTTCCATCTCGCTGCACCATGCAGCGCATACTGACTCCAATGGACACTACGTTGCATATGAGTCGTCTACCACAAGGACGAGTACAAGCGAGACAGATACATCCTCGTCTAGGAGCTTCTATACCACCACGTCTGAGAGCTATACCCCGATCGTTGGCAGCCAGAGTACGAGTACTGTCACTGCAAACGAGACCACTCTGTCTGGAAACGTCACCGCGACGGAGACCTCGCGGGAACCTCTGCCTACAAACACCCGTCCATGCAACGGCTATCCAGAATTCTGTGCTCGAAGCTATGGCAACATCACCCAGGTTGCAGCTCACAACAGCCCTTTCGTCCGACCAGGGAATATTGCAAGCAACCAGGAACTGGAAGTCATAACCCAACTCAACGATGGCATCCGAATGCGTAAGCTATCTTATTCCAGCGATCCCCGTCGATGATACTGAAAACGAATGTCTGACCTCTCCTACAGTGCAATTTCAAACTCATTACATGAATGGAACCGTCTATCTCTGCCACAGCTCGTGTGATCTGCTAAATGCTGGCACATTAGAGAGCTATCTGAAAAAAGTTGCAGAATGGCTAAAGGCCAACCCCTACGATGTGCTCACCATCCTCATCGGGAACGGGGACTTCATCAAAGCCACGAACTTCACGGCGCCGATAGAAAGCTCTGGCTTGATAGACCACGTCTTTACTCCCAAAAAGCCGACGCTCGCTCTGGACGAGTGGCCCACCCTCTCTGAAATCATCCTATCTGGTAAAAGGGCGGTTGTATTCATGGACTACGAAGCCAATCAGCGCGATGTTCCATACATCCTTGACGAATTCGCCCACATGTGGGAAACCCCATTTTCACCGACTGACAGAAACTTCCCATGTGACGTACAACGGCCTCCTGGCCTTAACGAGGCGGACGCCAGAAAGCGCATGTATATGGCGAACCACAATCTGAATCTCGAGATTAGCATTGCGGGTACGACGATTCTAGTTCCTAATTCTGTTCTGTTGAACGAAACGAATGCGGTCTCTGGCTTCGGCAGCATCGGAGCCATGGGAGGAAACTGTACAGGTAAACAGACATATTCTTCCCAGGCCCTTGCGGTTGCACATACTAACATGCCTGTCAGAGAAATGGGGTCGCCCTCCAAACTTCCTTCTGGTGGACTATTATAACGTCGGCAATGTAAACGGCTCTGTATTTCAGGTCGCTGCCAAACTTAACAACGTCACTTATAACGGGAAATGCTGCGGAAGAACGACCTCTCTGGCGTCTAGCACCGTGTTCTCGGGCCTGAGGACGATATACACGGTCCTGCTTACCAGCGTGTTATTGACGATACTATGAACTTAGATATATCGTGTACCTCAGTAGAATAAGACAGATCCTTCGTTTGTGTTAGAGTATACGTAGAATAATCGTAGGTAGCTGCGGATCGGCTGGGATGTTGACCAAGGCAAAAACACGCCAGCAACTCCATCCACGCAACTCCAAGCCACTTTCTTCTCCACCAACATGCAACTCGCAACTTGCAACATCCTTGGGCCATGGCAAGCAGCCGAGAGGTTCCCGGGTAGAGTCTCTCGCTACCTTCAGCTTTACCATGGGTCAAACAGACAAACGTTCCAGGCCGCCGTGGTGTGTCTGCGTCTTCGCGTGATGGCGTCACGGAACACAGTCTGCACCCGCTGATACCTATACTCCTGTCCCCTATACCGCACAGTTAACCCATTCAACCGCCATCCTAGTCGCAGCCTGTGAATCTGGACCAAGACGAGTGACCCGCTGGCTCAGGAGGATCGTCTCTTGATCCGCTGTCACCGGCCGTTGCGTTGTGCGCTGGAGCTGGCGAGAAATGTCAAGCGTCAAGACGCCTCCAGAGCTTCACGAATTCCTCTTTATCAACGGAGTGAGCTCCTCTGCTAGAGATACAGCTACCGGATCCTGTTCATGCCTTTGCTGCTGGCCTGCACCTCCCAGAGTCTAAGGCTCACTCCGAGCTATCTCTCGACGATAACCATATCATTACCCACGATACCTGATCTACGGGATAGTATACCATGCCGCTTCCCATTCTTTCGAAGTTATGGCCTGGTGCTCCCGTAACGAGCGAAAAGGCTCCCAGCCAGAGCTTCTTGCGCCGACGACCTGCGATACCGCATCGCATCCTTCACTCGCTCATCTACTTGCCGGCATTCGTTATGCTCCTCCTCGTGCAAATAGCGAACGTATCGAACAAACCCGTACTCCGAGATATCTATTTTCTAAAGATTGACCTCTCGAATATCATCCCGTTGACCGTTCCAAACGCTGTCCTGATTAACAGTATCGCCCGAACGATAGGGTTGCATGATTTCTATCAGGTTGGATTATGGAACTTCTGCGAAGGATATGGGGATGGTTCGGGGATTACACGCTGTTCGAAGCCGAAAGCAACGTACGCTTTCAATCCAGTCGAAATTATTACAAGCGAATTACTTGCTGGTGCTACAAGTCAGTAACTCTCCTCACGCCTTGTCCACGAGGCATGATGATTATTTTAGCTCTTGCTAACCATCTGTCTTATATCTAAAGTTGCCTTGCCTAGTGGAATAACTCGCGCCTTAAATATCGCTCGTGTTGCTTCCAACTGGATGTTTGCATTCTTTATCACTGCAACGATTCTCACGTTCCTCTGTGTGATACTTACTCCCTTCTCGATACCTTCCTCGTCGACCATTCTCGCAGCGCCCAATTATTCGTCCTATTATCGAGCGAAAAGAAGAGCCATGCCGAACAAGATCGCTATCCCGATTGCTATCCTCGCGTTCTGCGCCTGGTTCACTGCATCTGCCGGAGCTGCTGTTGCGACGGTGATGTTTGTCATATTCCAGTTGGTCTTTGAGAATAACGGAGCAGACCTAAACATCCACGCTGAACTAGGAATTGCAATGTTGGCATTGACCTGGATTCCGTCCTTCCTTGTGATGATTGGATTCCTACTACAACTCCGCAAATTGACAGGGTCATGCCGCAACTGCTGCTTTTACTGCTGTTGTTGCTGTATATTCCCGTCTGCTAGAAAGGCACATAAAGAGGCCCAAGCCACAGGATAAGAGCAGAAGCTTCAAGCCTGTCCGTGAGATTAGGTCAAGGTTTTGAACTAATTCGCGGACGAGGGAAGCTATCTGTGATATGAGGGTTAACCTCTGGAGTTATCGTGAAGGGAGGCCAAATGGCCGACGTGCTGGATAGCCCTCTACAGGGCAGGAATAGATGAACTACTACGGCAGTCAGCGTTCCTGCAAGTATCTTGTATGCCTTGCTCTCAATACCCGTTATTTAACCCTATGTCAATGAGTTGTATGATGGTTATTCAACCGCAAATATTACTGTGGAAGAAGGTAAATATATTTGCAAAGAACACGGAACGGGTCAATAGTCCCGGCATAGGAGAGGATAACCCTAGATTTTAGATACCTTGTGGGCAGATACATGTACGAGACCTAAATGTATGTATCCAAGCCCGAAACGGACATTTATAGGAGATGAAATGAAAGTCTACGAAATACGTCTCCCAACGGTTATGCAGGATTAAGAAATAGAAAACGCAGTAATCACATTGGTCGTGTACTATCTATCGGTCATTAGTTTTGTGAGAAAATAGAAACAGGGGTATCATATACATCGCTAATAATAGAATAAGAATGTTAAACGGTTGATTCAAGTTCTCGCATCATCATTTGAGCCAATTCATCATCATCATCTTCTTCTTCTTCTTCTTCCTCCCTTTCATCCTGTTCAATCTCCCCTTCGCCAATCTGTGTTGCCCGTTGGGATAAAGCACGATTTCTGTTGTTGTCAAGCCATTGGTACTTCTTCTTACGCAATCCATTTAACGCAGTAACATTGGGCTCTAGACGAGGAGTTTGTCTTGATGCCCTTGGTTCAATGGGTACCGGTTCTTCTGCGGTAAGATCGATGCTAACAGGTTCCGAGCATGTAGTCCCGGATATGCTTGGGGTTCTAGTTGAAGGCTGAGAAGTCGGTAGAGCGGCTGGCAACGACTGGGAAGTAAGAGGAGTTCCCGGCGCATTTTGAGGTGCCATGGCAACTTTGTGTTGAGAAGCAAGGTTGCCGTACGTGACTGCGAGGCTTTGGTATTTGTTTCGCCAAAATTCCGCCTCCGTCATCGCGTCAGTTGCCCTTTTCTCCTTCAGGGCTACTAATCGCTTTAAAGCCGAACATTCCTCTTTTATTTCCTGCGCCTTAGTTTTCCCTGTCCTGGAATCGACTGCTGTCCACTCTTTGGAGAGCCATAGATATTTATTGCGGTCGTATCTGAGGTTCGAGAGTAGCTTGCGGTATTGATTCATGCGATCGACAATGGTATCTTCCGCAACTTCGACACTTTTGACGTGGACTGTAGGGGTTGACGGAAAGTAGCCTAAAGGCCCACCCATGCGAGGATAAGGTGATATATATTTCTGTGCATTGCATGGCATGGTGAATATCTCCCGGTGGGCATAGTTAATCAAGTCCTGGTTTTTGACATTGTTGTTCGTTCTTAGGAGCTCAGACGCACTGGCTGGCAGTTGCCGTTCTGTAACAGGCGCCTCCCTAACGGGTGGCTCTTCAAGCGGAATAGGAGACTCAGGTGGTGATAAAATAGACGGGGATAAGGTATGGCGTCTCGTGCCAGGTAAAGATAGTGGTTGGTGGGCTGAGGCCGTATCGGGAACATTTATATCGTCAAAGCTGTCGAATAGGGAGTCCACAGATGGTTCACGTTGAGCTCGAGCACTACTATCTAATACAGTAGGTGTTGAAAGTTGCTGGGTGCTCGGCGGTAAGGATAACATATGCTGATCAATACTTGTCCTCTCAATGTTTGCTGTTCTAGTAGTATCTGTATGGGTTGCAGAAGTGCCTGGCGGTCCCTCAGTGCCAGTCAATGTACCCTGGTAGGACTGAAGAGACGCAGGAATCGCATCGTAGGTAGGCGAGGGGTATTTGTCGAACGGATGAGAGTTGCTGGCTCGGGGCTCTGTATCGTCGATGACCAGATGACACGGCCATTTCGCCGGCCTAGTCGTCTCGCCAAAAGCGGCATCCGTGGCACAACCTATGCTATCAAAAGGTCTTTTGAGAATTTGCTTACCCGCGCCTGATGCCTCCGCTACGGTGGTTGTAGGTACGGATTCCTTTGGTTCAAAAACTTCCTCGGTTTCCAGTATATGCGGCCATGGAGGTCCGTTATCGTTTGGTGGGTGTTCAACTTGGTACGAGTTCCCAGTGACACCGCCATCACTTCCAGGTAAGCCCGCAAGGCTGTTTATACCATCCTGGGGACTTAAACAGTCTTCGTCAAGGAGACCCAGCTCCGCAAGGGTCCTGATATCCTCCAGTTCGCCCAGAAAATCCCACGAGTCCTGCAGCTGTGGTTCAGGGAAGTGTGTAAGCTCTAGGCCTTGATTCATATTTGGCGGAGAGTGAGGGGAAACGTCTGTCTGAAGCTCATGAGGGCTTTGGGCAGGGTGAAAACAGCGAGGCAGTGTCTGTAAAGAAGCATAAATACCTTCTGATGACAAGGACTGCATCTTTAGTGGGCATATAAAAGCGTCACAGTGCAGCTCGCTATTGGTATTGATGCTACAAGCCTGTCAATAACAGTTTATAGATCAGTCGAGGAACAATAGCATTCCTCTTCGAAGTAGCAAGAATCACACCTAAACAAGCGTGTGAGGGATGCAGTTTCTGTCTTTGAGCCGGTAACTCATAAACGAATCTGCTATCCACTTGTTATGCAGTTCTAGCTAGTCGATCGAGGTGGTAGAAGAGAGATCTTCGTTGATATGAAGATATCTTCTGTCTGTGTTGCTCAAGAAGGATTTTTGAGTCACTTTTGACGCCGCCGGAACATCCATTTCCCACCGGATTAACTATCGCATATATAGATCACGCGAAACACATCATAAATACGGAATCCAGATACTAAAAGTGGTTTCTTATAAATAGCAAACTGCGTATGACAGTATATCTAGTTAATTCATATATGTAAATCGAAATAAGGCACGATAGACCCATATTGTTGTATATTCCACGCAGAAAGTATTTATATCCGGCAAAACATTCCGCCGGGCCCCGCGGCTATCCTCTAGGTCTGATAATAAAAAGACGAGAAGAGAGATACACGACGAAGGCTTCAATTGTGATGACCATTTCCTAGCTGCTCAAGCCGTACCTGACGCTACAAGTAGTCTACTGCAAGCATGAGTGTGATTCTCTGTACTGGTAGGCATGCTCCCACTTCTGATTTCCTATATCAAGTCAGCTAACAGCGCATCGAGTATAGCGGGATACGACCATATTATCCGGTATGTTTTAACTGAATATGTAAGACTGAAGCTCGAAATCACGGAACTGACCTATTCACTAGCTTCTGGGAGGCCCTCTCCGGCATCTGCTCGCGAACAATCCAACATCCAGAATCGCAAGTCAACCGATTATGCATTACTCCGGACAAACGGTTTGTCGCCGCTGCCGGCCGTCACCGTGTCTATCTTTATGATATCAGATCTACAAACCCGAACCCAGTGATGAAATTTGATGGCCACACGAATAATATTACTGGGGTCGCGTTCCACTGTGAAGGGAAGTGGATGGTTACAAGCTCAGAGGACTGTTCGGTGAAGGTGTGGGACGTACGTTCTGGGACACTGCAGCGAAATTACACACACAAGGCGCCCGTGAATGATGTGGTGATCCATCCGAACCAGGGTGAACTGATTAGTGGGGATGGGTCTGGCTATATCCGAGTTTGGGATTTGGGTGAGAGTAGGTGTACGCATCAGCTTATACCAGAGGAAGATGTTTCTGTGGCCAGTGTTAGCGTTGCTAGTGATGGCTCCTTGCTCTGTGCTGGGAATAATAAGGTATGGCTGCCTCGATCCTCTCGCTTTACTCCTTCACTCCTGGTATATACATCTTACTTACCACTGTTACTGGGTAGGGAAATGTATACCTCTGGCGAATGCTTCAAAATCAAGATGAAACGAGTATTGTTCCCGTTGCAACTTTCCAGGCTCATAAAGATTACCTTACCCGAGTACTACTCTCGCCGGACGTCAAGCATCTAGCTACCTGTTCGGCAGACCACACAGCCAAAGTATGGTCACTTGACCCGGAGTATGCCCCAGCGAAGATGGCAGCGGCTGCTAGGGAGAAAGCCGGTGAGAGTGGCCAGAAAAGTGCCCCCAACGGACCGGAAGCAAACGGGAAGACTCCGGGGAAAATATCATCAAAGCTCAGGACGGAATGGAATGGAAAAGGATCACCAGCGAGCTCTGCGGTTATTACATCCGGCGGCAGTACTGAAATATCAGCCTCTGAACTTATCCAGGCTGACAGCTTCGTGTCAGATACGCCATTTGTTTCGTTACTTGACGGGCCGCCTATGGATCCTACAACCAATACCCTCTATCTCGAGACAACATTAGCAAGTCATCAGCGCTGGGTATGGGACTGCGCGTTTTCGGCCGATTCAGCATACCTGGTGACGGTGTCTAGCGATCACTGTGCCCGTCTGTGGGAGCTTTCATCGGGTCAAATCATCCGTCAATACCAGGGCCACCATCGAGGTGCTGTATGTGTGGCCCTGAATGATTATTCAGAGCCGCGGTGAAGGTAGTCGACTTTCCTTTTTTCCTCACAACCCGATTCAGACACTATATGCGCGAGGTGATATATTTTCTGGTCCTTTTGATACCTATCTCCTATCTCCCTCCTTAGCTCGCTGTGTTTAGCCTGGCGTTATATTTATTACGGCGTTTTGTTCTACCGCAACCTTTCAGGATAGGTTAATGTATGGAGGAAGTTAGTTCCATGTATGATTCATGAAATGAATTTAATTGAGTTAAAGCCTGGCATGGCAGAATGGGAGATATGATATTGGACAATCTTTATTCTCTTGTCAGCTCTCCTTACTTTATGTCGCTAGAAATAGATATAAGTAAAAAATGCTTGAAGCCCATCCGCATTGACCTGCTGCGAGAAGATGGCCTTTTGACTAGGGCTTCTAATGGATATTCCTAACCACTTAATGTACCCCTGTGAATTCAAATTGTTCTCATCCTGGAGATTGCATCTTTCCAAAAAAGAATATTCTGTATGATTTTTTTTAACCTCCCCCTCCACGGTTTACTTTGTAGAACCGAACCAGACCACGTTCAGCACCAGGTCCATCCCCTTATCTTCTCCGCTCGGGTGTTTGTATGTCCACATGCCGTCATGCTTGGTGTCCCAGTACGCTCCCGAAGCGCAGTGCATGCCACGTCGCCCAGCAGCTTCGACAGAGTTAGATCCCTCTTTACTCGAGAAGCCCTGCTGTATGATTGTGCATGTCACGTTGAACCGGTATGTGGGTTTCGAGTGGTCCTTGGGGCCGTCTTCTTTGTCATCAGATTCGTCCGAGGGTATCGCGGCAATAAGTGACTGGAGGACTTTTTTCTGCATTGTCAAACGGTATTAGTCAATGGTTCGGGATAGAAAATGGTGGCACGGCCGTACTATTATCTGCGCGCTCCATTCCGAGACCTTTTCGTGGTCGTATTGCTCAACACCATCTAATGTTGCATCGCATGCCTGGCGATTGAGTTAGTGACTATGGCTACCATTGATACATGCGCAATGGGTGTACCTCTGTTGCGAACTTGGTGAGCTGTTCCACAGGAATTGGCTACAATAAAGACAATGGTGTTAGTGTATGCATTGTTATAGACAAGAAGCTGGGGTACCCACAGAGCTAGAATGCGGTTCGACCGCCATGCTTCCGGGAGTACGGGGTAAGAGGGCAGTAATGGCAGTTGGACGGGCTCTGTCGTGAAGATGCGAGTGATCGTTACTCTGCTACCGGCATGCAGGGATGGTATATCGCAGACTCCCAACTCTTAAGCCGCGGCCCTTTTTGTCTCTTCGTGTTTACGCAAAACGGTCAACAAATAGGGACTTACATAAGCAAGCCCAATAGCTGATTGGCCCGGAACCACGTGAGAGCTTCGTCCCAAAGTGGCGACGACGCAGGATGTGCTTTTCTCTCTGACGCCTACGACCGAGCGAACGCAGCAGAGAAGACGACGAGACGGCGATAGCAGCACTGTCGCCCTGGGATAGATACCAATTGCAGCTGTTCCCCTCGATATACCCCCGCAGCAGCTTCCCCTACACACAGCCGCCATGTCTAGCCAGCCCCTCCTCCAGTCAGCTCCAGGTAAGCTACCGAACAGGATATCTCAGCCGGGGGAAACCTCGAAGCTAACAGCGATAATGACATGGCATAGGCAAGAGGATTGCACTGCCCACTCGTGTTGAACCCAAGGTCTTCTTCGCCAACGAACGAACGTTTCTCTCATGGCTCAACTTCACCATCGTCCTCGGCGGCCTGGCCCTCGGCCTGCTCAACTTTGGAGACCGCGTCGGCCAGATCAGCGCTGCCCTTTTTACATTTGTCGCCATGGCTGCCATGATATATGCGCTAGTGACGTTCCACTGGCGAGCTCAGAGCATCAGGAGACGGGGACAGAGCGGGTTTGATGACCGGTTCGGCCCCACGGTGTTGGCCATCGCATTGCTCGCAGCCGTTATCGTCAATTTCGTGCTGAGGTTCCGACAAGGTAGCGCCAAATGAAGGGGAGAGAGTGTGTGTGTGTGATGCGGGAGTAGATTGTGGAGTTAAACCTGTTGTCGACTGCCGGTTTATCTACCTGCGGTGTTGAAACTTTGGGCGCAGAGGGATTGGCATGGGTCTGCAAGTTAATACTATATCTGACGGTCTGGCTTCCTGCTGTGGAATATGTTTATATATATGCATGTTTGATGAGTTTCCGAGGTCTTTTTAGCTGGTGGTATGCGTTATCAGCGGTATGAAGTGATTGTTGCTGCATCCGTGTGCAATGGATGAGTGATGCTCAGGGCAGCCGGGCAACTGTACATTCCATTTCCTTTATTGTTACCATTGAATCGAATTATTGCTTATCAGATATTGAAGGATTGGCGTATGTCATGCAGGTTTCTGCCTTGTCATCCGATTGGCCGGCGTAAGCGCGACTGTAGAAGCGCGTCTTCCTGGATGAAAAGTTGACTTCCATGTCTTCGCTATGGCTTCAGCCTGGCTGTACTAAACAACTCGAATATTCCACCCGGTTGGGAAGATATACATATCAGTTGTATATCCACGTTTCTATCGTAACCTCCGTTGATACCCAGACCATGGCAAGCTCATGGTATTGCGAAAGATATCCTGACGTCGACCATTTATAGACAGAGATCATATCCATGATTCTGAGATACGAGATATTTGATTGATTTGATTGGTCAGGTGGGTCTGGAGCAATCTATGAGATTTCAATCTATCAAGCACTGATCATCTAAATACACGATATTGAGCTCCTATTTATGTTCCTCATACGGCCATGTATCTTGCCATCGCGGAGATGCCAGCTACAGCTGAAACAGGCGTTAAAACGCCGGGCGTAGCATTTGTTCGATGATGGAGAGCTGACACTGATATTTAATGAAACGGCGTAGTTGACTAACGTGTTTCGTACGATCAGGCAGTATTACACCGAATCTCCGTTCAACAATGATCGAGAGCGAAGTTTCTTTTATACCCAGCCTAAAATTCCTGTGTGATGCTGAATATTATCGACCATGCCAATATGAAATCTTGGAGGTCTTCGTACTTGTCATGGATGGTGTACCGCCTAAAAATCTCATGCCTCCCTCTTAGGCTAGCCAACTAGATCTATCACAAGAGGACAAGAAGTTTGTTTTGAAGATAATGAAACTCAACCGACGGGACAGTGCAACTGCAAAGGCCCTTTCTGAGCATGAGTGGCTCGGTAGAATATAACAGATTGTGCAGTTCGACTTGCTTTTCCGTGGGCAAGGGCTGATCTTTGTTCATCTCGGATGAACCTATGGCTGGACAGGCACGGGATAAACTAACGCATCAGAGTCAGCTTACCAGCTCAGATAGTATGATCACCCGCGAGCTTGTGTCGTCGAGACTAATCAGATCCTGCATCTTAGACTCGCAAGAACTTGTTTGCCATTGGTTCTGTATCAAAACTCGTGTCCCCTTAGTATGCTGTATGCTACTTGGACAAAAGTAAGCAAATTTTGAGGATGCGTGGAAGCTCTTATTCTGTTTGAGGACGATTCGCTCCAGTATCCAGTCAGTGCATATGATCCCTGACCCTTTGTCATCACCATGAAGGATCAGCCATACAGTACGGGTAGCACGAACCGTTGTGACCGGGCTGCATATCTCGAATCCTGCAAGCAGGCCTGAGAGCGACTACAGGTCGCGTATGTCGGAGATGGGCGGCCATACGTTACCCCCAGGTTGTACAGGCCAGCATACCATGCAACACGACGGATACCCGTGTTCAGTCGTTAGGATGTTTTGAACCAGGCGGCTCATGTCTTCTTTTTCATTTCAGGATTAGTATGTTAGGTACGTAATCGCCCCCGGAGTTTAAGCACTGTGACGACCAAATATACTACCTACTGACTGGAATCAACACTCTCAGTACCTTAAGAATAGTCTATAGGCACTAGAACTACACATCTGATATTGTACCCTGGATCAATAAAATTTGTTCCCTAAGTATATATATTTAGCTAGTATACTTCCTACTAGGGCTGTTATCTGGCTTATTCTTACTCCCTACTGTCCTGTTGGTCAATAAGATGTAGATCTATAGAATGATTCGCTGTTGTGTTTGGCTCCTAGAATTTCTGCTTTTTAGGATCGAGGGAAGCGGAAACTATATGTAGGTACTAGCTTAAAGCCCCCAGAACAGAGCGTAGTATCTACATCAGTCATGCAGAAACGTACTTCATGTGGTTGATTGGCCAGAGTCTGCTATCTGCGCTGCCCGTGTATTTCATCGTCTTTGTTTTGAGTCTTGACATGGCCGCATGATTCTCTGCCGTGTGTGATACGACTCGCGTCCAATATCCAACGGTTTCCATTAGACACCAATCCAGCCTTTTCCTCCTTTCGGACCTATCAGTTTGCTACGGGGCTTGTCCGCGGCTTTTTATTTACGGGACGAGCCGTCCATAGTGCAGGATTTAGTGTGTAAATTAAGCTGTACAGAATAAAAGAAATATTGGGCTGAAAAAGAAATTATCTTGAAAGACGAATTTTTTGACATAGCCCGTGAGTATAGAGTAGTCCGAACGTTATCGGAGGCCCATTTTAGCCTCGTTCACGGCCTCATGAGGTGTATTAGCTGGTATACTTTCTCTGGTTGTATTTGGGGTTGGATTGTGAAGTATGTAGATATACGAATTCGATGTTTTGACATGTTCAACGGCAAATGTCTATAACTACATCTTTGAATTATCTCGTAAATATTTAGAAGTAGACTGCCACCGCATACCCCGCACCTTAGGGCCCATTGTGAAATGTGTTTCACGTAGCAGTTACACTGCGTTCGGCCAGTAATCAGCTCTACCTTGTATGTTGAACAGGTAGAAACGAATACATCAATACTCCGTACACATTCATCGAAAGGGCGTCAAGAATCAAGCTTATATCGTAAATATGCACCTCAAAATAGAGGTGCATATTATCTTGGAATGTGCTCATTTGTGTGTGTGTATATATATACCCCGTATGCAGGCATTGAATGTAGGGAAACCTCCAGGAGCCCCGACTGCTTGAGCTACATTTTCTCCCTTCCCAACGGACGAGGGACCCACAATGTTCATTTCCTTGCCTATCATTTGCCTTGGGCTGGCGGTTTGCTTTTTTTCGCTTCGGTATCTCCGTCGACGATTACCACTGCCTCCAGGGCCCCCGGGACTGCCGCTTATCGGCAATCTGCATCAGATACCAGAATCCTATCCATGGAAGACTTACAAAAAGTGGCATGATATATATGGCCCAATCATTACTGTCAAACATGGTCTAAAGACAGTCATTATCCTCGGATCACATCAAGCAGCCAAAGATCTGTTGGATAAGCGAAGCGGTATCTATAGTTCTCGGCCGAAGTTCCGTGTCCTCAACTATATATACGGCGGTCTTCAAACCTCGCTCCTACCGTATGGGCCTAAATGGAAGCAGTATCACCGTATCCACATGTCATTTCTCAATGTTAGCATGGTGAAAAGATACCGTGTCCTTCAGGACGTTGAGAGCAAAAGGCTTCTGCAGGAGCTACTTCTGAATGGAAGTGACTTTACAAGTATCTTGCGGCGTTTCTCGTCCAACCAGATATTTTTATTAACGTATGGTAGAAGAATGGTCGACAAGGACGAACGAGAATCCATCGAATTTTATAACAACGCATTGGCTGTTCTATCGGAGGTTCGGGGCGAGCTTATTCTCGAAGAAACACCAATTCTCCCGTATGTCCCAGACTTCCTGGCCAGATGGAAAATCTCGTCTCGACGGCTCCTCAGCAACCAGACTGGGATCCTTGCACGGAACACGAACGCTGCTCTAGAATCAGGTTCCTGGAACTGGTCTAAAGTAGGGCTCAGGGAGCAAGAGACAAGTGGACTTAGCCGGGAAGAGCTAGGATGGGTTATTGGTAATATATATGACGCTGCTCACGCATTGCCGATGGCTCTGGAAGTCTTCGTTATGGCAAGTGTGTTGCATCAGGATGCTGTCCGAGAGGTGCAGGAGGAGCTTGACCGAGTTGTTGGGTCAGATAGGCTGCCGACCTTTGATGACATGCAGAGTCTACCTCGTGTCAATGCCTTTATCACCGAGGTTCTGAGATGGAGGCCAGTTACTGTTGGCGGTATGCTTCATGCAGTCGACCGGGACGACGAGTATATGGGCTACAGAATCCCAAAGGGCACAACCGTGGTGGCAAACCACTGGTCCTTGGAGTTCGACGAGAAGGTCTTTGGGGACCCTTGCAACTTTAGACCACAGAGATGGATTGACAACCCGAGCCTGCCGAGTGCTAGCTTCGGGTTTGGCAGGCGAGTCTGCCCTGGCCAGCATCTAGCCCGGAGTTCTCTGTTTATTATTGTTTCACGGGTTCTCTGGACGTATCGAATCGACTATGCCTATGACATGAATGGCAAGAGAAAGGATATTGATCCATTGGATATGACACAGCTTAGTGATTCGCAGCCTATGCCCTTTGATGCCTCCTTTCATGTCCGTAGCCCGAAGCACCAGGATATCATAGAGCGAGAACATATGGCCTGCGAGAAGGACCTGGACGTTATTCTTAACGAGGTCAAACCTGGTGTCAAGTAACATCTTCATCATCACCATCATGTCTTCACTTTCTATGAAGTCTGAGGTTGATAATAAGTTAGAAAAAAGAAAACATATATATGCAGGCTTACTAAGCATAAACACGACTAACGCAACGTCTCTCCTTCTTGCTCTTATTATATTGCTATACTCCTATATTACTTGCTATACTTCTTGTTCTTATATATTGTATACTCCGTGGTATAGTCGCCTAATCATCCATGACCGGACTCTCTTCGTGGTTCTTGGTTGCTGTGCCCGAGTATTCGACAGCGCGCGCCCTGGTTGGCCAACCTTAGGCATCAAGTAACCCAACACGAACTTCGCCGGACCGTCCCCCTGGCCACGAACGTCACAGCCTGACAACTGACAACCTCACGACGTCGCGCACTCACCAACGCCGCGACTCAACGCAGCGCATCTCTGTGCCGGGAGAAGCTGCAGTGCTCGCCGTCGCGCCGTCTCTGCTGGCCTTGTCTGGACATCCCGCCACCGACGATAACGCCTCGAACCTTGCTTCCGTACCTGAAACAGCCCGTTTCCCGGCGCCCAAAACCTGTCCGGAATACACCCCCAACGCTGCAAACGTCGCTCTCACCCGGTCAAGACGGATCGCATTGTCGAACACGGTCGCATAGCCGTCACAGAAGCCGACTATCTCACCTTCTCTTACCTTAGTGGCCGACGAGGCAGTCTGGTGATGGTGGTGGTCGCGATCGCTATACCAATACCAGGTAGAAGTACCTGAATAGTGGACTAGTTACTTCTGCCTGAAGCTGTACAAAACCTGCATATAACTTTGAAGGATCACTCTCATATGGCATGTTCCGTCTGTTGCCCTGGTCTTCAATCGCTAGGGGTGAAAAGGTAACTGCGCACCAGGAAGCAGTAGAGGGTATGGCTGTGCCAGAGCAGAACCAGCCTCCAGCAGCGAAACCCCATTCACCGCAGAAGTTGAAACGGAAAAGGTCGGATTCTGCAGGCTCAGAAGAGACAAAGGACGATGGTAGGACCGTTTCAGCTCCTACCGCGGGTCTAAATTTACAACTCAACACTCCGCATAACACCTCGTCCAAGGTTGGAAACGGCAATTCTGGAGATGAGCCAGCCTCTAGCATAATACCGGACGACCAATTCCCTGACCGCGACTCAGGGAACACGACCAACAAACCAGACAGGCCCAAAGCCGACGAATCCCGCCGACCCATTGCGACGCAGAAGATGGACACCGACGAATTGCGCCAGACTCTAGAGTCACAGCTTAGTCTAGAGGTTTTGCTGAAGCACGATGAATTACGATTGATAGAACAGGAGATGGCAAAGTGCCAAGTTGCCCTGGAACAGCTTCGTCGGTGCGCTGAAATTCCATACCCAGGATCTAGCCTGACAGGACCTTCATCCGCGGTCAGCAACGGCACAGGACCTGCTATAATACCACGCAGCAATCCAAGACTACCAGCTTCCCCTTCGCCGTGGGGTACGAATGACGGAGCTTATACCCGCCATTATGCGCGATGGCTGCTCCCAGATCCGCGATTTGATGGCGGTGAGATCGAACTCGTAACACCGTCTGGTGCAGGGAAAGGCTTGATGGATGGTCGAACAACCCGGGCATCATGGGCTGATACAACTACCTCATCTTCACGCTCGCAACGTGGTGGCTCTGGAGCTAAACTGCAAGCCCTTTCTAGCGGATATCCTCCACCAAAGGACAAGGTCGGCCCAATGATCATAAAACGGAAATCAGATGGCCTGTTCGTCAAATTAGTATGTCTTGATTGCAGACGCGATAACTTCTCGAGCACTCAGGGATTCATAAATCACTGTCGAATAGCGCACAACCGCAGCTTTGCCAGCCACGATGCTGCAGCCTCCGCGTCAGGCGAACCAGTTGAAGTCGACGAAGCGGGCACCGTTGTTGGCGGACAGAGTGAGCCGCCTGCGGCTGGTCCTGCTGGCTACGTGCATCCTTTAATTCGGTCGGCCCTTGCAGCAGATTCTACCAAAGGAGCACAACAGGTCGTACCTAAAAAAGTTAGCCATGTTGGACAATCAACCGTCACTCCTTCACAATTACCTAAACTTAACACCCGCAAACGGGATTTCAGCAAGATGGATATCTCTCTAACATCTGCCTTCAAGGCCTCTCCGCAAACCCCTCATCTATCTTCCTTGATGCACTGGAAGGGCATTGATATAGATCTATCTCATATCGTGGAAGATGCCCTTACAAAACCGGATGTCGACATGCTCTCATCCGACGACAATTCCGATAGTGATGCGGAATATGCGTCCCATGCTCAGGCAAACCATGCTTCCTCCCAACTAAGCATTGGAAATAACCGGCTTCCTACACGAACGGTATATCCCTCTTCACAACCTCAGCGACCTGTGAGCCAAAAGGGGATGGATAAACGGGGTCTGAACCATCGATCGCCAGGCCCTTTACGAACATCACCAACACCATCTCCGTCTGCAGGACGGGGTGCTGGAGGGAGACATCCACAGTCCGATCGAGATGTTGATATGGTTGATTCAAACTCCCCGAACCTTAGTCCTAACACTGTCGAATCTAACCAGGCGCCTAGCTTGGTGAGTGATGATGGAGAAGAGTACGAGGCTCGTTCGGAATCCGAAAGCCCAAGCCCAAGCCTGTCCGGGTCTGATGACGAAGGGAACGACTTTGACAATGTTGAAGTGCAGGATGGAGACGACACTAGCGCAGATTCCAATGCATCTGACTCTGCTAGCCATCTCTCCGGTCCTGCGAAACACCATACGCGGCCGCCTATACCGACGGCACCAACTCGAAATACCGCCACGAGAAAGGACAGCATTTCGAAGCCTAAGCATTCCACCCATATAAACTCCAGGGCCGCGCAGAAACCTGCGGCTACTGCTAGATCACAAAAGGGCGATGGCAAGAAACGCCATCGATAGTTCTTACCCGACTCTTTAATACTTTAGCTCATGACTCTTTCATGGCATTGTACTTCACCAACCTATATTTCAGACCTATATTTCAGATTTACCAAAGTGTTAAGCATTGTATGCTTCGTCTTACGACTCGTTTTATGACCCTGTCCTTTCCCCCTTATTTCTCCTTTACACTATTACCTTATTATTATCATCATTACATTATTGTCTCGATTGTAGCGAAGACTTGTCTTTTTAATATAAATTAGGGGATTGGCTGTTTCTATTATATTTGTTTAAGCGCTTATTAGTCTACACGTTGTCCATGTGCGGGATCAAGCAAGTAAACGCTGCTTTCTCACTTCTGTAACTATATATAGATCCATCTTTTGTTAACAAGTGCCTTCCGCCATCATCCATCACGTGATAGCTTCGTGACGTTTGTGGTTCTGATAAGGGCGATCAAGAGGACGAAGCAGATCAAATCCATGCCATATTGGATCTCCTTGGAAGGACTGGGAATGGGTTATTGATACAGTAGTCATTGATCAAGGATGACGTCCCGCCTCGTCTTGGTCATTGGCGACCTTTTTATTCCTGACAGGGCACCAGTAAGCGGACATCCATTGAATCCCCCCTCATACTGCTGGAGTCTTTGAGCTATGAAGTGTGGAGGAAAATTGCTAAATACGTTACTCTATAATCAATTCAGGATATTCCCGCGAAGGTACAAAGCTATATCATCACTCGCGCTCGAGTACCATCCTCTCGCCAGCCACACGTTGGCTACTATATCTCCCTGCAGCCTGCTAACACAGCAACCTATATAGTTTAAGAAACTCCTTACACCAGGCAAAATCGGTCAAATCCTGTGTCTAGGCAACCTTACCGATCGTGATACATATGACTTCCTCCGCCAAATAGCGCCCGATCTGCAGGTGGTGAAGGGTGACTTCGATGTGGACTCTCCCAACCTCCCGCTCTCTAAGGTTGTCACGCATGGGAGCTTACGGATTGGCTTCACCCATGGACATACCATTATTCCACAGGGGGATTCAGAGGCGCTGTTAATTGCAGCAAGGCAGATGGATGTGGATATATTATTATGGGGTGGCACACATAAGTTCGAGGCGTACGAGATGGAGGGCAGATACTTCGTCAATCCTGGCAGTGCGACTGGCGCCTTTACCACGGCGAGTGCGTCAAAGGGGGAAGAACCCCCCCCGAGCTTTTGCTTGATGGATGTAAGGCATTCTAATCTATCACTCCCTTCCCCATTTTCTTACATTGACTGGTTCCTCACATTTCTGATTCTAGGTGCAAGGGGATGTTCTCGTGCTCTACGTTTACCAGATACGAATAGACGAGCAAGGTGCTGAGACCGTGGTTGTGGAGAAGGTGTCTTTCCGGAAACAAACATCTCAGCCAACCTAATGATGAGAGAATCAATATCTACTTGTACCCCTATTTGTACTTTCTGAGGATACTAAAGAGGGTGTGTCATTTCAAAACACATGGCAGCATCATAGGCACACTGAATGATGGGCTAGTGTTTACCACTGCTCTCTCTATTACCTGCGGCAGCTTTTTAGAAGCCAGTTGAACTGGTCTGTTTCCCATTACCCGTTAAGAGAAACTGAATCGGGCTTTTCAATCCATAGAGATTTCACGAACGAATCATAATATACAATGCATATAATGTAACAGACATGACATACCGGCCGCTATGGGACAGTGATACCACTCATGGCAGATAGAATACCAAATCCCCTCTATGTCAAAAATGGAAGAGAAGTAGGAGAAAGCAGATGATGCACCTCCGGATTTGTCAAATAAAATTACAGTCCCACGCGCCATACTGAGCAAAAAGAACAGGGAGTCAAAACCGTTTATTTTCTCCCTGCCTTCTTTTCCAACTCTTCCTCCACCCTCTGTACTTCTGCTTCCAGAGCAGCCTGGCCATCTGGTCGAAACCTGGTCACTTTCATCACGTTTTGAGCGGTGACTTCGTTCATCGTCTCTTGACCGGCAGCTCTCTGGCGAGCAAGGGTCTTCGCCGTCATTGCAAAACGCATATCGCGCACTCCATCAACTAACTCAAGAATGGCAGAGGGCGCTTGGTCTGGCTTTGTAGGTTCAATTCGTAGAACACGAGTGTAGCCACCGGGTCGGTCCATATAGCGTTCACGAAGCGGTCCAAAGAGCTTTGGAAGGAGGCTCTGAGGAGTCTAGTGAAGCCCATAGGGTTAGTTTGATTATATTATCAAGCATACGCTATTATTTCGAGCCATGTCTATGAGATCTGCCCTTCCTTCTTCCATGCAGCCCATGATGTGTTGTGGGAGTGAACGTACAAAAAAGACCGATTGTGCTCTGCTCCGGCTGGCCTCTGTATTCTTCTTTCCCAGTGTAATCAATTTCTCCGCCAGTCGCTGGGCTTCCTTCGCCTTTGGCCATGTCGTCGTTATGGATTCATGTGTGAAGAGAGAGGTAACTAAATTTCGCAGGAGGGCTCGTCGATGCGATGATTTGCGATCGAGATGTCGGTATTTGATGGCACCACCAGCCATTTTGAAGGGTATAAAAAGGGGAGAACAGAATAAATAGCGTAATTTATTATCGATGCGAGGAGAGTAGAGAAGAGACGTGGTGGTTTAATTGATATAGCTGGTTTGGTTGCGGTTGAAGCATCGAAGAAGAGACAAAAAATGTTCCTGGCCGAAAGTCTTGGCATTCTACCTCCTCTGCGACTTGGTTCGATCTGCGAACTAACAACAACTGAAGGACAAGAAGCTGACGAGCACGATAAGAACCTGATCTCAGGAAGAAAATGATCTGAGAACGATCTTCTGGCGTTACTGCCTCCCATTGTTGATAACCATGGGCTTTCTCACCGGATTTGTATGCTCTTTCTCCTCCGCGGAATTGCTCCCTTTTGCCAAATTCAATTAACAGGCGATGGTCACCTCTTTACTAACGATATATCCCTGGGATCGAATGCCATGTCAAGGCTGGAGGGCTTGCTCTTAGCTACGCTATTATTCAGCTTACTATCTTCAAGCGCCTCTCAGATCGACAGCACCAGCAGGCACTCCTACGGGAACAAATCGACACCCTCAACAACATTTCTATGCCTGGAGCTACGGCATACAACCTGAGAGATAAGCTCGATTATGCTGCTGCACTAGCACGGCAAGGCTACGCACCGCCCGAAGGGCCAACTATTGTGGATACGTGGAAGTCGAGGTGGAATCAAGAAGTTGAGTCGCTGGCTCGAAGTATACATGAATTCAGCTGGGAAGACTTAAGGGAAAGGTTCAGAAAGGCTGGCGGATGATAAAGACACAGATTCTTATACTCTTCATTGTACACTATGCCATATGGGAGTTCGGCGTCTCTGTAATGTAATACAGCGCATTTATCTGCCTAACGCAGGTGCTGCGAGCTGAACGACTATATTCCCATCAAGTCGATCTTAGCCTGCGGCGGAAGCCATTAAGAAACATGACAACTTACACTCGTATGTGCGCTCTATATGGTGCCATGAATGGCCATGATATCGGTTGGCGATGTGCGTCATCCAATATAGAAGGTATTGGGGAGCATATTTCTGCTAGTGCTCCGGCGAAATACCCCGGGCGTTCAACACTGCCAATAATATGGAGAGCCAGTATTCCCCATCTCTTGGATGATATCATGTTATAACTCTGCCAGATGCAGAAGCACCAAAACTCAGGGATTTTCTTAAGATAGAGCTCTTGAATCAACCATCAGAGCCTACAGGAGTCTGCACGCTTCCGCTTTCACTCCAGACCTCCTTGCTCTTGCTTGCAACCTCTCGCATTGTTTGCGCCACGTCTTCTAACTTCGCGACAACGTCAAGGACACCGTTGTTGACACGTTCGAAGTATCGATCATTTGCCTCTCTCCTCTTCCGAGCATGGGTAATATCCCTCTCTGTCTTCTCATCCAGAACCTCTCGAGGATTACCTTCATCAGTTTCCATAAAGGCAGTGTCGCCGATAGATGACACACTGTTAGGGACCTCCTCGGCCTCAGTCCTTGCCCAGGCTTGCGCGAGTGAAAGTTGTTTCGCTCGCAAGCTTTCTACAACTTCCGGGTGATAGGACCCAAATACGCGATCACCACCCATAGCTGCTAGTTCCACCTCAGCAAGAGTGCTCTGCATCTGGTCCCAGAGAGCGTCTGCTCCCTCTGCCCGGCGTTGGGGTTGTGTTTGCTTGCGGCGAGTCGGCAGAAGGTTAAGGCCTTGTATGTCTCGAATATCATGGATATCATGGATGTCGTGGATATCTTGAATATCATTCAGCACCGAGACTCGAGAAGAAGAGGCCTGGGGGAGTACAGGTGAGGGCGCTGATGTCGATGGTGCTTTTGACGGTGCTTGAGCCCCGTTTCCGTTCCCGTTTGTTAGGGATAGGCTGGATGCATTTCGGGACGGGCCTTGAAACAGGAAGGGAGGAGGTAGCCGCTGGCCGGGCTTTAACGAAGACTGATCAGGTTTCGTCATCTTAACTTAACTTATCATACCTACTAAGGTAGCATTTGCAGTAAATAGCTATCTCCTTGTCTGGCGAATGATGGTTTTAGTCGTAGTTCTCTAACATGCTGTGATTGGTCGAAATGTGAATCTTGGCAGTGGTTACTCAGCTGAGCTCTACACTCGTTGCAAAGAGAGAAGATTCGAATATGAAATATCAACCTACAAAAAATAAGAGAATGATGCTCTACGTACATATCCTCACTCCAGAGCCTATACTACGGCGACGCCGTTCCGCAATATGGAAAAAATGCCCCGAAACATGGGAAAGACGGGTCCTATCCTCCAAACAACCCTTGCGAGATAGGTCCACGATTGACAAACCCCGTACCTGCAGCTATTCCGAATAACGAAACAGCCTTATCTATATTACAACTGTCTGTTCAAGCCAGAAGATAAAGTTGTCTATTAGGTACCAGAAGCATCCAACTTAGCGGTGTACTGCTATATAGGGACCCTGACAAGCCGGTAAACTCGACACGCAAATACCGCGGGTATCTGCTCCAAATGGCGAAATAACATTGCCTAGCTGTTTCAACGGGAGCCCTTATCTTTCTGAAATTTGATGCCAAACACCACAATTGACTTGGTATCCTACGGAAGGCTCTGATTACAAGTTGGATCACCCCTCTATCCCAAGCCTGATTTTATGGAAGTGGAACTACATACTCATATCGAAGTTGGACATAGGCTCCCATAGACCACGTTAACTGCAATGTGCTAAGCAGTTGATATCTATACACGCAAATCGAGAGCTCATGTCCAATCAATCTAAGCATCCATTAATGTAGTGCAACAGTAAGCGGCTTACGCAACCAAAAAATGCAGTTAGGCTGTGACTGGCAATCCTACTTTAATGCTCAACGGAGCTAAGGGGTCGAGCCAAATAATGGCACGGCCGACGCTTAATGATCTATAGAAATGCAGGATTAATATGTTGATAGAACTCCGTATTCTAGGTAGCTTACTAGCGCCGTACAAGACCAATAGCTTGAACCAAGAGTTGGTATTTAGTGAAGTGCCAATCTAGAAAAGGAAATGGCCGCGAATTTCAGAGTTTAGAGCTTATAAATATTATACCGAATAGACTATATCCAGAGCCTAGTCAATATCTTTGTATAGTGTTCTACTACGACGGTTAACTATGTGATGTAAAATTAAGTTTTGTGGTGGGGTTCCATATTTTAAGCTTAACTAAGTATTTACACTGCAGCCGGAACCTAATCCGATATATAGATGTGTCTAGAGGGCGGAAGCCTCGATTCAATTCTATTATTCGAGATATGCTGCCTAGTTACACAACGGCTATCGGGCTATATCAAAATACCAATTCTTAATATACTCATCCAGTTTATCCTGTATCTCACCGTGAGACCGAGACCAGAGTGATTATGTTAAATGTTTTGTGTTTGCCCTTAGGACTAATATCTCATGCAAGGAAGGGTTATAGGCCAAAGGAATTTAGCCGAATAAAGAGGTAGAGTGGTTTGACTAACACCCCTTGCTAAAGACATGATAAGTAGTCTATATCCAGCACTGTCACAGCACGCTGGCTTGTAACTTGGTAACGAGATTTGTAGCAACGAGTACTCTAAAATCCACTGGACCTTGTGTAATCCCTGACTACTTTTCATTTCATCTGCCCGAGGTGACCGCAATACCCACCCTCCCACCTAGAAATTAGCAGTTTTTCTATAGTTGTTTGTCCTGATGAACAGTTCAGACTCGGAGTTGGCGGTTTAAAGGTAATTGCGTAGGCTAGATAAATAAAATAATAACCCATTAAAACATATACAATTAATATGCTATAATGTTAAGAGCCTCTACAACTATGTTGAAGGGCGCATAATTTGGTATGATACATACCCAGCACTAGATGATTGAATATCCACACAATCGATAGCACAGCCTAGAAGAAGCCCATTTAGCAGAGCCAGTCGCTCGGTATTGCATCTGATTAAGCCTTAAGATCATGAAACCGCCCAATACAAATGGAACAAGTAACCACAGTTACAACAACTGCAGCCGGTTAAAAACCACATATCTTCAGCACCTGGAGAAGATGGAGGGTCGGGTACTGCTGACCCTGACCCATCAAGCGCAGTATCGGAGTCTGCTCCAATTGTCGTGACACTTTCGAGCTGGCTTGACTATGTTGCTAATGCCGTAGACTTCGAACAAGATGAACACGACGGAATGGTTAAAATTCCCGTGGGTTTGCCTCTAAACGCCATCGATGCGCCCAATGATTTGAGGTTAAATCTGTCAAAGATATGGCAGCTGCACCATGCTGGCCCAGGCCATTACCTAGTAGTTGACTCCATCCAGAGGCAAATTCCGTACTTCCAGAAGCCAGGGGGCAAATCGGAAACAAATATGTACGGCTTCTTTGAGAGGCCGATTGACCGATTTGAAAGATGCTGGGTAGAAAATGACAATTCCACCGACCAGGCTGAAGCCCGAGTGCCTTCAAAAGGCCATTTTTATAGTGTAATCAACTATTCAGAGGAGTATCGTGCATCTTGGCTGGAGCTAAGCTTGCAGTGTAAGAATAGAAGACTACCGAAGTGAAGAAGAGACGAGGTTATATTTGCTCTTTGTCCACAGGGTGTCACTATGGCCCAGTTTTCGCATCAAGAGAACCACTCTCTTAAGCTCGCACCATACGAGTCCAGGCAATGGAGCGCAAGTATATTCCCCACCTAATGCCTCAGTGAATGATAGGTTTGATAATTCCTATATACTTAAAATCCGTGCGTGGTATCCCAGAGAGAGATGTAGACAATATTGTTTCGTAACACCGAGAGATAAATATGACCATTTTCACCCCGCAGCCAGACCATACAACGCGTAAGATATTATTATCAGGTCTCTACATAGAGACAGAGTGATGGTGAGATGTCGCCGTAGTCGTGGATGAGTATGATTACATAATCTTTGACGGAAGAACCAAACGCCGTGCCGAACGAGTTTCGCTTACCAAACGCACACGCTTTAAGGTCGATGAGCAAAATTTGGTGGAGGAAGTGCTCGAACACCAACGACGACATCAAAAATCCGACACAGCTCGCCTCGTTGGCCTTTCATCTTCGACACATCTCCCTTATCAGTACGTGAGAGCTCTTACACCTCCGAAGCCACACCTCGCATTCCTCCTTCCCACGACCCCGCGTCGATATTGCATTGCGTCTGGCTTACACGTTCTTACAGCGAAAAATTATAGATAATTATTCGAGATGGGAAAAGGCAAGCCGCGTGGTCTTAACGCCGCCCGCAAGCTGCGAAACCATCGCCGCGAGGGTCGCTGGGCAGATCTCTCATACAAGAAGCGTCTTCTCGGGACCGCCTTCAAGTCCTCTCCATTCGGTGGATCGTCACACGCCAAAGGAATTGTCATAGAAAAAGTCGGTGTCGAGGCCAAACAACCCAACTCCGCCATTCGAAAGTGTGTCAAGGTTCAGCTGGTCAAGAACGGAAAGAAGGTTACTGCTTTCGGTAGGTCTTCTTTGGATCATTCTATTCAGCATTTATACTGCGCTCTGGGTGGGGGATAGGGCTTTTAGCGAGGAGGACTTGAGAGCCACTGCTACACCACGCGTACGATAGACGAACGCACGCTAACATGGCTAATTCTGAACTACAGTCCCCAATGACGGTTGCTTGAATTTCGTTGACGAGAACGACGAGGTGTTGCTTGCTGGATTCGGTCGAAAGGGCAAGGCCAAGGGTGATATTCCCGGTGTGCGATTTAAGGTCGTCAAGGTCTCTGGTGTCGGTCTGTCTGCTTTGTGGAAGGAAAAGAAGGAGAAGCCAAGATCTTAAACGGGCTCGGCGCGATGTGTGGTTTACGTGAGGATAAAGCCTGTTTGGCTATGGCACAATACAGAAGCTAATTGCTACGAATTCTACGGTTATGTGAAGGATGATCCTGCCGAGCAAAAGCTCTGACAGAGACCTAGATTCTTGATCACAGTAAAAGTGGAATCCTTGTCCATTTGCTCGATTTAAATCAGTAGCTCAGGTGCAAGTCAACAAAAATTCCATTTCTTTAATCTGTACTCTTTTGTTTGCCATAAGTTCATACATCTCGTGTTCGTCTTGATCTTTTTCTAGAGGGTATTTTTTTTTCAACCTGGTATGCGCCTGGTTTAGAAGGTGATATCTTCCGTACGGTAGTGGTCCGACACAATACGGTACAAGTATGACGGAGCATGGGCACCACTATGTTTTAGTGTTAGTAGTCGACAATATACGGACGTAGTAGAGAATACTCACACATTGGTAATGTAAAGGTCGACCAGCTCAGCAGGTACATAGTCGTAGAGTGGATTCATCACCTCAACTCCTTCAACCACGTCACTATACTTATAATCTGCGACAGCACTGGCATCTCCGTACTCGATAAGGGCCTCGTAGTCAAAGGGGTAAACCGGGCTTAACTTGTATATGCCACTAACCACAACCACGGGGGTTTTGTGAACCTTTGCGGCACTGGCTACAACTCGGGATCCAGCTGCAGCGACCAGGCCACCATTGGCGAGAACAGAGTGTGTTCCTAATATGACTTTATTCACTCGCGACATCAGGGCAAATACTGCAGAATCTGGGATCAAGATGACTGTGATGCCTAGCGCGATAAGGGGTTTTTGGAAGGAATCCGTGGCTAGACCTTCTTCATCCCCTGTCAAGGTACCGGTTACGGCTGCATGACTATCCTTGTGGCTATTGGGATAGGATTCGACATGGATAACAGTAAACTTTCGCCTTGCAGCAGCTTTCAGCAGGAACTTCTGGACCGTGACCGAAGCTGTGTAAGTAAGGATTATCTCGTTCGAGTGGATATGCTCTAGTGCATAGGCAGCGATTTGGTCGTCCACTTGTCCCAGCTCGTCCACAATTTCAGTTATGCCGTCAATAACTTCTGCTTTAAAGTCCTTTGGACTATTGCCTGGCTGGTCTGTAGGAGAGGTTGAAGCAATTGGAGATGCAGGCTGGGGGGACTCTGACTGGGGTTCAGAAAGCAAGTTAAACATAGATATCACTGGGGTGCTCATCACTGCAGAGAATGATGGATGGGTCATTAATGGTGGCCTGGATGAAACCCGTCCATAAGCGTCAAAGGGCGATAGTGTTTTTAACTCGTTATGATGGCCCCCCCGCCTCCGTGGGTGTGGTGCATGATGCAGTGGTATCTCTAGGCGTGTAGGTGCTGGGTGAGTGTCTCCGGCACTCTGTGGAGTATGTGGTCGAGTGTTGTCGGATCCAGTATCGCTAGGTGGTGGTGGAGGCTGCTTTTGCCGTTGTGCGCTCAGCCCTCGAAAGCGTTCATTCTCTGCTTCGTCTCTGATAAGACCTAGCACGCGACGGACAATATTTCCGACTACCATCTCTCTTGGCTGTGCCGCAACTATCAGCCTTCCGACCTGTTGCACTCTCTCTATAAGCTTCTCCGGCTCCGCATCGCGAAACATCGAAACGACTCGCATGAGAAGATATGCCGTTGCCACCGCACATGAGTGTGACTGGCGTATCTGACGTCGTTTGAGCAGTCTGGGGGCCGTTAGCAATGCGGTTTTCCATTGTGTAAAAGGAGCGAGCCACGAACGATATGAGGGTTTCTATTGACGACTCGATCGAAGTGATCTTTAAATTCCGGAGAAAGGTCGTAAGCCCGGGAGAAAGGGCCACCGCGGTGGACGACATGGCGTCGAGTTAATGTATCCACCGGCTCAGGCGTTTTCTATCGTACTATAAGCAGCGATGGTTCTCCTTTGATCGTGGAAAAAAGGTCGAGTGAAAGTTCAATGGGCGATATAATCAACCGAACAATCCTGAAGATGGAACTAGAAATGAGTCAGATACGCATTTTTTTCTGTCAGATCGACACATATAAAATCAATACTGTGCAGTCAGACTAGAGACATACCTTCTGCCACTGTATAGGCTGCTGTAGAGACTTGTACAACCGAACTGTGCAATAATCTATGAAAAACGCAGCGTTTTTTGTTCCCCCGCAGTTCGCAGCAAAAGCGAGATTAATCCAAGATAGGAAATCAGCTCTTGTCGATGCTTGGCGGCTTTTATCATCACGTGAAGTGGGATATTTCACCAACACTGGAGAGAATGAAGAAGACACTGAAGAGAATTAAGAAGAGAATGAAGAAGATATAGAGATGGATAGAAGTGTGCATGAGAAGGCAAGATGGTATTCAGACGCTCGCTCGACTGTTTAGTTTCTATTGACTTTGGCCTTTTGCAAATAGCTAGTCCGTGACATCCACTTCCACTTCATAGCAGGACTGACCATGTAGTACGTTAAATATCATGTAAAAATGTAAAGGAAACCAATAACCAGTATCCCACTTAGATGCCTCAACTCAAGCCCATTTGACAAAAATAACTCCCGGCAAATAAAGAAAGATGAATAAAAGGAGAAGAAATGTCCACATATCCCATGCACTTTGGCCTTTTCAATGTCCGCAATTATTTTGCCCAGTAGCTTTCAATTGATGCTCCGACTCCCCCCCCCCCCCCCCCCCCCCCCCCCCCCCTGTTGTTGTTGTTGGTTTAATCTCATGGCTGGGGGGAAGCATGCTGAGCCCAGTGGCCGGCAAGGGCTTCTGGGGGGATCTTCTCTTGCGTAGTGTAAATGTCAATCAGGGGTTGCATTGGTTCCAGTTCTTTGTCTGAAACGAGCTTGTAGTATTTGGCAACGGTGACAAAGTGGACAAAGCACATGTTTAGGACTTCGTGCTTGTTGATGTGCCAGAACGGGTTCTCCCAGTGGCCGTGGTACAAGTGAGCGTAGCAGCGGAACATCTGTTTCATGATGCCTTGACAGTCCTTGTAGAAGGTGGGCGGGAAGCCGCTCGACTTTCCAATCCAGTCCTGAGATGGATCAGAGCCCTGGGCAGGGCTGCCTCCATTTTCACTGTTGGCTAGCTCGTTGTAGCCGAAAGTGAAGGGGGTGGTGGTGACCGGGTCAGTGGGGAACATGACCGGGTCGTGAATCTTGCTGACAATCCATTTCTCGACGCGATTGATGAACTTGGGAGCAGATATCCGCGCGGCCTTGCCGTCTACCAGCCAAGTGTATGTTAAACTGCGCAAGTATACTTTAGCAAACAGGGTCAGATAATGGTCCGACTTTTTCAGGCCATACTCACTTTCCAGCAGACATGGTCGGACACGTCATCTCATTACAGATCGGGTAACCGGTGACGCTATTGATTTCTTGTATAACCTGCAGCATACCATGGAGGAGGCGGTTTTGTTCGACAACTAGAACCACCTGTTTAGCATCCCGAGGTAAGGGGCCAGGGGGTGGCATCTCGAGTCACTCACCTTGGTGGGCAAGCCACTCGCCAAGTTCGACATTCTTCGGACAAGCACAGAGGGTCAGGAAGTTCCCCTTGACGTTTAACGAGGCGTATTTTTCCTGGAAGAAATATTTGATAGAGTCGCGCTGTTCGGGCTGCGAGGGCTCCAAGGCAGCAGAAGGAGGGGTTGACATGGCTGCTTGGGCGTGGGGGTAGGATGGAGACATGCCAGCGCCGTCGGGCACCCTGTGTAGACTGCCGCCATTGTTGTTGTTATTGATGCTACCGCTGGGGGTATTGTTGCCGGTGGTGCTCGCGCTGGTCGTGCCGCTGGTGTTTGCACCAGTGTTGGCGCTGTTGTTGTTGCTACTTTTATTTGATCCACGGCCAAAGCCCTGCCGGCTGATAGTCGAGAGATGTCAGTATATAGGAATGCCACAGTGTATCAATAGGGGGCCAGGCAGGCTGGCTTATATCATATATCAGACGCAATAGGGTGGTGATATATCGAGATAAGACTGAAACGTAGCGGGAGGGCCTCAAAACATACACGCTCTGGAAGAAATTGGACATCGTCTGGATGCGCCCTGCGAAAACTCCCCTGGTCGACTCCAGCACTCGGGTCTATATGACAACCACAGTCGTGAATATGGAGAGAAGCGTGGCTGTCGCTGTCCTCGAACGCTCACGCTGTCTCATGCTCCTTGATGTCTATCCTGGGGCCACCGCCTCCAACTGTTATCTCGCTGCCCCGGACTTTCTAAAGGGCCGAACACCTCACGAACCCTTGGCGGCTCAGAGCTATCTCGATTTCTCTCCGCTCTCTTCTTTTAATTCTCCTCTTTAATTCTCTTCTATTCTGTCTTCTCTTCTCTCCTGCTTCATTCTCTCGTCTGAGTTCACGTTATCTTGTGCAGAAATCGGAATCATGGACCTGGACGAGTCGCCGAGAAAGACGCAGGACGACGATTTACTCGACGATGCGGACGCGGATAACAGTCCTCCAGCTCTGGACGATGACGGCGATGTAGGGCTCTTTGGGTCCGGCTCGGAGGAGGAAGAAGATATGTATGCTTCAAGTCCAGCTTTTACCTCCTACGATATGATATATGCGCTAATACAGCTCCAGACATGAAGGACGTAGAAAGTTGGATGATGTGCAGCTGGACTCGGGCGACGATGAAGGGCGCTACGACCGAGCTGGCTCTCCGATGGAGGAGGATGGCATGGAGTACGGGGAGACGTTGAACGTCATGGACTTGAATCTAGGACGCGCGCCAGAACCGGAACCGACTGATGGACAGGCATGAACTCGTCCTAGCCCATGCGGTCAATAACATACTAACCTGGTTTGCAGGTCTTCAATTGCGCCGTACCCAACTTCCTTTCCATAGAGTCTGAAGACTTCAATCCCGAAACCTACGTTGCGCCACCCTTTTCCTCTGCCTCTACCTCCTTATGCTGGAGGACTACTCCTGACGGCGACGATATTCAGTCCAATGCCAGGATAATACGCTGGTCAGATGGCTCGTTAACTCTTCAGCTTGCATCGAACCCTACCGAGCAGTACAGGATATCATCCAAGGCGCTTGCACGACCCAGCAGGCCTGGGAAGCGTGACGAGTACGATCCAGATCTAGATGCGCATACCTACCTCGGCATCGCGTCTGAGTCTTCCTCTGTCATCCGTCTTACCTCGCACATTACTTCCTCCCTCAGCATTCTCCCAACAACTGTCGAAACAGATGACGCAGTACAAAGATTACAGGAATCTCTTGCCGCCGCGTCACGAAGCGGTAAGAAAACTGCTGACGGGTCTGTTGCGATTATCGAAGTCAAACAAGACCCTGAGCTCGCGAAGAAACAGGCTGAACAGGCCGAACGAGAGAAACTCCGCGAAGCCCGTAAACGGCAAGCGGCAGTTGAGCGTGAAGTCGACCGTGGCAGGCGAGGCTCCAATTTCCCGCGGACAGGAGCAGGTCTTACAATTGCTGATCTTGAGGGAGACGATGAGATGGCTATTACCAAGTCACGCGGTGCGGCCAAGAGACCAGCACGCAAACCGCGCCGTCGTGATGATATATATTCAGATGAAGAGGATGATTATGATAGGAGAGGTCGGTCCCGTGAAGACGAGTATGATGAAGACGATGGCTTCCTCGTTGCTAGTGATGAGGAGCCCGAAGTTGGGGAGGACGAAGATGACGAGGAAGAAATTGTCGATGACGAGGATATGGACGCTGAGGGCGAGATTGATGAAGATGTTCAGCCCCAGAAACCGAGCAGTAAAGCGCCCAAGCCTTCTGCAGCCGCCAGTGAGTCGCCAGGGCAAAAGGGGGCTTCACCTCAAGCGCGGAAGAAACACAGATATGTCGTTGATGATGACGACGATGAGTGATTTGGTTGATTCATACTACTCAAAACATCTACTCCTATTCCCCGCCATATTCCCTCCACCCTATGCCGAACACTTATCCAGCGAATTTAAAATGAATAGACAATGGTGCAAAAAAATACCCTAACCAAACTGGTTTGATTCATGTACGGTGCGGTGCATATATCACCATCTTGGCCGTCGAGATGCCCGCCCATATATGTCCTAGTTGAAAATCAAATAAAACAATATAAAATTAATTAGAGAATCGAGTGGCAGGGAAAGTAGTAGATTTTGCTCTATCTAGAGGCTAATACACATATGCTTACAGTATGTATTCTAGAATGTTGATATTCATCCCACTTGTAGGTACGATCTCAAGTTATAACCTGTCAATTTCTATCCTGATATTCTTTAGCATTAAACGCGAATCTGTCGATAGTTTGCCTTGCATTACCAGCGATGCGAAGGCATAGGAAATCAGGTTCCTTTTGGCCAATGGGGGCAAGATTCTGTGCATGGTGGTCTTGTGGGCAACTGGCGTTAACTAGGGGCATTCTAGTAGCATGCCATCGCATCTGGCGCGCCTCCATCTCTTCTATTAGACTCAAAAGGCTAGGAGTCTCTTCGCATTGGCTTTGGACAAGGGGGACGTTGGGAGGCGTAATGTTACCGATAACTCCATATCGAACAACTTGGTGTAGCCAATCTTTCCAAAAGGATTTGCGGAACTCGTCATCGGCCGGAAGTGAGTTAATATAAGATGAACCAAGTGTCTCCGTTCCAAGAGGTTCACCATCCTTTAATGAGATTTCAAGCCAGGAATTAGCCATGCATGTGAGTAGGGTTCCTAGCAACATAAGATTCTGCACTGCAGAGCTGTATGCATTTGGGCAGATTTCACAGCGTAACACAGTACATGCCGTCTTAGCTGCATTGTATAAAGTAATCAGAGTGTTCGGGGAGAGAGGGAAAGAGTTGAGTGATGTAAGGGAGCTAAGGGAAAGATATAGATGTGACAAGCACGGACAGGGTGCCAGTGTCTGCGGAAGCCCTGATGGTACCGGGCTGCCGTTGCTCGTAATTGAACTAGCTTCCAGGCTATTTTGAGATGGTGAGACCATTGGTGTGATTTGGGAGTAGTCAATGTCTCGTGGTATAAGGGCTGAAGACTCCGGGGGAGCGGGCTGCAGTGACTCTCCTAGTCCAGATAATGGACCATCGCTCATAAAAGGTCCAGGCCGCACATCGTACGTGTTCCGCATAAAGGTTTTATAGATTGCCGGACACATATTGCTAGCCTCGAACGTTCCTAGTGCGTCTGGCGTACTATATGTCGAGTCTGCTTCACCCAGCCTCCCGGTGCTACGCAACACAGTCTTGCTGTTGATTTCGTCCAGCTTTCTAGCCGACTTCGGTGGCCGGCCCATCTGCTTCTGGAACGAATAGTGACAATAGATGCCATGCCTAGTACATCGGCGACAGCCCTCTATTTCTCCTGTGCACTTCAGTTTACGTTTTCCTGACCCATTAGAACGGTCCGTCAGCATGTCATATCCCGCCAACGTAGTTCTTGTAATGAAAAACCAAAGCTTACTGCATTCATCACAAGCGGCATGTCTCTTTGGCGCCTCTGCTGGTTTGCTGGAGGACAAGGGATCCTGTTGTACGAGAGGTAGTGACTGGTCAAGCAAGTTGAATGCGGCTGGCTGTCCGGCATCCATCTTGAGATCTGAACTGCCTCCGGCCCTCGAGGGTATATATTACAAGCCTATGGATAACAGGCCCTTTCTATCAAGGCCGCCACCCTTCCCGTCAGCCTATAATATAGAGTAGGGATAAATAAACGCCATCAGTGCTTATAAGAAACGTCGGTAGATGTTCTCGCGGTTAAACTACTTTATCCCAGTTGAGGTCCATCCTGCTTATGTAAGATGTACCTTGGTATCCACTTCTTGCTCAAGGAAAAAAAAAATCTACTTTGATATTTCAATGTCAATTTCCGGAGCTTTTGCACAACGCAAAAAGAGGAAGAGATATTGAGTGATTTCTCTTGCTCCCCAGTCATGGCGCCCTCGATGGAATCTAGGAAACGCAAGGCTGTCACAAAAGATATCGAAGGAGACACGCATATTGTATCCGGCGAGGAGTTTCGCTTCGACTCCTCCGCATCCAAGAACTCAGACGATTCGGAAATTGAACTTATTGACGACGTCAGTGACGAAAGCGAAGATGAGTCGATCGATGGCGATTTGATACCGAAAGGCCAACTGCCGCTTCATACTAAGAATGGGAAACGAGGAAAGGCCGGTAATTCCTCGTTAGAGAACGGTGGGGTTGAAGTTCAGGATGAAGATGAAGAAGCTGTCAATTTCCGTATAATGAAGGATGCAAATGGCAACGAACGATATGTCTATGATGAGATAGACCCCGATGACAATTCCGATCTCTCTGACGGGGATGAAAATGGGAACACAATTGGCAATATCCCCACTTCGTTTTACGACGCCTACCCTCACATTGGTTATAACATCAATGGCAAAAAGATCATGCGTCCTGCGAAGGGAGAAGCACTGGATGCGCTTCTCGATACCATTGAAATACCCAAAGGTTGGACCGGCTTGACTGATCCAGCTACAGGAAAACCGCTACAGTTGAGCCAGGAGGAGTTGACTCTCCTCAGCAAATTACAAATGAATGAGGTCACTCAAGATGGATACAATCCATATCAGCCCACTGTCGAGTATTTCACAAGCAAAGAGGAGATCATGCCACTAAGCGCCGCCCCTGAGCCCAAAAGGAGATTTGTGGCGTCGAAACATGAAGCCAAGCGAGTGATGAAGATGGTAAAGGCGATTAGAGAAGGAAGAATATTGCCGTACAAAGCGCCTGAGGAGGAGGACGAGTCGAAAGACAACATACAGACCTTTGATCTCTGGGCCAACGAGACCCCCCGCGACGATCACCCAATGCATATCCCAGCGCCAAAGCTACCCCCACCGGGCTACGAAGAGAGCTACCACCCTCCACCTGAATATCTACCCGACGAAAAGGAGAGAAAAGCCTGGGAAAAACAGGACCCAGAGGACCGCGAGACTCCATTCTTGCCTAAAGATTATGGCTCCCTTAGGAAAGTTCCCGGATTTGAAACATTTGTTAAAGAAAAATTCGAACGCTGTCTCGACCTGTATTTGGCACCCAGAGTACGCAGGAATAAATTAAATATCGACCCGAGCAGCTTACTACCCAAATTGCCGAGCCCCGAAGAATTGAAGCCGTTTCCAACCACCTGTTCAGCGCTATTCCGAGGCCACAAGGGTCGCGTTCGGAGTGTTGCTGTTGATCCAACAGGGCTATGGTTGGCCAGTGGTGGAGATGACGGTACAGTTCGCGTGTGGGAACTTCTTACAGGTCGCCAATTATGGAGCGTGCAATTGAACGATGACGGACCAGTCAATGTGGTCCGGTGGAGGCCTGGAAAGGACGAAGTTGTGCTATCTGCCGCTGCAGGAGAAGCCGTATACCTAATGATACCAGATATCCTAGGCCCTGAGCTTGAATCAGCCAGTCTCGAAGCCGTGGATGCTGGATGGGGCTATGCGGCTACGACTTCTAAAGGGGCTCAAAGCACCGAACAGAAAGCGTCCAAGGTCCAATGGGCCCGTCCACTACCCTCTCTCGCTGACAATGGGGTATATGCTACCATACCGCTGGGTCACAATGTCAAGTCGATATCATGGCATCGTCGTGGTGATTATTTTGTCACAGTTTGCCCTGCCTCATCGACACCAGTCTCGCTCGCTGTTGCGATCCATACCCTTTCCAAACACTCAACACAGTACCCGTTCCGCAAACGTATCAAGGGAGGTGGCCCTCCTCAGACAGCCCATTTCCACCCCGCCAAGCCCATCCTTTATGTTGCAAATCAACGCACTATCCGATCTTATGATCTTTCCCGGCAGACTTTGTTGAAGATCCTTCAACCTGGCGCTCGCTGGATATCATCCTTCGATATTCATCCAACGTCCTCCATAACTTCGGGAGACAATCTGATTGTGGGATCCTATGATCGTCGCCTCCTGTGGCATGATGTTGACCTATCCGATCGGCCATATAAAGCTTTACGTTATCATAGTAAAGCCATTCGTGCAGTGAAGTACCACCCCCGCTACCCACTTTTCATCGATTGTAGTGATGATGGGCTGCTTCAGATTTTCCACGGCAGCGTCACTGGCGACTTAATGAGCAATGCCAACATTGTGCCATTAAAGGTTCTCCGTGGTCATAAAGTCGTTGGAGATTTGGGTGTACTGGATGTTGACTGGCATCCTAGGGAGGCGTGGTGTGTCAGTGCTGGTGCAGATGGTACTTGTAGACTTTGGATGTAGTGAGAACTAATTCAAGCGTTTATTTATGTTTGTTTATAGAGCCAAGTGCCTCCATGGCTATGGAGGATATCTAATTTGTTACCAAAACTGGGTATCAATTATGCAATACAAAATTTGGGTGCACGAGTACTTTCTATAATGCTGTAGTTAGCTCCGTCTTCTAAAACGCACTGCCCCCTCCCCATACCCTCTTCAGGCTTTCATATTTTTTCATATCCGTTACGCTAGGCCGTATCTGCTGCTTTGCAGCAATGAAGTCTTCGAATTTGATAGTGTCTCTTCGTTTTATTGCAGAATAACCTGCACGGCGTAGCAAAGAGCCTAGGTCCGCTCCGCTAAATCCTTCACAGGATCGTGCCAATTCCTCCAGATCTTCAGTCATTTCGATAGGCAAGTTCCGCACAAGGGTCCGTAGGACCTCTGGCCGTTCGTCTCTTCCAGGCAAGTTGACAAAGAGTAACGTCTCAAGACGACCTGGCCGAAGCATGGCTGGATCAATGATGTCAGGCCTATTGGTTGCTGCTATCACATAAATACCATTCCTTGAGCTTCCGAGCCCGTCCAGTTCAGTGAGCAGCGTATTAACAACGCGTGCTGACGCCTCTGACATGGTATCGTCTCGCCGAGGAACCAGAGCATCCAGCTCGTCGAAGAAAATAACACACGGAACAGAGGATCGAGCGCGAGAGAAGACTTGTCGTACAGCACGTTCAGATTCACCCACGTACTTGTTGAGAAGCTCAGGTCCCTTTATACTGATGAAGTTTGCACGGGATTCGTTGGCCACAGCTTTGGCAAGTAGGGTTTTACCACATCCTGGAGGGCCCCAGAGAAGGACACCAGTGGGCGCAGATATTCCAACACTGGAATAGATTTCAGGATTCCGTATCGGCTCGACTATGGCCGTTACAAGCTCCTCCCGTATAGAGCCAAGTGAGCCAATATCTGCCCAGGTAGTAGCAGGAATAGTTGCGAATCCTTCTCGTTTCGAAGATGGTTGAATCTTAGGGAGTGCAGTAAGGAAATCGGCATTGGAGACGTATATCTGTGGATCTGCCTCATGAGGAGTCCCACGAGCACGCTTTATGAGTTGGCGAAGTTCCAGAACCTTTTTACTCACCCCATTTGAGGGTTCCTCGATATCCATTTCTTCTCCTGGAGACGTTTTTAGCAAATCAAGATAACGTTTTATAGCAGCTGTTGCGGCTGTAGAAACCAAATCGTTCAAATCTGCACCAACGAAGCCTGCCGTCCCTTTCGCTAGGAATTTAAAATCCAAATCATCTGCTAAATTCATATCCCTCGTTAAGGCCCGGAGTATCTGTTCTCTCACAGGCTCACTAGGAACTGTTAGATTAATTTCTTTATCAAATCGCCCCCCACGCCGCAATGCGGGGTCGAGACTGTCAGGTCGGTTTGTAGCAGCTAAAACGATCACAGGCTTTCCATCGGTTTTCGCCAATGCTAAGTCGTCCATGCAGGTGAGTAGTTGCGCAACAATTCGCTTCTCCATCTCTCTCTGCGCACTCTCACGTTTTGGTGTAATTGCATCGATTTCATCCATAAATATCAGACATGGGGCCACCTTTTTGGCTTCCTCGAAATGGTCACGTAATGCTTTTTCAGACTCGCCAGACATCCCTGAAATGATTGACGGAGCCGATATCGCGATAAAAGGTACACCTAATTCGGCAGCAAATGCGTTGGCAATCATCGTTTTACCGCAACCCGGTGGTCCATGAAGAAGCACTCCGCGAGGGGGCTGTACATTTGACGAAGAAAATATTTGTGGTCTAGTCATCGGAAGGACAATCAACTCTTCTAGTTGTTGTATAATATCATCCACGCCTCCCAAATCCGCTAGGCTCACATGAGTTGGCGGTGATTTGTCAATGGAGCTTTCTGGTTTCCGTCGTTTTGGAGCAGACTCGCCCCCAGCCCCTCGGCGTTTGCTAGCTGTCACACGTAGGGACGACACGTCTGGGGTTGTGTTTTCTGAGGGCCTTTGTGATGACGACTGAGCTTTTGGTTGCGGAGCCCACATGTTGACAATGCTCTTGTTCAAACCATTCGACTCCTATAGGAATATTAGAACATTGCCGAGTTATAGGTTGACAGGACTCAACTGTAGGGTTGGGGGTTCCTACATCGGGTTTATTCTCTTCCAGGCCCTCGAAATCGCCTTCAATTATATCCCCATCTTCCTCCACCGCTCGGTCCTGCTTAAAGATGTCCAAGACCCGTTCAATGCTATCTTCAAGCACCTTTTTTGGCCTGCGATTTAGACTGGAATTTGACCGTCGGATTCTGTCATATATAGTATGCGCCACTAAAGATAGCGGCTCCCCGGTTTCGTCAAGATGTTGTTCGTCAAGCTTGCGGATTGCTTGGTAGATCTGCCATGGAAGTGGTTAGCTCCATTGAAGGAGAGAAAGTCCTGTAACCGCAAAACTTACTTCTTTGTCGAGGCCATGTCCGAGGCTTGCGGACTTGTTCCCACGGTATCTGGGCGCCATCCTGAATATCTACCTGGAAACCGTCCACTTATCACTTCGTGGACTTCGAAATCACAAAAAAATAAGCTATGTGGAGTTTTATTTTTCCGGGAGATAGCCGGGAACGGGGAACCTTAAATCCTTATCGATAAGGCCGCCTAAAACGATGTCATCAAGGGCCAAGTTCCACGAGATAGGGACAAAGGCCTGCCATGAAAGACGATGCGCAGCCCTTGGATGCAGGATATCGGCCATAGCAAAGATGGGTAACACTGCGAGCACACATAAGATTTCGGCGCAAGATAAGTACGTGTCATGTCATGTCGCAGTAGCCGGCGGCTGCCTTGTACATGCCCAAACACCCTTGCATCGATATCCTGACCATTCAGAACCAAACCGGCTAACTCGTTGTCCTGGCACTTTTTGCTTGTTGTCTTCGAATAAATTAGAGCAATCCTCGATCTCAAAAATCAGCGCGATAAACTGCACCAATACCAAAGACGGATAACGGTTCTGACTGATCGCGAGACCGAGATCGCCCGCCAGTGCCTTGCGCGAAATGACCGCCCTCGGGCGCTATTAGCCCTGCGGCGGAAAAAATACCAACAATCTCTCCTTGAAAAGACTGATGCGCAGCTTGAACAGTTGGAGAAACTAACCGGGAGCGTGGAATTCGCCTTGGTACAGAAGGACATTTTGTTCGGTCTAAATCAAGGCAACAAAGTCTTACAGGCGATACATCGGGAAATGGGAGGTATAGAAGGCGTAGAAAAGCTCATGGGTGAAACGGAGGAAGCCAGGGCTTACCAAGAGGTAACCTCACCTTATGTCTGATCTTCTTCTTCAATACTCGTATCTAACAGGTGTTTTCGTGCAGGAAATAAGCCAATTAATCAGAGGGCAGATCTCCACTCAGGATGAAGAGGACGTAGAAGATGAGCTGGAGAAACTTGAGTTGCAAGTTTCGGATCGAGTTAAACTCCCTAATGCTCCGACTACTTCTTTGGAAAATGAAACAGAGCAACCTCAGGAAGCAGCGCCAGCGAAAGCTAGAGAACCAATTGCGGAGTAGGGTCAAGTGGCCATTGGTGTGGGTTCCCTTCTTTTACTTCACATCCATAGATTTGCATGGCGATACATGCAGGAGTTTCGGTATAACTTCATATTTTGCCTGGTCACTGTCGATACTAATATTTCATATAACCTACTCTGTATATATTGCTCTTCTTGCCCCACATTCGTTCTTCATGTTCTATACTTTATGTATAGCGGGATTGAATAAGTAAACGGTGTATCTTTGCATATTTTTGAGCTTCAAGGAATGGGGATGACACTATAGCAAGTATAATAGAATTTGCCAGCCTGGATAATAGCCTGCTGAGGAATGCTACATAAATCGAGTCGTCAGCCGGAGCGTGCATCTTTACAATTCAAAAACAGCGTCAAAATATGCATCAAAGTCATTGATTCTTGAGGTCAAATATCATTTCCCGGTTCCGATGGTTTTGCCCACTCCATCAACTCCCTGAATCACAGTGTGGTCCTTTGGGTTTGCAGCAGCTTCATATAGGAAAGTAATCGGCTCCTTGTTCAAAGCCATAAAATCTCCCTTGAAACCAATATATCCCACTCTAGTGACGTCTTCTTCACCGTGGCTCCAATTGTCTTCGAAGAACAAGGTTACCGATGTTGTCCCGTTCCAAACTGCACGGTTTAGTGGGATTTCCAGCACATCTGTCTGTGAACCAGTTAGGGATTGAGGGACAGAAATTGTCTGGGTTGGTGAGAGGTCCGATGCCGTGGAAAAGTCAAGGTCGGGACGGTTTCGGAACAGTTTTACTGTATTTGGAGCCGAAGGTGATGGTTCCGCGTATATTAATACCGAGTGTAATTTCACTTGGCCAGCAAATCTATACACAAGTTAGCATCAATCACCAGAGCCTTATACAACTTGGTGTGCCATGGATATGCTCTCCTAGCTAGCAGGAAATAGTTCAGCGGTTTCGAGTATACTGGGGCAAGAACCATGCTGACGGATGGAGGGTATAAGGGCCACTGACGGGATATGCATAAGCAGCTGCTCGTCTGCATCGCTTTCAAGCTGAGGTTCAACTTCTAGACGTTGGTCCCAGGGCTTTTTTACAATCGCAGCGCCCGCTTTCGGTTCTGACTCGTTCAGTGTCACGATTTTATCAAAATCAACTTGCTTATAGAGCAGGGATTGGACTGCGGGGACGACGTCATTGCTATGGTCGTGGCCAGCTTCATCATGACAACCATGGCCGTGGCCGTGGCCGTGGTGATGGTGAGGCATCCTGAAAGTTCGTAGTCCACGTTATAAATGCTTTTATTATGGCTGGGTATATCTTTGGCGAGGAGTGATAGATAACGTTGGTGGGATAAAAATATATTTAGGATTTAACAAAGTAAATATACCCATGATCGCCAAGTTTGCTCCGCATAAACTCACGTCAGAATTCATAGGAAATCCAAGACCGGTACGTCACATAAACCAACATGTATATGGAGTAGGTTACCGGTAACAGCAATGGAATAATATATCTTTTACCTTGGATTTATATCAGAAGTCCACAAAATTAATAAAATAGTGGCAGTGGACGTTTTATCATGTGTATTATAGTTTAACGGCTTTACTTCTTGACTTGATAATAGTCCGGCGCATACTCAAGCAGCCAGGGCTTTTCTATTTTTGCGATATCTTTGATAAACGTTTTAGTGCTGGTTTGCAGGATTTCGTTGAAAATCACCCACTCTGCTTTGCGGTTCTATACATCCAAATTCAGCATTTAGCATGTACTAAAGGGGTTAATGACAACTTACAAACATAAGAGAACTTGGATGGGCGTGCAAGGTCATTCCCCCGGTGATGCTTTTAAAAGTTCCATCGGGCTGCATTTTAGCTGCATGTCCGAAGAAACCGGTGGTAAGGCATCGTTGGATATTCTCGGTAGTGACGGGGTTCGTACTGAGCTCCCGTTTACTGACGTCAATCCCAAAACGTTTGAGATGATTTTCAAGCTGTACACGAACACTAATAGCTTTCATCATGGATTTGTGAACAAGGGAGTTGTCCTTGCACCACTTCGGTGCTTTCTTCCCCTTGGTAACGAAGGCATGGTAGATGTTTAGGTATGTCAAATGATCTCCTTCCTCAACAGCGAACTGTCGTATAGCTGGTGATATTCCACGTTTTTCATCTTGGTTGGACCAGATAGTATCTTGAAGTGTTGTCATCGCTGCAATGGATAATATTTCGCCAAGACAGCCGAATTTCGTTGAGCTCAGCAGTACTTTTGCCATCATGGGGTTAACTGGAAGTTCTGCCATTTGGATTCCAAGAGGTTTGGAGAGTTTGGCATAATCATCTATTGCGCCTAGAGAGGAGAGAAGTTGAAACGCTCGTACAAAAAGCTCAGATGGTGGTGGTGATATGTAATCGAATCGTACAACATTATCTATCCCTAGGGATTTTAGCTGTAAGATGATTGGCGCCAAATTTGAACGTTGAATTTCGGGGACGGTCTCCTCACTCAGCGAGAGGAATGACTGCTCGGTATATAGTCGAAAGCACTTCCCTGGTTTCGTTCTCCCTGCGCGGCCTGCCCGTTGTGTCGCTGATGCTTTCGAGATGGGGACTGTCGTCAGCTTTTCAATGCCCGTGGCTGGGTCATAGGCCCGAAGCTTTGAGAATCCACAGTCCACGACATATACTATCCCGTCAATCGTGACCGACGCCTCAGCCACATTGGTAGAGACAATCACTTTCCGCGTGTTTATAGGGGCGGGCTCAAAAGCGTATAGCTGTTGTTCAACAGTCAACCCAGCATAAAGTGGCACCGGTAGAAGTGCTGCCCCTTTCTCGTCTAAGAGAGCAGCCTGTTCTGAGATTTTCTGGGTTGCCGTATTTATCTCGTCCCGACCTGTAAGGAATAGGAGGATGTCTCCATCCGGCTCACTGGTGTGGATATCAAAGACGGTTTTAACAGCTCGTTCAATGTAGTCTTCTGCTGGGGTCTCCAAGTATAGACAATCCACAGGATACATCTTGCCTCGCAAGGTAATAATCTTTGTGATGTCATTGTCCTCGTCGATTTCATTTGTAGCTTGGTCGCCTCCTACAAAGAAGTTCACGTAGTCCTCAGCTTTGAGTGTGGCACTACTCACCACAATACGTAGTTCCGGTCTGCGTTTCCTGATTTTTTTGAGTACACCAAGTAGCACGTCGGTGCTAATTGACCTTTCATGCGCCTCGTCAACCATGATTACAGAGTAGCGAGAGAGCAGGGGATCTACCAGAGCCTCCCGCAGCAGCAGACCGTCTGTCACGAACTTGATCCGTGTTGCAGCCGAGGTGACATCTTCGAATCTGATCGAGTAGCCCACCTTTTGACCAAGTTGACACTTAGTCTCTGCTGCAACGCGGGCTGCAACCGATGTAACGGCCACCCGCCTTGGCTGTGAAGGTGTCAGTAATCTTCTGCTACATGAATAAAAGAAGTATACAGCTTTGAAGGCGAACTCACCTGAGTAATAGCAATCTGCTTCCCATCATTGCACCATCCGGCCTGCTCAAGAAATTGGGGGAGCTGGGTGGTTTTCCCACTCCCAGTCTCACCAACCAGGATCACGATCGGGTACTTTTCAATACCATAGAGCAATGCCTGCCTGTGCCGCGATATTGGCAGGAGTTCTGCAGGCTTGTAGAGCGAGGGAACAAAGGATCCCGAAGTATCAAATTCTGAGTCCATCCGTGGTATCAAAAAACTAATTCAGCGAGGGTATAATGATTGGCGTTGACATCAGCCATAGCTAGAGAACACGAGCGTATCAACACTGCAATCCTGCTAAGCCGCAATGTATGCCAATAGTTAGTTGACCAGAGACATCTTTTTTTTATATAGAAGTGGGCTGTGTTTAGGCGATTACATAATACACGAAGTTTGATGGCGTCACAACTTCTTCGACTGTAGGAAAAGGAAAAGGGAACCTCGCATTTCTTCTAGATTCTCGACACGTATCTTGATATTTAACAGTCGCGGGCTTGATAGGGACGCCTCTATTACTCGATCTTAAAGCGCCCTTGCTACTTTTGGTCTTAGCCTGGAATATAACTGCGAATACCAGCAAAATATATACTGTTTCGTAATGGCAGACACAGACAAAGTGGTATGTTAGTTAGGCAACCCTCTTTCACAATCCAATCCCACGATGCAGGCAACCAGCTAAATTCTACGGTACAGGGCACCACCCCGAAGAAGACATCGGCGGGCAGCATCAATCCCGAATCCCCAACTACTGCGCGTCCGCTTGATTTCGACGACGAACCGCAAGAATCTGGACTAGCATCAGCGCCCATCAGCAGCAGGTCGTCCTCACAGCTAAATCTTGCGAACCAGGCGGCAGGAATGCAGTCGCAGCGCCCCTCCAACCCCCATCAGAAAATTACAGAGGACCTTAGGGAGGCTTTCCCGAACATAGATGCCCCTGTCATAAAGGCGGTAGTTGTTGCTAGTGACGGAAATGTTGAGAGGGCCTTTAATGCATTGCTCGGTGGGTGAATTGTGTGTCATTACGTTTTTTAAGGAGACGGGCTGTAACTGATTTGTGGCAGGTATGTCGGACCCGGATGCACAAGACGATGTCCGTCCTGCGATGCCCCCTCGCCCTGTAAGCGGGGTGCCAACCTCCACGGCCCAAAGCCAGCTTGAAGACGACGAGAGATATGCACGTCAGCTAGCAGAACATTATAGTGGCTCTGATCGACAACGGGGCTTTCCGCAGTCTCCATGGGAGCATGGGCCGGCATCAGGGCAAAGGGGGACGGGCTTAAAGCCAAACGAGCTGTATGATCGGGAACATAGCTTTATTGATGGTGAGCCGAGGAACACCAGACTTTATTATTGCTGCAGCAGCACTTCTAACAGAGATATATTTACAGACGACCTGCCAATAATTAAGGAGAATATTCGCAAAGGGTTCCTAGAAACTCAGTCGAGGGTGAACACCTGGGTGGAGAATTTCAAGAAGAGACTCGATGGGGAGGAGTCCGACGAGGACGCGCAGCATGGACATAGGCAAAGACAATATACAAATGCCCATAACGACCAGGGTTATCCGAACAGGCGGAGTACAGAGCACAGGCGGAGCGTAGACCGTGAGCGATATGACGCCGACCCTCATGTGCTAGGTGATGACTTCTCCTCGCTTGAGCTCCGGGATAATGAAGGTACAGCTCAATTTTCTATACTTGTTTGGTTTTTTGTTTGGTTTTTTTCAAACTTGACTGACTCCGGCCAACCACAGTCCCCCCACCGCGTCCTCCTCGCCCTCAAGCGAACCCAGATTTATTCAAAGCCAAGAGCGCGTCCCCAGACCGCCGCAAGGTTTCGTTCCAGGAGGGCCCTCCGGAAGAGATCCAGGATTCGTACTCTGGATCTAACTCTCGAACCACGTCCGCGAACAAGTCGAGCAAGTGGCAGCCGCTCTCAGCCGTCGAGCCATCACCCGTGGCTGACAACGACCCGTTCAGCCTTGGAGATAGTGACGATGAGAAGGACACGAAGCCAAAGGATGCGAAGACCGATGAAGCAAACGGAAAGAAGACTACGACCGAGACGACTGCTGGAAAGAGTGACCAAACCAAGGACAATCGGGCCAGCGTGCAGGATGGGATATAGCAGAGCCTCAAGCGTTGAAATCTACTGCGTATTGGTATGATTGCGATGGAATTGGATTCTTATATTAAATTGCACTGAATCCTCACCACCAATAAATATCTGTTCATGCAACTATACCGAGGAATCTCCATATGCATCGTCAACACAAGTTGCTGGTAAGATCGTTTCTTCGTAGGCACAAACATGTATGGTCGACCTTAAAGTACAAGTAGACATCTACGGCTTGTCATCGCTATCCGCATCAACTCTCCTCAGCTCTTTTATCACATTCTACCTCTAATTAGCTTCTGCATGCTCAGGGGGTGATGTATTCACGACACAAGTACTTACAGCCAGAGCTTCGGGATTCACGCCGTTTTCGATGAGAGAGACGCATAGCGATAGCTCCGTCCTGTCCAGATGGGTATTCTGCGCCATTAGAAGGAAATCATTAACGTCTATCCGCAGAGGCAGGGGAAGGGCTGACACCGTACAAGGAGCGTAGAGATCTCGTGGAGGATATCGATGACTTCTCTTGCAGCCTGTCGCTTGTCGTCCTGGGGAGCCATGTCAGAAGCTATAAGTGAGGACCATCCGGCGTCCTCGACACCAGTTGTAAGCTATCTATTTATTATATTGATGCCGAAGTCAACCTTCATCACGCCAAAAGATGATGATTACGTCATCCATGATAAAAACACAAAGGTTCAAGTGAAGACGAAGACGAAGACGAAGAGAACGAGCAGCTGGAGAGTCCCCAGCACAGAGGAGAGATGGCAGAGTCGCCTCTTGTCATCGGGGATATCCACGCCCTGGGCCAAAATGAGGCGACTGCCACCATCGAAGCCATCTCGCGCATCGAGCGGCGCACATTCCCGACCTCTGAAGCGATGCAGTTCGACGTGAGCCTGTGGAGGAAGAAGCCGAACACGCGAGTCATCTACGGCAAGACGACGATGGCGGCGGCGGCGGCGACGTCGATGACATCGAAAGTGATAGCCTACGCAGTCTACGTCCGGGTGAAGGAAAAGGCACTGCTACATAAGATATGTGTCGAGGGCGGCCATCGCGGCCAGGGCCTGGGGAGACAGATGATGGTGTATATCGAGGATCGACTGCGCAGAGAAGGATGCCAGGCTGTTCACCTGTGGGTTGACGCTGCCAGGACGCCGGCTCGAAGACTGTATAGCAGCCGCGGGTTCGAGGAGACGGAGACGGTGGACGACTACTACGGGAGAGACAGGACCGGTATCAAGATGGTTCTTGACCTGACCCGTTGACATCACCGCCAGCATCCAAGGTCAAGGACAAGGTCCCAGGCCAGCCCAAGATCGGAGTTGAAGCCGTCAGACATCCATCTGATAGACCTTGCCTTGACAGCTCAGACTGCTCCTCTGGCCATAGTAAAACCATCCGCACATTAACACTATCTTGATCTATATCTATCTCTATATCTATCTCTATATCTATCTATCTATCTATCTATATCTATCTTGATGCTATAACTATCAATCTCGTAGCTGTAGAGCCAGGCTAAGGATTAACTTTTCTGGGCGCACACTTCAAACTTCGACCTTTTCCACCCCCGCCATGAAGGGATTTCGCGGTATGACGGTACTCCCAGCTCCAGCATAGGTCTCAGGGATATACTCTGCTCTGCTCTCCTCGCTGCTACGCTTCTTCCTATACTCATCTGCCAGCTCGCGCCCCCGTGAATCGCTCGCCGTCTCTTGTCTCTTCTCCTGTCCCGCAGTGTGGACGGCTGCCTGAATAACTAACCAACTGGAGGCCTCTCAGCCCTAGCCTCTACGCCAGCTGCAGTCCTCCTCGTCCCTCCTCCGCGACTCGTCTCGGAGACGCCCTCCTTCGCTACGTCGACGTTTACCAGCAGCTCGTCTTAGACACACTCACACACGCCCGTCGCCGGTGCATGAGCTTTTGCGCAGCCCGCCGAGCAGGCCTGTATAGATACCGCTGGAATCATGGGACAGACACTGTCGCAGCCCATAGTCAAGAAGGTGAGTACGCGGGTTCTCCCTGTGCCGGAGATCGAGCATCACGCTAAAAAGGGGTTCATTCGTGATTCTGATCGAGCATCATGCTAAAAGGGGTTCATTCGTGTTTCTAGGAGTCGGACGAAGGCGAGGATGAGTGCGTCGTGTATGGACTGTCAGCGATGCAGGGATGGAGAATCACCATGGAAGACGCACACGCTGCCGTTCTAGATATCCAAGCCAAATACCTCGACAAGAGCCATGGCCCGACCAGTGCTGATAAGCGTTTATCGTTCTTCGGCGTCTATGACGGCCATGGTGGGGAGCAGATGGCACTATACGCAGGGGAGCAGGTCCACAAGATCGTTGCCAAGCAGGAGTCGTTTGCAAAGGGAGATATCGAGCAGGCGTTAAGAGACGGCTTCCTGGCTACCGACCGTGCTATCCTCGAGGGTATGTCGTTTCATCCATCCTGACGCTACTACGGCACGTACTGACCAGATTAGACCCGCAATACGAGAACGAAATCTCTGGCTGCACAGCTTCCGTCGCCATAGTCTCAAGAGATAAGATTATAGTGGTACGTTGAGAAACGTCTCTACAGTAACTTCTTTTTTTTTCTTTTTTTTTTCTTTTTTCTAACGTCCATACTCTCAGGCCAATGCTGGAGACTCCAGATCTGTTCTCGGTGTCAAAGGCCGAGCAAAGCCCTTGTCCTTTGATCATAAACCACAGAATGAAGGTATACCTTTGTGTTTCCCTCCTGACCCATTCCTACAGCAGCCAGCTCACACTATGGATAGGCGAGAAGGCACGAATAAGCGCCGCTGGCGGCTTCGTCGACTTCGGCAGAGTCAATGGCAACTTGGCACTATCCCGAGCCTTGGGGGACTTTGAATTCAAACGCGCCGCAGATTTAACCCCTGAGCAGCAGATCGTAACTGCCAATCCCGACGTCACAACCCATGAAGTTACCGAAGATGATGAATTCTTAGTTATTGCTTGTGACGGTTAGTCTCCCATGTCTTATTGGAAGATAAAGCTCTAAATCTAACGTCGATACTGTATTATAGGTATATGGGACTGTCAGTCTTCGCAGGCTGTAATAGAATTTGTTAGGAGGGGTATCGCGGCGAAGCAGGAGCTACATCGTATTTGTGAGAATATGATGGATAACTGTCTCTCCTCAGACCCGGAAACCGGTGGACTGGGCTGTGACAACATGACCATGGTCATTATAGGGTTACTACACGGCAAAACCAAAGAGGAGTGGTATAATACCATTGCTGAGAGAGTGGCAAATGGAGATGGCCCCTGTGCTCCACCCGAATATGGTGAGGCCCCGAACACAGCATGAATTGTGGGTGGTATACAAAATCTTCCCAGTCTAACACATTTTTTTCTTCTTTCTTTCGAATAGCGAGTTTCCGTGGCCCGGGCATCCGCCGGCAGTTTGACGAGGGACCCGATGGATATGATTCAACAGGCCCAACAGGTCGGTCGGGACGAATCATCCTCCTTGGTGACGGTACCGAAGTGCTTACAGATATGGGCGACGAAGACATGTTCGATAGTGCCGATGAAGACAAGGACTTGGAAAGCCAGATCCGGAGAGAGGTGACGGACGAGTCTGAGGAGTCTGAAAGAAAGGAGCGTGAGGGCACGCCTGGACCGCAAGCGAGCCAACAATCAACCGCCTCGAACGAATCGGCAGGACACGAAGGCCTGACTGAATCGCCTCGTGTCATATCTGCCTCACCTCTCCCAACCGCGGACTCTTCGCCAAACACAGCGTCAGATAACAACAGCAAACCGCAGTCCTCGTAATTCCTGGCCAGAGAAATCAGTTCCTCAACTCTTCCCAGTCGGGATCCCCTCTCTCTCACTCTCACTTGTTACTGCCTGTGTTGTGTCAAAATTTGCAAAACAGCTGGCTGGGTGAAAGTACGACTGTGACTTGCAAATGTGTTTAATTAGTTCCATCGTTCTTCTGGCCACATGCAGGCGCGAATCTAACATTTTTCCTGATCCTGATGAGCCCTGACTTTATATTATCTATTTGCCTGGGGTCTTTCTCTCCCTCTCGGTCTACGTCTACGTCTACATCTACATCTACATCTACGTCTACTGTCCTACATGAGAAGACTCAGGGTTTGACGCGAAGCTGGCCAATTTATGGCGAATTAAACGAATTGGGGATATTTGATGTTTTCTCTCCGTTATCCGGCTGTTATCTACTTGTTAGGATTTGTTTATTCCACGCTGCATTTGTCTCTTCCACTGGAGGAATATGTTCATTAAGGGTTGACGATACACTGAAACGATTGGCTTGAAAAAACGACTGGCTGTTATAAAGGGGATTGGGAAGCAACTCTCATCGCCGCATTCTTTGAAAGGAATATCGGGTGTTTCCTCTGTCTTTTTATCTTTCCCGTCGCTCACTCTGATCGGGCTTCTGCTTCTACCTCTTTTCTCCCTACTCCTTTTATCCTCCCTCTTCTCTGTTCCCTCGTCCCTATAGCTACGGATGGCCCGACAGGTGAGGCGCACCAAGGTTTCCATATGCTGCATTTTAAAAATCCGAGATACGCATACTGTCTTAATTGTTACTCCTGCCGGCGCTGCTTGATGCTATACTAGCTACCACGTCTCGGTCGACAGTCTCCGACCATTCACTCCTTCTCTCGCACCCTGCCTTGTGTAGAATTATTATCCGGCGCAGCTGTCTGTTTACGTGCTTTATGTATGTATATAGTGGCCTTCCAAGCAAAAACAAAGGAGATCCAACCACGAACGCCATCGTCGTACACGAACACAACGACCCTTCTGAGCTTGAGCGTTCTCTTGAGCGTTCTCATCAGTTACAGGTTACCGCGTAAGGGCAGGTAATGTGCCCGAGGACACTATTCGATATTTAAATACCTGGAACAAACGCTGATCCACCCGGGTTCGGCCCCTGAAAAACCGCGAAAATTATTTGTTGGAGCTGAGCTGTTGTTTTCGCCTTCACGTCTCAGTACAGAGACATCTCTCTCCCCTATATTCTTCAGCTACTACCGGAGAGACAGCTGGTGTCCGCTCTCTTCACACACACACTATTTACGATGTCGTCGTCTCCCTCATCGGCGAAACGGAAGCGCAGCTCCTCGCACCTACACGCTGCATCCAGCGCACCAACTCCAGTGCCAGCAGAGCTTCTTCAGCCAACCTCCCGCGACGCATCTGGCGAAGATGCTGGCGATTCGACCGCCGCCACAGCTTCTCCGACCTCGAAGCACAAGATAGCTGCTCTGTCGCGTGATGGAGCTGATGTTCCGCCCACTAAACGGGCTCGGAGACGGTCTGTTGTGGCCGAGGACCCGAAGCATAGATCTGAAGACAATCAAGACCCAAACAACTTTTCGACAAGCAATGTCGACCCCGGTGAGCCGTCCGAGACCACGGAGGCGAGCATTGATATCGAAAATCGTGCAAAGCGGCGAGCGGGGTCGCGACAGTCTATCGTGACACCACCGCAGGTACTGCTAGACGAGCATACCAAGGTACCTACATACCCCGGGATCCAGGATCCCAAGGGTTATCACACCAATCCTCCTCCCACGGACCGGCCGGTGAGAGTATACGCGGATGGAGTGTTTGACTTGTTCCACCTCGGGTATGTACTAGATCGGTGTGAGGATGCTGGCCACCGCTAACCAACATTTTCATATACAGGCACATGCGTCAGCTAGAGCAGGCTAAGAATTTAATCCCAAATACATATCTCATCGTCGGCGTGACCGGTGACGCGGAGACGCACAAGCGAAAGGGTCTGACGGTCCTGAACGAGGCAGAGAGAGCAGAAACTATACGCCACTGTAAATGGGTGGACGAGGTGATTCCAAACTGCCCTTGGATCGTGAGCCCCGAGTTTCTCGAAGAGCACGAGATTGATTATGTGGCGCACGACGACTTGCCTTACGGAGCTGATGAAGGAGACGACATCTATTCTCCAATTAAACAAATGGGCAAATTTCTCGTCACCCAGAGAACCGAGGGTGTCAGCACTACGGGCATCATCACAAAGTATGTCGGCCATACTATCCCTCCCCTGTTCATCTTGTAGACCTGTTTCCAAGCAGGGTTGGTTATTGGGCTATCTTCTTACCATGTTCTACTTAGGGTTGTACGCGACTACGATAAATACATAGCTCGACAGTTCAAGCGAGGAGCTTCTAGACAGGAGCTGAACGTTTCCTGGGTGAAGAAGAACGAGCTCGAAATCAAACGACACGTAACGGAACTCCGCAACGCTATCAAGAATAACTGGTCAACCACTGGCCAAGAATTGAGCAAAGAGCTCCGTCACCTGTGGCAGAACAGTCGGCCTACTAGCCCTACACGACAAGAAGGCGGCCATAACTGGGGTTCCAACCCGGCAATTCCTAGCAACCAAAGCATATTTTGGCCGACAGGTGGAAGGTCCCATTTACAAGCCGATACTCCCAGCAGACCAGAAAGCCCAGGAGTGGCCGGTAGAAGCGAAGACTTTGCTACCGGCTATAGCTTAGGGCTGATTGGCGGGGTTCGATCATGGGTATGATTCTTCTTGCTGGAGGCAGTCTCACGGTTTAGCAGCTTGTATCACTAACACATCTAATACGCAGATGATGAAAAGCCGAACTTCGCTTCATAACACAGCTAGCCAACCTGTGTCGCCATCCGGCAGTGATGAAGATACTGACCGTAATGTTTCAAGCGGAGCTGGAAAGGAATGATTATTTATTAATGTATGAGATGCTAGGCCAAACTTATGGCTGCAAAAATTGCGGGACGAAAAGATGATGGCTAGCAAAGCACTGCAGCAACTACGTAGTCTTCTGATATTGATATTATTGATATGGGTTTCATGGGGGATTCTCTTCGCGGCAGGGGATGATTTACGTTACTGGCAGTGTCTTGGTTAATAGGGGCTCATATTTCCTTCTGTACAAACGTAATATATTAATTCTGGTACTATTAGCCGGTAGAGACAACTGCTTGTTACCACAAATTGAAGCTGAAGCTGAAGCTGAAAGATAGAACCTCATCCTCCGTGGTCTGCTACCCCCACGCAGATATCCTCGGGTAAAATATTTGTCAAGGCCGAGACGTGATCGGATAACTTTTTTTTTCCTTTCTTGCTGTCAGCGATATGGGAGAACGTTTTGTTCACACTTTGTTAGATATCCCTTTACCATCCTATCTCTCTCTCTCCCTTCCACTTCCTACGCCTCCGACGCGATGTCGAGCTCTAAACACAATGCCGAACAAGCGTCGTCCTCCAGTTTAGCCCAAACACAGGGCGAGGAACCATTAACAAACAGTGATGAACCCATGAACGCGCCTATTGAAGAACGTACTGCGACGAATGGTTCAAGCCAAAGTCATGAACCCAGCTCGAGAGATCCTGCAAAGTCCTCCCAGTTGCTCCTGAAATTGTGGCAGATGTGGTTACAGGGCAAGGGTATGGCTCTAGTATTACTCGCCCAGTTCTTTGGTGCTTCCATGAATGTTATGGCGCGGATATTAGAACAAGATGGCCCCCATGGCAAAGGCATGGCTCCTTTCCAGGTTGGTTTCTTTCTCTTCTTCTCCTTCTCCCGAATCCAACGCCGGTTCAAGACGCTTCGATGGCATAGAGTAGACCTGAACTGACCTGGATATCTAGATTCTACTTGTTCGAATGCCTGCAACGGCAATGTTCAGTTTCATGTACATGTGGTATATGAAGGTGCCTGACCCCTTCGGTGCGCCTGCTATACGGTCTCTTCTAGTACTCCGTGGTATCAGCGGGTTTATAGGCGTCCTGAGTCTATATTATTCCTTGATCTACCTACCACTCGCTGAAGCTACGGTCTTGACATTTCTGATACCCATAGCCTCTTGCTATGCGGCATCCCTCGTCATGCCTAACGAGAAGTTCACAAGGAGCCAGCAATTAGCCGGAGTTATATCGATCTTTGGGGTGGTCCTTATTGCACGGCCAATGGCTCTCTTTCCGGGGAGCCCAAAGCCAAGTTCTGTGAATCACGATCCCGACTTGGAACAGCATCTTCTCGCAGTTGCGGCTGCGCTCGTGGGAGTGGTAGGAGCAACGGTTGCGTATACCATGATCCGTAAGATTGGGCGCCGTGCTCACCCTCTTGTGAGCGTCAATTACTTCGCTCTTTCAACCTCCGTTATGTGCTTGATTGCAGTCCTTGTCATCCCCTCCGTCAGCTTTAGACTCCCATCCAATCTCATGGAGCTCTTCCTACTCATCAGCTTGGGCCTATGCGGATTTGTCTTCCAGTACCTTTTGACTGCTGGTCTTTCATACGTCCCCCCAACAAGCGATGGGAAACCTTCCACCCATGGTTCCAAGGCTACGTCTATGTTGTATTTGCAGATAATCTTTGCACTCTTCTATGACAAAGTGATATGGAACACAACACCTTCCCCTACCAGCTGGCTGGGATCAACTATCATTCTTCTAAGTGCGTTATATGTGGCACTTTCAGCTAGGAACGATGAAAAGGTCGACAGTAGCAAGGGAGTAAAGCCCGCGGAGCCTATTTGCCAACATCCTGAAAACCTCAGTGGTGATCATGACGTCGAGAATCAAGCGTTGCCAAAACGGTGGACTGCTCAGGACCATGCGTTAGCCGATGAGGGTGAAACCGAGGCTCTGCTAAGCCACCGTCAGCCATAGTGATTGAATAGACAGTTAGAACCCAGCCAGAGGGCTATTCACATATACTATCCTTGGACATAATACATATACCACTGGATTTGGGCTGGGTGTTTAAATGTCGATATAAAGTGGTAAATGTACATATTGTGCAACATAGAAATGCTTTGGCTCCTTAGGGCGTCCTTAATACCATATAATACATCTAAAAGATCAGCCTTGGTGCGTAGGGCTCGTACTATATCGTGGGATATAAGCAGATAAAGAAATAGGTAAAGTATTGGCTCGTTTACCTCCTTGCAGTGCCTGCTGTGCCTAGACAAATGTAAATGTATCTCCTCCTTTTTCTAACAACATGTTTCGAACTCTGGTTGTCCCCACGATCCTCTCTAGCTTAAAGGCGTCCCATTTCGAGAAAAGTACCCTTAGGGTAGGAATAGGTCCACTAGCGGCAGCTGTAGCACCAGGACCGGATCCTAAATACTCGACTATTTCGCTCCAAAACATTGGGTTGTCAGGTAGTCCATACATCACAATATTGCTGACACCCCGAATATTATATCGCCGGAAATGATGTGCGCGTTCAGTATAGAGGAGGACAGAGTGCCGGTCGTTCATGAAATGGCTTCTAGCTTTTGATGAATCGCGCACGGATGTGTATTCCGATATTAAGCCAAACGAAATGTTAGCGGTCTGGGTGGAGTTGGCAAAGTAGTTTCTGACACGGACAAAATCCAAGTAGGATGGTATAAATATCAGGGTTCCCCCAGATTTCCCCTTCCCAGAATTTGGCCCCGTCCAGTTCCGAGAAAGATTGGTGAGGACCGTTCGAGTAAAGTACTGGAAGCGAGCTTCCGGATCCTTAAGTGGGGAAAGCGAATCAAAGCGGGAGAAAGTCTGCTTCACAGAAGACAGCAGTCGAAGGTTGAGAATAGCCCCATCATATTTTGGTATGATTTTTGCTTTTCCGAATATGTTTTGCATCTGTGAGCCGTACAGAGCATTGAGCTCTGGAGTAATGAAGGCCGAGAACACGAGCGTTTGGCGAATGTACTTTCCATGACCGTCAAGGTACCATTTTCGTACTCGGCTAAAATCACAGCCATGTGCTTCTTTAGGCTGAAGGTTGAGATTGGAGAAAACATACTCGACGTGTTCCCAATTCTGCATGATGAGGGCATCTGCGTGATCCACAATTACCATCTCTATAGAGGATAGGAAATCATTTTCGAGCCGTTTCCCCCTAAAAATAATAACGTTACACATGGTTAAGAAAGTCAGAGGCGGAGCTTTGCTTACCCTTCCTTTTCTATGGCAGTTCGTAACCCAAGTGGACTTGCAAGGATGATATCGGAGCTATAAAACTGTGAGAAGTATTTAAGGGACTTCCGTGTGAACTTCAAACCGAGTCGGAACATATCGTCATCATTACCTCCAAATAACTCCTTGAAATCCTCAGTTTTGTTAACCCAATCGTCATTATCAGGTGCAGAGAAGCTGTCCATAAATCGTTTCTTATTCTCTTGTTGTTCCGTTGGATAGAGCTTAGAAAGAGAATCGATGACACGGACACAAGCTTGTCGGGTTGGGAGAATCATTAGAACCTTGGGCCTTGTAAAGCCCTGATCACTTAGTTCGATATCCCCCCCATCTTCCTTGGACAAAGTCGCACTATTCTTAATTACGCGATCTCGGGTTTTAAGAACATGATTCAAAGCATGTAAACAATAGAGATCACGAAGTTTGGCTGAATTTTTGGTCGTCCTTGAGCAAAATAGAATGTCATGGTATCCAAATATATATGGCGTTAGGCAGTTGCTAAGAGGGTCGAAGGAGACGGCATTTCTTGCTAGTTTTTGCTTTAGCTAGCGAAAAGTTAACTTTAGGACATCCAGGAATTTAGTATATCAGAGGTTACATACTTTAAGATTAGCAGGCGTAGGTGTCGAGGGCAAGACAGGACATGTTGCATGACCTGCATCTGGGCTGCCGGCCACAACATACATGCCCTCAATTAAATCCGATTTTATAGAGCGCCAGGGCTTAGACGAAGCCTCAATTTTCTGGGATAATTCAGATTCGTCTGGATTTCCGAAATGGGATTCAAAGGGGTCGTTTCTTCCTATATCCAGCAAACCATATTAGCCCTGAGGTTCTCTCAATTATAGATGAATCTAGCGAATGAGGATGACCAACCATCATTTCCAGAGTTGTCATAACCATCCACCTGGTCCGAGACATCATCATCCATATTCTCCTCATCTGATGGCTCCATAACTGCCAACTCGTCCACCGCCTCAACATCTCCATCGTCCTGTACAGATGTTTCATGCTGGGCTGTGTGCGGCGTGTCAGATCTAATTTTTCGTCTCTTGCGCGCCGGCTCGTCTGATTTGGCACCATTATGCAGGAGTTTTAAGAGGGTGCTATATGAATTCTCATCCGGCTGCTCGTCAAGGTCACTCCCGGAAGATATATCGGAGCCCTCGCTACCGTCCAGTTCGTCGACCGGGCCACGACTGACGTCCTCTGCTTCATCTTCGGAAGAGTTACCCTCACTGTAAGATAAGTTAGTAATTATACCAGGTGGAGGAGAGAGCTTGATCTGAGCAGACCTAACATCCTTGAGCCTCGAGGTCTCGAACTTTCGTCGTTTGCCTCGAAGAGACTTAGAACCTCTACCCCGCTGGGGCTTAGCTCTCTTATGATGAATTGCCATTGTCCTGGGCTTGAATTATCCAGCAACAGCCAGCTTCGGGCCTACTGACGAAGAATAATTCTTAAATGCGCGCGCTGTAAGTTCCCAGGTTAAGTATTTTCGATCTGGATCTTATCTTATCTAAGCGTAGAAAATTTCCGCCACACACAAATAATGAACACCTCCAAGGAACAGGAACCACCCCTCAACTAATCGCTGCCCCCAAAGCACCAGCCGTGTCGTAGGAATTCTACTTCGAACGAAACATCTACACTTTCGCAATCATGGCAGACACTGGCTCCTTCGTTCACATTGCGCGGCCCTTGGGACCCGCCACTGTTGGAGTTGCGCCCACCACTGCCCCTCTCAACGTTATCATACAACCTCAGGTCAGTCGAGACAGCAACAGCTTGTACGTCGCTTAGGCTGATTACCGTGGATTTAGGCTATTTTTTCTATCCTTGACCACTCCCTTCGACGCAATGCCGACCAGGAACGAGTCATCGGTACTCTCCTTGGCACTCGATCTGAGGATGGGACAGAAGTCGAGATCCGTACCTGTTTCGCAGTAGGCCATACGGAGACCACTGACCAGGTCGAAGTCGACATGGAATACCAGAAACAGATGCTTTCGCTTCATTTAAAAGCCAACCCAAAGGAAGTTCTGGTCGGGTGGTACGCAACGTCTTCGGAGCTAAATACATTCTCAGCTTTGATTCAAAATTTTTACGGTGGCCAGGGGGATGGGACGTGGCCTCATCCAGCCGTCCACTTGACCGTTTCTACGGAGCCCGGAAAGGATATTGTGACCAGGACGTATATTTCAGCGCCAGTTGGTGTTACGACTGAGCGAGCGGCGGATAGCGCAGCATTTATACCGGTACCTTACGAGATTAGATACGGTGATGCAGAGAAGAACGGGCTGGAGGCAATCGCGGCAGCACGAGATAGAGAGGATCGAGCGACGAACCTATTCACAGACATTGACAACCTAGAAAGGTCCATTGAGGAAGTCATTGGAATGATCGACCGTGTCTCGAGATATGTGGAGTCAGTAATGGACGAGGAGGCACCCGCCTCCACCGCCCTTGGTCAATTTTTACTGAACGCCCTTGCACTCGCACCAAAGGTGGATGCTGCTGAAATCGAGAGCGACTTGTATGTGCCAATTTCTATGTCAAGTTTCATATTTCAACATGTCTACAGGATCAAGCTAATCGTTTTCACAGTAACAAACATATCCAGGACGTTCTTGTCGTCTCGTACCTTGCCAACTCCATCCGTACACAAATGGAGCTTTCTAACCGACTTGCAACTGCCCAGCTTACGTTGGGAGGGGGCGGAGAAAGCAGTGGTAACGCAGCTGGAGCAAACACGGGAGGAGAATCAGGCGGCCAGCGTGGCGGCCACCGAACAAACAGAGGTCGTGGTGGGCAGCGGGGAGCTCAGGCGGAAGAATTGCGGGCTTAGGCAATATCTGCGATTTTGGCCTCCACCACTTTCCCCAGTATTAACTATAGTTATGGAGCTGGCAGGCCGTTCGATAAATTCATTTTGGAGTCGTGCTTCGTGTCGGTTGTGGGAAAATGAAGGCGTCTTTGGAGTTTGTATTTGCGTGATTCCCGCATAAAGGGGGGTTTTAATCAGGTAGATGAATGAAATGGATTCATATTTCTGTCACAACAGATATTGCGCAGTGGATCAACGCGGCATTCTATGCCAGGTCGTATGTATTTTCCGATATTGATCCATTGCTTCGGTTAGCCCATCAGTAATGTATGATCAGAGGTCGTTGTGCAAACGATATGTTAAGAGTCCGTAACTAGTGTCAAAGCATTACGAGTCCATTCGCCGTTGCGGACAGGGCCAGCTTGTACAATTGGGTGATGACATCAGGCGGCCATTCCACTGGGGATAGGCGAAGATGCCTCCAGTATTATCGTTAACTTGGTTGAATGGGTATTGTCTCTCTCTTCACAATTGCTCGGGGATCGAAAGGCACGATCTCGAAAGCAGTAATAAATGGTAATAATATCCGAGTATGTGTTAGGCCTATCCCCCGGGTATCAATGTTGAGGTACTTATTTATGTGATATTGTCGTCGACGGAGCCCAATTTCCGCTTTTTACCAGCGCCAGCGACGGACTGGTCGGTAGAAAAACGCTTTCCCGAGTTCTTTGTCTTCTTGCCCTTGCCTCTGTGTCCTGAGGTACCATCTTTGGATACGCTATCATCTTGTACGCCAGCCGCATCGGCCAGATCAGCCAGCTCTGCCTTGGAGGCTTCTTTTAAGCCTCCACCTAAGCGATCGTCATTTTGATCGAAAGCCTTTCTCGCTTCTTTAAGCTCACGTTCTAGCCGGAACAGCTCCTGAACTCTGCCGAGCTTAACAGGATCTCGGCGTAGAATGAAACGAAAGTCATCAGCTTTGACTTTCTGCCGGTTGGCGTAGTTGGCAATCTGTGCTGCTTCATGGCAGGTTTCGATAATAAAATCAGTTACAACTTCGTCGAGGACGCGGACAGTTTCAGCGTTGGGCTCCTGCGGGAAGCTGGCGTGAGGAGACGTGTCGCCGTAAGCGTATAGTAGTTGTCGAACTAAGTAATACCAGCAGTTAGAAACAGACACAAATCTGAATAGACTAGATTAAGTCATACTTTCGTTGCCGAAGCTCAGTTGGCCCTGGTGCCGGGTCAGGCGGACTCTCGGTTCTGACATCGTTGCTCAACAAGAGATGAGCGCTGTTCCTGTTGCTATAGATTTTGGCCGGTCCTTGGGTGATGGGTCAGCTCCGGCACTTGTTCTGCTCGACCTGGGCCACGTAGATGGCAAGTATTTCCCAGCTGACGGTGGAATGAATGCCCTTACAGGAGAATGACGATGCTGGCGTGAAGTACCAAAGTAGGCTGGCGATAGTTAACCGAGCTCTTAAGCTTAGCGCGCGTTTAATGATGTCACATGACCATAACTTGGCTTTCAGGCTTCGCTGTTCTTGTTCATGAAGCAAACCAGGACATAAAAAGAGAACCTCGAAATACACAGTTTGTCTAGGGAAGTAGGGAGAGCCCGCTAGAACACCATGGTAGGTTAATGATGAATCTCTGTGTTTTTGGCCATTTTAAGATTGCATTATCTGACCATTCCCTAGGCTGCCCTCTTCAATTTCCAGTCACTTCTACTCGTGATACTCCTGATTATCTGTACAAGCGCTTATGCGCACAGCATAATGCCTGGAATTATGGACCGCCATCAGAATGGGTAGTGTTTATATTCCTATCCTAACTATGCTTCTAATCTCTAACATGTACTGGACAGCTTTTTCGGAATATTCTGGAAATGTGCTCGAGTTGGTGAGAGACTAAGCCCGTATGTCAGTATTTGTTGCATCATCATGGCTGTGAGTGTCTACAACCCTTCCCCGCCCATCGCTGAAATATACTACCAGAACTTTGCCTGACAGGGTGGCAGATTTCTCTTTTTCTAGGCAATTAGCTAGTTGATAGTCATTTTTTTTTTTTCGGTTGGCGCTTGCGGGGTTTAAGGAGTATGTATAACGTGATAGAGAAATTACGAGGCCTGGTTTTCGCACCTGCCGGATGATAACTTGAAAGGAAAGGACAGAATGAAAGAAGGACATTTAGTTGTTTCAATCATCTATGGAATATAATACAATATATCTATGGTACAATATCTTGGTGGAGGGGGTTAAAAGCGCATAGCAAATGTTACCACTCTCTGGCAGTAGTCAGATCGTCCTCTTCCGGCTCAGACTCAGGCTCATTAGAGTCTAGAACATCAAGCATAGTTCGAAGCAACTCCTGGTTATCAATCAATCCCAAAGCTTCAACAGTGTGCTTGTCAGGTAACCAAGATTCTTTCTCCATGTCCTTCAACGCTTTAGCTGCTGCTTCGACCATTTGATTTTGAGCATATCCTCTGATTAATATGTTCCATGCCATGGAGTTGACCTCAATCCCGCGTTCTTTCATCTTTTGGTGGAGCTTCTCTGCGGCCGCTATGTTGTCATTACAAATTAATATGTTCAACAATATCGTCCATGTTATTTTTGAAGGTCGCGCTTTTGCGAGAGGAAGTCGAAGACCGGCCCGGGTTATTTGGAATGCAGCTTTAGGAAGTGGTTCGAGCATGTAGTCGACAATCCTGAAACACTTGGCTATCGCCCGGCTGTCACATCGAAAAGCCATAATAAAGATGTTGAAGATATAATCAGTTCTAAGCATAGGGACAAAGTCACGGTGTCCGGCGCTAACTAGATCCTGGAAGCGTCTGAAGATTTGCCAAATACTGAAGAGTCTGGGTTGCGTATTTAGATATGCCGTGATCATGAGGGCTAGTGTTGAACTTGGAGGGCGAGATCTAGTGGTCGAATATTTTCCGTCATCGTTGCTCTCAGGGATTAGTCCCAGATCAATGAGCGGTTGCACTTTATGCGCTCTCTTATAAACTTCCAGCATTGCCTCGAATGTTTCAGTGGCAGGAACTTCTTGACCTATCCCTGTAGTTTTGCGAAACTTCAATATTGCATGCAGTGTTTTGTTGACAATGTGCGGCTCCCTTGATAGGAGGTTAACCCTTGTGACTTTATGGAGAATTCGGTCCACTTTTTCGCGGTTCATAAGGCGAACTGCATTGTGCAGAACTAACAGGTAGGTATAGGAGTCCGGCCAAATTCCCCGCTCTTCCATAAGTTCAAGTATCTCCAAGGGCGTGTCACTGTCATTGGTACTCGAAACGTATTCCACGATGTTATTAAATATAGCCAAATTCGGTCGTATTCCCATTCCCAGCATCTGTGGCAAGATCTCAAAGGTAAGACTGCCGTCGGGGTTGCGGGTATAGCGCTCAAATTTTAGAAGATTGCAACATCGAGGTATAACTTCTTTAGAGCTGAGGAGAGTTGGGGAAGGATATCGTGTTGTAATAGCACGCAATGCATGCAGCGAATTTGAAATATCGCCATCCCTTGTAAAGAGATCCATAAAATATACTAAGGTCTTGACTGCCAAAAAATTTGAATCAGACATGAGACGCTCGAAAACGGCCCGGACCCTATGGGAATCGCAGTATTTGAGATAGAGCCGAAGCCCACGTTGCCCGGCTGTTGATAGGAAAGGAAAAGATTTCGGTCTAAGACAAAGCTGCACGCAGGAGACGTATCTCATTCGCAGCTCTGGACAGCGCTCAAATTCTTTGAGATGGAAGATTTCAAAATAGATAAAGCAGTCGGAGACCATAGAATATGAAGGAGAGTAGGAGATGGATGTCGCCAGTAAAAACTTGAGGGCATCGCGTGGAGAATGCAACAGGAGCCACAGGGTTATATCGGACCATCGCCTTGCAGCTTCACTGTGAGGAAGTTGCAACCACCGTATGTTCGGTGAGGGTGCTAGGCTATACGGTCCCAAAATATCCTTGGCCCATTGAGCGACAGTTTGAGAATCCTCCTCAGTATCCATCTGTTCCCATGTCTCAGGCGCAGGAACATCATCGAACTTATTTTTAAATAAGATCTGTATGTTTTCTCTCCACTTTGGATGGGTTACCGTGAACGGAAAGAGAGACTTTTCCCTCACTCTGAACTCTTTAGCGTATAAAAAGCGATCCGGAGTCGTGTCAAGCTTCTTACACCGGATACGAATTGCATTTAAGATTTCTAATCTCTCGTGCTGTGGCATTGAATGAAACTGTCCCACTCTTATATAACAGACATCGGTTCCATGGGGCTCGTTGCTGTCTTCGCTGTCATCAAATGAGCTTTGGGTCAACCGTTCGTTTGATTCGCCGCGCATCCGTCTGAAGACGTCTCCAGCCCCATCCTTTTGTTGGGGTGCGGTGCGGATATCACCATTATTTCGTCTAGCCAAAGGTTCTAGGTACCTGGATTGCGTTGAATGGGCCGCTCGAGCTATGAGCGGGAGCGAAACGAGATATATTTGTGCAATCGAGGCATGTTGTGGCCTCAGGATAGGTTTGACATGCAAAGCCCCCGACCGTACGGCAAACAACGGCGAGTATAGGCTTTTCCTTCGGCCTACCAGAGGGCTCATAACTCAGTAGTCAGATCCTCTGGGTAATTGTTTCCCATACCCTATGAAGGTAACAACGGTGGGCGAAGTAGGGGGATATTAAACGACCGAAATGAGATGAAAACAGGGAAATCGAATAGTGAGCATTGGACTGTGACGGCGTTATCGTTGGGCTGGATCCGCGTTGTAGGCAGCGTCTCGATAATGGATAATTGATGGTGAGGTGTTTCTGAAGAAGCTGATGGAGGAAGAAGATATAAAATTGTTCAACGCTAAGGCTAAAACCCCCGAGAAAAAAAAAATGCCGAAACGGGAAAGTTTGCTTGTGGCTTTGTGGCGGTACATACCACGACCTCTTCGCGGAGCAAGTTTTATACGAAGGAGTATACTCCGTACAGCTCTGCATCTTTCTTCAGGACAGGCGTTTACAAGTCCGTGAGCATGTCTTCTTCACATACAACCCTAGACGCTGCTGCTGCCGACCGCAAAGCCCGCCTTGCAAAATTAGCATCCCTGAAGAGACAACGACCCGAGCCCGAGACCGACACTGCGGACCAAAGCAACTCGACGGGCAGCACAGCGCCTCAGTATTTGTCTGGTCGAAACTACGACTGGGAATCAAGGGGCGCAAAGCTCGGATTTGAGAGCGACCCCACGCGAGATGCCATTACGCTAGAAGACAAGGCTGCTGAAATCGCTGCTGTGACGGCTCATGCAGCGCATGAAAACGAAGACGCCGATAAACCTATTGACCTATTTAACCTACAACCGAAGAAGCCTAACTGGGACCTCAAACGAGACCTTGAGCAGAAGATGAAAGTGTTGGATGTCAAGACCGAGAACGCCATGGCCCAGCTCGTCAGGCAGCGGATCCAAAATTCACAATCTGCGATGGAAAACCAACGGACGAGTGGTGGAGACGAGGAGCCCGCCGGTATTGACGGTGAAATGCTCGTGCAGGGAATTCACTCTCTTGAACGGGAAGAAATAGAACAAGTGAGGAGGGAGGGAGAGGACTGGAGTTAATGATTACAATTGGCAGGAAGGCGCTTATAAATGCGCTTGTATCTCTTGCGTTCTGCGTTTCCTATCTACCTGATGTAGCCATGGCTTGTGTTAACGCTATGCGCTTGCTATATGGGCTTAAGCTTCGTTGCCTAGGCGGAGACTTTTGCTGAGCGGAATGGCTCTCGAAACCAGGACGATTTTGTGGATGGGCTCTCCTATCGCGTGGGGGTAAATTGTGTCTGTTATCATCCTCACTAACGGACCTTTCTCGTCTCCTTTGCGTTGATCTGCTTTTTTGTGGTATGTGCTCTCTAGACCTTGCACGGCGCCTGTTCGGCTCAGGGGGATGCGAATGCCGGGGTCGTTGTTGTCGGCTTGTATAGTCACGATTTTGAGCCTGTTCATCTCTCGCGGGAGGGCTGGAGGCATCAGACTCAACCTCTCGCCTTTTCACCACCTGTCCTGCTGGAGAACGAGCCCTTGATTGCGAAGGCGAGCTGTGTCTGTCTCGTTGCGGACGGCTGGGGGGTGACACCGAGCGACTAGTCGATATAGTAGATACTGAAGAGCACGACGATATAGATCTAGCTCGTTTCCTTGAACTGCGAGTGGCACTGGGATAGTCTCTTCCCGGGCTCCGGCTCCGGCTCCGGCTTAACCTTGACCGTTCTTCTCTTGACCGATTCAGCTGCTCATCAGCAATCCCTTTGCTGTGTACAGGATGTTAATATAGCTCGTAGACCCGTGGTGTATTGGCTGGCTTACGTTCTCAGCAAATCGTTTGGAACATCAGTCGAGAGCTCTGGCCGAAGGCGCGGGTTGGATAGCTGCTGGGTTCTAGACGGACGAGCTCCATAGGGACGTTCTTGCAGCTGTGTCGTGCACTCGTAGCTGTAGTGGCTTAAAAACACGGTCAGTACAGCCGTCTGTCTTTGCTGTGGGCGAGGATAGACCTATCTTTCTTCAAACACTTCTGGCACACGGTCGTGGGAGAAGCTCTGGACGAGGCCGCCCGCCCTGGGATATTGCGATACCGATTCATCCTTCATCCAAGCTCGTCGTAGATTGTCTTGTCTTGTACATCGTGGAATAAACTGGTCGTCTTGTCTGGGGAGCTGTTGTTTCCTCTGACTGCTGACTAAGCCGGAAGCCCTTTTATGCTGGCCACACAAGGGCAAAAGGGCAAAAGGGCATCTTCACCCCCGATCCCAAGTCGAACTCCAGCCGACCTCCATCAGAGCGCCGTCCTCCCCTTGCATGGTCCGGCGTGTATACGGATTACCTCTGCCGTCGACTCCCTTGCGACTCCCTAGTTGTTTTACGTGCGTTGAGTCTGCTCGTCCAAGGCACATTTCTCCTGCCAGCCCGCGACCGCATCCTCCATATCAGCCTCGATCCGGGAGAAAATTATCGGCGCCTTCGCGCGGTTGAACTTTGGACGTTGGATGGTCGGAAAAGCCTGTGGTTTATCCATGAACTCATTATTCATGACGGGTATTGAAGCTCAGAGATATGTCGTCACCGTATCTGGGCTTGTGCATCCTAGCTTTTCTTAGAGATATCGTTTCTATCCCTTGATCCCCCTGATTGTTATCAGTTGATATCTACGTGCCCAACGTCTGTTTGAATCAATACCGACCGCTCTCTGCCTTTCACATGGCCACCGGCCCTTCGTTTTTGCAATGACATCGAGGCTAGGTGAATCGGGCAGTCGGCCATTGTTTGCAAAGGTACAGGAAACCTCAACAGGTCCATACACGCGTGCTTTGCTAACTATTATTCTGCTCTAGGTTGCTGCCATGCACTCTCGTACTGAACCAGTGCTCTCCGAAACGCAGAATTATAATGAAAGTGCTCGGTCAGACAGCCGTCCGTTGAACCAATTCAACATAGAATCCAGCACTCTCCCGGCCCAAGATGTCCAAAGCCCAGGTTCACAGACAGCGGCGTCGATTAAAGGTGGAGATGACCTGATCGAAACCTTGGATAGTCTTCATCTCTCAAAGGAAAAAGAGGGAAAACCTACGCCAGAACCCGCTGGCGATATCCAAGAGGATGGGCAGCCACGAACGGACAGTTTGTTCGATGATGACCAAACTCATCTCTCTAATTCATCCACGAAACCTGCCAGCTTCGATTCCAAAAGCATGGCTTCTGTCACTACATTTGCCATGGATGAAAAGGAGTCCCTACGACCTGACGACAGCGCGAGTGTTCAAGCTGTAGAAGAAGATGAATATCTTGGCCCGGCTGCAGACGCGCTTAGCTCTCAGGTCAATTCAAACCTGGCCGTGTCAAGCCGTGGCGCAGATCGCAAAAATCACTTACTTCGAGAGCCCGAACTGTTAAAAAAAGATGCTCTGCGACTCAATGAAGATGCTCTACGAAGAAATGGGGTTCTTCCCGTGGAGAATATGCCGGTAACAGGGAGCGAGCGGAACCTTCACGGATTCCCGAGTGAGCCAGATGAAAAACTCATGGAGGCCATGAGCTCGCCTAAGGACCGTCTTCTATTACTTCAACTAGAAGAAAAGATTGTGTCATTCATCAAAAATTCAAGGTACCGTTTTTCCGGTTATCACTATTGCCCCATATTATGCTAACTGATTCTAAAGCGAGGGGTCACTGGAGCTACCTCCGTGCAACTCGTTTGGACGCCTACTTGCTCATAAACTGGGCGACTACTACCACCTAACGCATTTTGTAGATAACAACGTCACTTCTGTCAGGCTTCATCGAACGCCATGGAGCAGGCTGTAAGTCGTATTCGAACGACTTGTGTGCAGGTTTATGATACTAATAAAGTATAGGCCAACCCCATTGACGATGTTACATCCAGCTAATACAAACACGCCGCCACCGAGTGCTCCAGCAATGAAGATTATGCGCCGACTAGGGCAACCTGGAGAGAAAAACTCCGCGGGAAGTACAGCTCCAAGTTCGGCTGTTCCTTCAAAAACTGCTTCGGAATCTGGAGTGGATGGGGCCAACGATGAGGATCGGAATGGTGGCACATCATCGACGGGAGCTACACCCTCGAAAGATCGTGCTAATCTAACCCGAGAAGAGCGTGAAGCTAAGTATCAGGAAGCACGAGAGCGAATATTTAGGGACTTCCCTGAGTCAAAATCGACCGAGGGTGCCGGTAGTGGAGAGCATAGCGCCGACATCTCTAGGTCAAGCTCAAGAACTGGGCGGAAGAAACCCTCAAAACCGAGGTCTCCAAAGGATGATGGTTTTGAAGCAAGATCACAATTCAACGCTTATTATACAACTCCTCCGCTCTCAGGCGGACCGGCAATTTATCACAATTCCCCGCATAACGGGAGCGTTAATTCTCAGAATTACTACGTGGTAGCTCAGAATTCACCCGGTATTGGGGTAAACTACCCTCCAATGAATCCGACTGGGCCAATGTACACACCACCCGGAGGTATGAATGGAATGCTCGCATACTCTGGAACACAATCGCACCCAAGCCAGAATAACTGGCAGAATGGCCACCCAGCCCAGATTCCAGGATATACCCAATACCAGCATGCTACCCAGGTTTCACCTATGATGTCTCAACGTGCTTCCACCGTACCGTCTCCTAGAGCACCTACTTACTCAACGTCGAACGCTCCCCAATATTCGCAACCAACTCCAACATGGGCACCAGCCCCTTTCCAGCCCGGATTCTCTCCCCAGTCTATGGCACGGTCACCTCCTGTCCACTGGCCCGCTATGCCTCCCAACGCGATGGCAGCCGGTCAAACTCCTTACGCACAGGGTTTAGCGTCCGCTCAGCCGTTTATGCCCAATAAATCCTCTCATCCTGCCCCTGGTAGCTTTTCTCGTACACGGTTCAGCCCTCAAAGCCGATCATTTGCTCCAGCTGGGAATTCGCATGCAGTCTATTTTGAGAATAACACTCAGCCCTCTCAATACGCGAGCACTCAATTCAACAACGTTTCCCGACACAATTCCAGAGACACATCGAAGCCCGGACTAAATCCATCGCCTCCTTCACTACACTATAAATATAAAGGACCCCTTTCCAATGCAGTGGGCCAGCAACCAGCATACGGGCGGCAAACCGACGCTCAAGATTCAATTGCTAAATGGGGTACTCCATCCCACCTACCCCCAAAACCACCGCCTCCAGAAGCCCCGTATCACCATGATTCAATGAACCGCCCTGCTGTCGTCACTTCCCCACTTGCATCTAACTTCACGCCATCCGATACAAAATCCGCTCCATTTGTGGTGTCCGGGTCATCTAGCAACGAGAAAACTCAGCCTCATGGCAATACATCTACCGGATAATAATTTGTCTTTTGCTGTGTACCCTAGGAAGTGGAAGGTATATTAGCTCGAGTGTAAACACAGTCACATGAGCTGACTCGAGCGGTTTGGTGTACTAGTATTGCTCAGCGAGAACGGTATTTGTTTCGACCATTTGATGTTGGTCTATGTTGATCGACAGCTCCATAGGTGTGGCATGGTTCAGACCAAAGCCACAAAATTGAACGAAGACATAGCAGGCTCCCTTTTGCAGCTTGGTAATATCTATTGCATTTTCTCATGCTGTGGTATCATATCTCAGCTAGTTTCGGATGGCTCTTGCGATCAATTTATTTAGTAGAGAACAAAAGCAGACGTTTTGTTATAATTCTTCCACCCTCCTATTCAATAACTCCTAAGTTACAGACGGGTTCTCTTTCTTTTTTAACCCCTAATAAACCTATCTACCTGGTTTAACTAGCTATTGACTATAAAAGCACAAAGAAGTCCTCTGTTGTATATATAGGCCCTGGGTTGCTCCCTGCCATGGTGAAGTAACGTGATCTGCCAGTTTTGTGTTTATTACTCCATCACTTTTTCAGAGGCCTTCAACGGTCAGCTCGATCACCACATAACCTCTTTACCTGCAATTTTGTTTTATTTTCCTAATATTAAAACCCCACCATTCTTTGATCTTTCTTATTTCCTTTCTTATTGCCTTATATTTCCTACACCTCCCCAGCCCATTATGGCGAGCACAACAGATGAGGTTGCTGAAGAGCATATGGTCAGCCATGAGAAAGGTGGAGATGATGAAGTAAACATACAACGCTCCTGTCTTCCCCATTCTGACCCATGGGTTATAGCTTATAGCGCGTTTGATTGATAGCTAACCGTTGTTTCTTAGGAAGAAATCGCCGCCATGAGAGAAAGACTAACGAAGATGGAATCTGAGGCGGCGAAACTGCATGAAATGCAAGCATCACTGGACCAGCAAACTGAGAACCTGCGGGAAGATAAGGAAGACATCGACGCGAGGAGTATCTTTGTCGGAAATGTCGATTATGCAGCGTCTCCAGAGGAAATCCAAGCCCACTTCCAAAGCTGCGGCTCGATAAACCGAGTTACGATTCTATTGGATAAATTTACTGGCCATCCAAAGGGGTTTGTCTCTCCCAACACACCTACCTGCCTGCTTGCCTGCCTACCTACGGATTCCGAACTCCTTCCCATTCCCCTAGAGTCCGATATTCTCGACCCTCCGTGATGACTTGATGCTGTTTATTTGTTTATCTTATCCACGACACAATTTTCTGGTGCTCTCGCGCTGCCTGGCAAGAGATGGGAGGACTAATGGTGCATTGCAGGTATGCGTACGTCGAGTTTAGCGAGCCTAGCCTTGTCGCGCAAGCTCTAGTCCTGAATGAGAGTCTGTTTCGTGGGAGGAACCTGAAGGTCAGTCCCGGTCGCTAACTGTAGAATACAAAGCTATGATACTGACTTGGATGATCCTGCTGCTATCAGGTCGTCCCCAAGCGCACAAACCTACCTGGGATGACGCGCGGGCGAGGTCGCGGACGGGGCCGTGGTGGTTTTGGCCGGGGTGGAATGCCTCCTCGGGGAGGATATCGAGGCGGCGGCTACCGGGGTCGTGGTAGAGGATATGCGCCATACTAAGGAGCTGCACCTCCAAATTGCAATCGCACGAAATGACAAAAGTGGAACTGCAGAGGCCTTTTTTGGTTTGAATTTTTTAAGTACCCGGAGTTTGGAATGGTTGTGTATGATACGACGGCGATAAGACTGGGGCAAAAACGCACTGCATGAAATCGACATTCAATCGGACCTTCTTTGCGGTTTATTCTACCTTTTTCCTCATCACCTTTTTTAACTTGGTGACCGGGGACAGGCTTCAGAATTCTACTTTCCTTGCTACCGTTTCATCTCATCAGAGCTGCTATTTACCGTAATTTCATATCGCCCTGAGCTTTCAGTCCAGCTACAGTTCTCAACGTTATCGAGCTGCCGGACGACTACTCTCACCCTCTATCCACCCATCTATCCATCTATCCATCTATCCATCTATATCATCTATCCATCTATATCATCTATATCATCTATATCATCTATATCATCTATATCATCTATATCTATATCTATATCTATATCTATATATCTATCTATATATCTATCTATATATCTATCTATATATCATGTTAGCGTTACGTCACATGGCCGGGCGCTAGTCCGTATCGGGAAGCCCTGGGTTGCAAGTTGTAGAAGAAAAGCGACTTCGACCTTGAACTGCTCGACTTCGACGATATAGAAGGCCGTCTGCTCCCCTGACGCTGCTCTTGCGGATGCTCTGCTGCGTGTATAGCTGGATGCTAAGTGCGTGGGGGGATTGCCACCAGCGCGACAACCCTGACCATTGGCTGGCCCCAGCACCACTTCCAGTGCTCAGCCTCCGTCTGCGCCTCTTCTCCATATCGGACGAGGTTACAGGTTACAGCTCGAGTCGAACCCATTCTCTCTCCCAACCGCGAGACGTCGTGCATTCACAGCTCTCGATCTTCCTGCTCTTGTTCTGTTGCGGGGTTGATGCTACGCTCCCAGCTCCCGAGGGTGATTTAGACGCCGTGAAGCCGGTAGACGGTGTCGCCAGTCGTGGGTCAGGACGACCCGTGAGCAAAGATGGGCTCCAACCTGCCAGCGTAAGTGATGGCCTTTTTGGCTCTGCCGGATGGCACCTCTCCCACTGCGTGAATCACTTGCTAACGCCGTCTACTTCTATCCAGGCAACCGAATCTTAGGGTCACCAGTAAGAGAGATAGATGCCCCGCGATACGTTTCGCCCTACTAACGCTTCCCCCTCCTTGCAGTCATTGCTGCCGATGGTTTATACAAACGCGATGTCTTCCGTACGTCTGGAACCTCAGAGCGGCCCCCTTTTTTTTCTTTACACGGAGGCTAATATGGGTATCTCTCAGGGTTCCCGGATCCCTTTGCGGTTGCAACCGTTGGCGGTGAACAGACCCATACTACGTCCGTCATAAAGAAGACCCTGAACCCATACTGGAATGAGATGTTTGACCTGTATGAAAACACCGGTTTCTCGTTCACCGAGTTATACACTAACACACGCCCAGGAAAGTCACGGAGGATAGCATACTCGCGATACAGATCTTCGACCAGAAAAAGTTCAAGAAAAAGGACCAAGGGTTCTTGGGAGTGATCAACATCCGTATTGGCGATGTTATTGACCTTGCTATTGGTGACGATGGTCCGTGATTTCCCAATCCATATGTTTGATGAAGAGACTTGCTAACCCGGCCCGGCTCTATCTAGAGATGCTTACCCGAGATCTAAAGAAGTCAAACGACAATCTTGTGGTTCATGGTAAGCTGATACTTAACCTTTCTACAAACCTCTCCACGCCCGTTCCGACGACGCAAAACGGAGCTACACGGCCGATCAACAACAGCAGCACTTCTACCTCACCTGCCCCCGCTGCTCAAATCTCGCCATCGGTTCCAACACCGCTGTCTGCCCCGCGGCCCAGCTCCACCGCTTTAGAGCCTCCGGTCAGCAGCTCTAGTTCTCATTTAACACCTTCACATCCTCCCCCAACGTCCACAGCCATGGCGCCCGTTAACGGTTCACCTCAACAACCCACGGTACCGGCTCGAGGAGGCAATATAAGCAGCTCATTTGAGGACAGCCAAGGTAGGCTGCCTACCGGCTGGGAGCGACGAGAGGATAACCTAGGCCGAACCTACTATGTGGATCACAACACCCGTACGACCACCTGGAATCGACCCTCGCAGAATTACAATGAGCAGACACAACGGACTCAAATGGAAGCCAATATGCAGATGGAACGTCGGGCCCATCGGAGTCGAATGCTTCCAGAGGATCGCACTGGCGCAAACTCGCCCGACTCGCAACAAGCTCAGACTCCGCCTACCACCGCCCCAACTGCGAGTGCCGTCTCCATGATGGCTAGTAATACCACTACTCCTGGAACTGGCGAACTTCCTCCTGGGTGGGAACAACGCTTCACTCCAGAAGGCCGCCCGTATTACGTTGATCACAATACACGAACCACGACATGGGTAGACCCACGCCAGCAACAATATATTCAGATGTATGGTCCCGAAACGGGTAGCCAGCTCACGGCGCAGACTGTCAATCACCTCGGCGCATTACCGAGTGGCTGGGAAATGCGCTTAACAAACACTGCCCGAGTATACTTTGTGGACCACAATACCAAAACTACTACATGGGACGATCCTCGGCTACCGTCATCTCTCGACCAAGGCGTGCCACAATACAAGCGTGACTTCCGACGCAAACTGATATATTTCAGGTCTCAACCTGGTCTAAGGATAATGTCAGGCCAATGCCATGTCAAAGTCCGACGTGGCGCTATATTTGAGGATTCTTTTGCCGAAATAATGAGACAAAGCCCCGCTGACCTAAAGAAACGTTTAATGATCAAATTCGACGGAGAGGATGGTTTAGATTATGGAGGCCTCTCAAGGTACGTTATCCCGATATATCCTTTTTGTTTGTAATCTGTGACGCGCTTGCTAATACCTGAGTATATAGAGAATTCTTCTTCTTACTTTCCCATGAAATGTTCAATCCGTTCTATTGTTTGTTTGAATATTCCGCTCATGATAATTATACCCTTCAGATAAATCCCCATTCCGGAATTAACCCTGAACATTTGAATTACTTCAAGTTCATCGGCCGTGTGGTTGGACTTGCGATTTTCCATCGTCGCTTCTTGGACTCATTCTTCATTGGGGCTTTCTACAAAATGATGCTAAGAAAGAAAGTAACTTTGCAAGATATGGAAGGTGTTGATGAGGATTTCCATCGAAATCTGACGTGGACCCTGTACGTGAATACCGTCAGTAATTTTATGCGCGCATTTACACTAACTTTCTTACCAGGGAGAATGATATCGAGGGTATCATTGAACTTACCTTTTCCATTGATGACGAACAATTTGGCGAGCGCAGGTCAATAGATTTGATTCCTAACGGAAGAAACATCCCGGTCACAAATGAAAATAAAAAGCAATACGTGGAGTGAGTTTATGCTTAAGTCCGTCAAACAGCCTATAGTTCTCAGGTTCTAATCAAGTTTCTCGCCTTACAGATTAGTGACTGAATGGAAGATTCAAAAGAGGGTGGAAGAGCAGTTTAATTCTTTTATTGCTGGATTCAACGAACTTATACCTGCTGACCTTGTCAACGTCTTCGATGAACGCGAGCTTGAGCTTCTCATCGGAGGTATTGCCGATATCCATATTGACGACTGGAAGAAACACACCGATTACCGTGGCTACCAGGAAGATGATGAAGTAATTCAGAACTTCTGGAAGGTCATAAGGGGCTGGGATGCGGAACAGAAATCCCGATTGTTGCAGTTCGCAACTGGAACATCGCGTATCCCTGTCAATGGTTTTAAAGACCTGCAAGGAAGCGACGGACCGAGGAGGTTCACAATTGAGAAATCAGGGGATATCAATGCGTTACCGAAATCCCATACTTGGTACGTCATTCCCTCCCAAATACAAAGGTGATCGATCCTACAGCCCACTAACCGTCAATATAGCTTCAACCGACTTGACCTTCCCCCATATAAATCGTATGAAGCTTTACAGAACAAGCTCACCATTGCTGTTGAAGAGACCCTCGGTTTCGGTCAAGAATAAACTAATTGCCCATTTCCTTGATTGCGCAAGGTCCAACTCAGGTTCAGATGTGGTCGGAGATAACTCAAGGGCCAAGAAACCTCATGTACAATTAGTATATAGGAAAGCCAATGATTTCACATTTGACCACGCTTTTTCTGTTAACCTCTTTGCCATTGTCATGCTAATTTTTTTTGGTGACCTCTCATTTTTCGCATAGTTGTTCAAATTCCGCTGGTTGGGTTGATTGACTTGCTTACGGATAGGTTCTATTGTGTCCATGAGAGGAATATATGTCCTATCCCCGTTCATCTGTGCGTGTTGACTTTATTTTTATTTATTTACAAGACTTATACAATGTTCCTCGCCCGCTTCAAACCCGTGATCAAACACCCTGAAGTTGAAGCGTTCGCTGGGGGCCTCTCCCCTAATTTATTTCACCCATGATTTTCGAAGTTAACCAAGGATTTAGATTCACAAGGGACGCCACCATTTATTATATAGTAGATAACAGTTCTACCTGCAGGCACAACGATAGATTAAACTTGATTTTTGAAGGCTAACTCGAAGGAAGTTGCACTGGATTGGTCTATCCAATTATAATTATAAGTAGCTAACCCTGAGGTTTTCGAATGTAACTATGCGAAAGGTGTTTTAAACTAGAAACTTCAACCCATCTAGACCTATCCATTTTTAATTCAAGGCTCACTTCTTCCCTTCTTCAAACACCTCCTTCAGAGCAGCAAGGGCTTTATCAATATCGTCGCGCTGGGGATCTGTCACGCTAACGCCCATGTGGCCGAATCGAATGTATTTAGAAGCGATCTCCTTGTGCAATCCACCGGCAAACACTAGGCCCTTCTGGAAGAGCTTTGGGAGGACGTCAGGTGGCGTCAAACCCTCTGGCAAACGAATGGCCGTCATGGCATTTGCTTGGTTCTCCTCCTTGGTTGCCAGCTGCTCGAGGCCCAGATCAGACACGGCCTTCTTCACCCGCTGAGATGCGGCTCGGTGCACCGCGAAACGGTCTGCAAGGGGCTTGGAGGTGATCTGGGTGAGTGAGGTATGCAGTGCGCGGACCAGTTGAGTGGCAGGGGTAGCAAAGTATGATGGCTTTCCTGCTTCGTAGTTTTGCATGATGGGCAGCCAGTTCTGGATCGAAGCGTAATAACTTGCTGGCGGGGAAGATCTGTTCTTTGTTCGGTCCATGGCACGGCCGGAGAGCATCAGGATGCTCAACCCAGGTGGGCAGCCGATGGCCTTCTGGCCAGCTGTGAGGACTACGTCAAGATCCCATTCGTCAAAGGCAATCTCCTCGCAGCCCACAGAGCAAACACCGTCGACGACTACCAGTGTGTTGGGGCTGACCTTTCGGACAACTTCCGTGACAGCCTTGATGTCGCTCAATACACCGGTCGAGGTGTCAACATGCGTAACGGTCAGGACCTTGTAGTCACGCTCCTGTAGAGCCTTTGCTATCTCCTCAAGAGACGGCCTCTCACCAATTGGGGCCTTCAACTGGGTTGCGTTCACGCCGTAAGTTTGTAGGCACGCGGCGAGGGAGTCACCAAAGTAGCCGGTATGGAGCACCAGGGCATTCTCACCACGCTCGACCAGGTTCGACGCAACAAAGTCCCAGCCAAGGGTTCCGGAGCCAGAGATCACAAATGGCTGTGAGGTCGACGCTTTGGTTTGGAACAACTGTCGAAGCAGGGTCAACGTTTCACCAAATATCTTCACAAACGCCGGGCCAACGTGGCTCTCGCTGCAGCAGCAGATATCAGCACCATGCCAGACAAGAGGACGGGACACAAACGACTCACGCATAGGTCGACATGGACTGCAGCACAGCATCGTCGAATTCAACTGGCCCTGGGATGAGGACGGTGGGATGGGGGGCTTGAGCCGACATGGTTGCAGCTGGATCTCTTGGTCTGTTCAAGAGCGAGCCTGGGTACGTTCGCTGGATGGGTTTATATTCAACGTCGTCTGGTTCGACTGAAATGCTCCTCTCGGTCGAGAATGGCGTGTTGAGTGCAGGCAGCGGGAGCTTCTGGTCGAAATGCCTGGAGATCAAGCTCAACCGCGGCTTTGCCTGTGAGGACGCCAGGACTCCGCTCGCCGCGGGGTACAGCCGAGTGGCGCGGAATGCAGCCAGCGTGGACAGCGAGGTGTATCCTGGCACTGCTTTGATGCTGTATATGTAGATACGACGGGGATATCTAGCTGGACGGCGAGGATGTTCGTCGTTGTTGACGAGATGGAGATGTTTTCTCCTTTGGGACGTGCCTCGGGAGTGTATAGTTAATCCGATCTGCCATCATCTACCATCTACCACTTCATCGCTACTATCTATCATCTACTATATTCATAATAATGCCGGACTAGCAGACATGGCGTCTCTGTCTCCCTGGGAGGTCTCGCTGTCGGCTCTGTCTGAACTGCTGTCCAGCTACGACACCACCCTGGCGCGTGTATACCGCAACAAGTTGACCGCGAAGACTAGAAAAACGGCGCCCAAGACGAAGCCTACAGGCAAGTCGATAGCCCAGGAGAACGAAATTGAAAACAAGTTGAAACTGTTCGTGGAGCTGGATGGCTGGCGGTATACAACTCTCCCTGTGATTCTGCGCGAACGAGCAGCCGACAACGAGGACAAGAAGAAGAAAGGAGGGTCACATTCTTCCAATGGCTACATTATCAAAGACGAGTTGGTCCGTTTGATGGACTGGAAGCTGTATGTTTCTTCTCGTCCTCGCTCTCTTTCAGGGTGGTTCTTAATTTTTTATAAACCCAACAGGAAACATGGCTCGTTTCGGCCTGCACTTATGGGCTTGATACGCTCAAATCAAGAGTCGCAGGTAGAGTCGGCCAGCAAGGACGCGTTCTCAAAGCTGGCGGAAGACTCTGCAACCGGAAAATTCCCCGAATCGAGCATGCAGCTGCTGTGCAAAAGCTTCCGTGGCGTTGGTCCTGCAACGGCGTCCCTGGTCCTCTCACTTGCACCACATAGTGACACCTACGAAACTCCGTTTTTCAGCGATGAGCTTTATTACTGGCTCTGCTTGGATTTGTATTCGTCCCCAAAACCAAAGCAGAAACAAATTCTCCCGAAGCTTAAATATAACATAAAGGAGTATACGGAGCTATGGGACGCATTCTCAAGGCTACGTCAGCGCATTGAGCGGCTGTCTGGAGAAGAGAAGGCCAGCAATGCTAGAATTGCCTTTTCGACGCAGGATATCGAGAAGATTGCATTTGTGGTAGGCCACCCTGAGGCAACCGGCCCCGACAGAGATGACTCTAAAGTACCGTCAAAACCGGACGACCAGGGGGATGCGCCCTCAACGCCATCATTGCCAACAGATGCAGACCCGGAGACGACGGCCGAGAAAGATCAAGGCAGGCGTACTCGGAAACGAAAAAGACAGGGCCCGTAGGTGTACATATCACTGTTGAGCTACCTAATTGGATATATAAGATTATTGCGTTGAGCCATTAAAAAGGGACCTCTGGCAGTAGATTTATATGCTCTATAATTCATTGGAAGCCAAGAAACGAGAAGGTAATAATAATTAGTGGATCTAGTGATATTACAACTGTACAATTCTGCCTGGTATTTATATGTTTCCAGTAGAACAAAGAACATAGCTCAAAGCAAGGGGTAAGATACAAAGTAGTAAAGAATCAGGGGAAGAGGAGCGCCGTGCCCAATGCCACTCACCACAGGAGTCTTTCTATCAAAGAAATGAGGAAAGGCAAGAACGAAAAGTAGAAACATATAGGTACCAAGGCATTGCCCAACTATGCTATTGGAATGCTAGTCCCGTTAGCTTTGAATAGGGGACTGTTCATACAACAGAAGCCAGCTAACTTCCCGCCTCGCCTCGTCGAAGTGCCAGCAGTGCCCGAACGTCCGTTACGTGCTGCATCGCCTCCAGGATAGGGATGAGGTGGAGAAGATCGTTATCGGTAGGGTCATTGATCCAGCCTTCAATAGGAATTGCATTATCTGTTATGGTCAAGCTAGGTTAGCTAATAGCACATTGGAAATATGAAAGATTCAAGAACCATATGTCTAGAAACGGCGGGGGGTTATAGGAGTAATATCGAGCGTGCGAGATAGTACCTTCGTGAAATATATAGCTCATTGGACTATTATCCAAAATCATGACTTTACTTAGATCTGGCTCGACCGAGCTAAGATCCTTGATATAGGCACCGTTCCTTATAGTGCAATGCTGGCGATAGTATCTACTGTGGAAATATTTGCGCTCCTGCTCTAGCCAGTCAATGACTGGATCAGCATATTCTTGAACACTGGCAGTGAAAACCACTAGTTTATACCATTGACAGACTTTGCGTAGGAAAGCGTCACAGTGAGGGCGTTTGTGAACATAGTATAGAATAGGATGCTGCGGGCCAAGTATGGTAGGCGACGCTCCGGGCCCGGCTGAAGTGGCCATTGGTACGGAGAGCTTAACCTCGACCATATGTCCGCTCGACATGCGCCCGCCCTTTGACAGAGAGTGGATTAGGGTTTCGTCAAGATCGAGGATCAGGGTCTTTTGAGGAGACCGAGACGGGGGAGCACCGAATAGATAAGATGGCTGGCGGCGGGGGATTAACGGTCTAGGAGGAGTAGGCGCATGGGGGTATCTTGTGAGTTTCCGGACAGCGGGAGACACGGGCGATTTCAGGCTATCGGCCACAGGGCTGCTATCCATATCATTGCGACGGGAGGATTTGGACCTTGTCTGTTGCCTTTGCTCGCGGTTCTGCTTACTTTCATTCTGTATCTTAATCCTAATAGAGCGCCTAGGCGTTCCTTCGTCGTTATCCGTCGTGGCCAAACTAGACTTCCTTCTTGAATGGCGGTTGCGCACATCAGGTTCACCCGAAAGGGACCGATCAGTCTCGGACTCTGACGTATTTGAGTAGATGGACTCAGATGACAGCGAGTTCTGCATTTTTTGAGGACCCCTATAGCGGGTTTTCGAACCCTTGTCCAACCCACGAGAATTTCTCCCCTGGTCTGTATTCGGAGAGTTATTCTTCCTACCAGCTTGACGCAACGACCGTAGTGGTTCTAGAATCGAAAATTGGCCGTCACTGCCGCGAAATCGGCGGCTCACATAAACAGCAGGAGAGGAGAAGATGGATAGTATAGTCTTTAGCGTTTCGATAAGGGCGTCGAAGAATTGTTGTGTAATAGGGAGTATCATCCCAGCCGAGCCCGACCTCTGCAGCTCCTGCGCGAGGGCAGGTTTCTGGTCAGCGTCTTCCGTCAAGCGGGAAAAGGCATCTTGCTCCTCGTCTTCGTCGAGTGCGCCGTCAAGCTGCTTTGTCTGGTTTATATTCCCTTCGCTGTAGGATCGGCTGGCCGCCAGGTCACCTCTGGGGTTCGCGATGCCGTCCTGCGAACGAGAGCGGGCTCGCGGCGAATTGTTCGCAGTGGCCTGGCCGATGACTCTCGAAGAAAGGATATTCAAAGAGTTCATCTTCCGGCCTCAGCCATGCGATATTAGGAACGGCAAAGAGTGGTAGTTTTTGCGCAGACTTTGGAGGAGCGGGCGAGCAGGGTCAGGTCAGCGCAGAAGGGCCTCCGGGACGGGCAACGCAAGAGTCAAGCTGTGCAGCTGGCTGATATACAAGCTGGAGGCTGTTTACCGTCGTCAGTCCAGGGCGCCAGTCGGCGGCGGCGCAGGGCGAGGGAGGATGGCCGGTCGTGAGGGATTGGGGAGAGGAGAGGGGCTTCTCTTGCTTGGGGTTGAGGTCAACAAGAAAGTCGGCGTTCCGATCCTCGCGCTAGCTTCAACGGCGCCATCCTTGCCAATAGATGCTATACAAAGATGTAGATGTGATGTAGATGTGATGTAGATGCGATGTAGATACAGATGTAGGTGTAGATACAGATGTGATGTAGTGTCTATGCGGGTCTCGATATAATAACAGTTGTATTGCTGGACATGTATAGAGCTATTATTACAGCATGCCTCCAGACAAGCACCATAGAGTGCTGCATAAGGCACCCGCGGTGGCTAGGTAAACCGTAACAGATGCATTTCAAGCGTAGTATCCATGAAATCGCCTGCATGACGTTGGTCTGATACAGTTGCCGCCGGTGTGAGAGGCGCACCGGGTCGTCAGGTCATTGATATCGTTAAAGTCGTGAAGCTGTTGCAATGCTGCCAACATAGAGACCCTCCAACAATATCTCCTGGACCAGCAGCAGCAGATACAAACCTGGCCTGGCTAGAGATGTACGCCCTCCTCAGGTCCGTCGTCCTGCCCCTCGAAACGACCAGGGCTGCCCATCACGCCGTTGGATCCTTCGTTGGCTTGCGAGCTCGCTGGAGGACCATCATGCGAGAGGCCCTGACCGTCCGCAGAGGAGCGTTCACGTCCAGCCGTTTCAGCCTCTTCGTCCTCGAGATTACTCGCAGGCTCCGGCCACTTCTCGCCTCTCCTTTCCAGCTCCAGCTTCACGAGGCGAACCCTCTCGCGCATGCGCCCGATCACGACTTCATTCTCAGCCACAGCCTCTTCACATTCTGTCTCTCCGTCAGGCGATTCTTGGATAAACCTCCGTAGCTCGAGGTTGGAGCGCTCCAGGTGTGCGGTCGAGTTCTCTACCTCTGCGATCTTAGCAAAGACTGATGAGAGCGGGAGGTCTTGTAGGGCCTCTGCAAAGGCTGCAGGATCGATCGGCCGCGACTCAGCAGACATCTTTGATTCTTCTCTTCTTCTCTTCTCTTTTTCTTCTTCTTCTCTCGTTTACATCTTCTCTTGTTGTTTTTATTCACGAAACGCGGTTGGTCTTATCGGTCATGTGATCTAATCTGATAAGAAACGGCCTTTTTGTCCAAAAAGACGAAGATATAAAGATACAAAGATACAAATACAAAGATCAAGCGGTTGTCGAGTTTCAGGCGCAAGGAGCAGGAGTCTTGGTGCACCGTAGCTCTGTTCTTACTACCGAGGGTCTACGTTGGCCTCCTCAATTGAAAGCGAAGCCGCCAGTATCTAGCCTCGGAGAAACGTCTCTCGCATAACTAGGTATTCATTCGACCGCCAGGAGATGAGCAATGCTACCACGATAGCATGGCGAGCTCCATGTCGCTGGATTCATACGCCTTCTCGACCTTCTGCCCTCCAGTCGTCGCCTCTAGCTCAGCTGCGCCTCATATACCCTTCGTCAACACAGCCATTGCAAGCCATACGATGTGCATCTACGAAGTCGTCGAGTTCAAGGACTGGCAGTCAACGGGCATATCCTCCGGCACAGGTCCATCGCACGCATTCTCGCTCCTTTCATAATTCGCACACCTCGCCCAGTCGTCGCTCGCCACAGAGCGGTCCCAAAAGTCGAGAACATGGAGCTGTGTTCCTAGAGCGTGATCTGCCAGCTCCTCAGATCGCCCAGATATTCGGCACGGCCACCATTTCCGCAAAGCAAGGAAACCGAATTCTTCGAGCTATTCAGGAGCAACGAGTATCAGGGATCATTGATCTCCCATTGCCTGCTGATATCGCCCGAGCCGCACCTCCACATATTATCAATGGAGGCCTTTCATGGCTGCGGAGCGCCCACCCCATGGATGAGGAAGCAGCTATTCTGGCAAGAATTGAAAGAGAGGAACAAGAAGAAGAAGATAGGTTGATACGGCGTGCAGAGGAGCTTGGTATCTACAAACCACAAAGTGGGAGGTTCGGTGCCACAACCGTCAAAGAGGGAGATGTGTACGGAAGTAGTATACTTGAAGAAGTCAGGAAAGAAAATATGAAAACTAGCAAGCAAACTGAGGAGAAAAAGAGACAGGAGTGGCTTGACGGTGAAGCTAAACGGACTGAAGAGCTTCAAGCACAGGCGAGAAAGTTCAAAGACATACAAAAGTTTGAGCCGCAAGAGCTTACAGAGGGTGAGTACCGCTTGTTTTCTATTCTCTTTTCCTATCCTACAGAACCTCTACCTGATCTGCTATACCTGTTGTGTATCGCATTAACTGGCTTCTGTAGCTCGTCCGCGCGCAGACCCTACCGTACGCCCAGCCCTAGCCTGGATTCAACAACAGCACTTGAGAGCAACTGCAACTGATGGTGATGCGTCGAAACTTACAACGGTTAGTACCTTAGATTTTATGCGTATTCACTCTACCATTTTGATGGTTCCACAGAGCTGACTCGTTGCTTAGGCACGGCGCATCCTCCCATCGCTTGGTGTCGTTGCCTTAACCCTTGGGCTATGTTATCTATATTCAGAAACATATGAGGAGCCTAAACGTGAACAAAGATTATGGTCAGATATTCGACCTGCTGCAGCAACTGTGGTAACTTTGGTAGGCTTGAATGTAGGAGTATTCGTGCTTTGGAAGTTCGTTCCTCCTGCATGGCGACTCCTCAACAGGTACTTTGTCAGTGTCCCCTGCTATCCACACGCTGCTAGTGTGGTTGGTAGCGTATTCAGTCATCAACAGTTCCGCCATCTCGGCTCAAATATGCTGGTACTATGGTTTATTGGGATGAGATGTAAGGCTTCCCTACTTTGGTCCTTCTGGGGCCCTCTTCTCCTACCCAAATAACTACCTTGCTAACAACTTCTAGTGCACGAGGAAATTGGCCGAGGCGATTTTGTAGCGGCCTATCTTTCCACTGGTGCCTTTGCAACATTCGCGTCCTTTGCTGTCCGTGTTCTATCAAACAACTTGAGCGTTTCGTCACTCGGAGCAAGTGGAGCAATTTCTGGCATAGTTGCAATGTGGTGTATAATTCATTCAAAGTAAGTAAAACCAATTCCCTTGTTTGCCTCTAGGGTTGTACTCCAGCTTCAGCCGTAGCTACCATTCAATCTAACGTCTGCCTTCAGTGATAAACTCACAATTGCCCTGTTGCCGAGCGATTGGCAGGATAAGATATCGGCCTCGGGCTCTACATTCTTGTGCGCAATAATTCTTGTGGAGCTACTAAATTTTGTACCGGCGTTCCGCATGTTTGCAGTTGACTTATGGTCTCATCTAGGCGGATACGCGGCTGGTATAGTTCTCGGTTTGCTGTGGAAGGACAAGAAAGAGCGTGAGCGGAGAAATAACCCTCCTCCTACCTGGCTGAAATCATTTGGATCCTGAATGAATATGTATTTAACTCCTGTATTTGTATAAGTTTTTTTTTCACTCAATATGGTTGTTAATATATAACCAACCCGGCCCCGTGATACTATAAACAGCTTACTGGAAATTTCTCTTAATAGGCTTGCATAGCTAAGATATCTAATAAACCGATTTAGAACGTGATTGACATGTATATATGAAATAGGATAGAACTAGGCGTGATGTAAATAGGATAGCAGCATGAAACAATATCAATAATTAGCTCAGCCGGCTCATAGCTAAAGCTACGAGCTGATGCCCGGGAGAGGAATAACTGGATAAAAGAATACAACCACTGTTTAACAGCCAGAGCTTAGGGGAATAAACATAACGCGTTACAAATAGGATGGGGCATTACTTTGAGAAAGAGATAGAAGAAGAGGGCTACCGATTTCGAAAGCTCGGTAAACTAGGCATCATCCCTTAGCAGCGGAATGGTTTACCACATGGGTGGGAATTTCTCATACGAAATCACTCAGCACGGGCGGGGGCAATCAGAGGTGGAACTATAGAAGATAAAATGAGTTGAGTTAGCGGCTAGAAGGTCAAACGTGGTGGCGATGAGGAGTAATATAGCAAAGCACGTAGTGCCGTGTAAGCTGGGAGGATCGAAACATACCACTGAATCCATATCCCTCTGTCTTCCCTTCAATATCGGCAGGGTCGATTTCAACGCGAATGGCTATATCTAGCCCGCCGGCCTTGCCCGTCACATTGCTCACGCCATCAGAAGAGCGGTACTTCGTTCCAGCATCTTGTTCTCCTGGATGTAGGGGATCGTGCCCGTCCTTTGGCGCCTTGGATAACTCGGCTTGTTCACCTGAAGCCACGGGGTTATTCGCCGGGGCAGTGACTTCAGTGATGCAGGCATAATTACGAGACGGCATCGTCACCTTATTGGACGCAGAGGACTTATCCTTTCCGCCCGGCTGCTCGTTGAAGATCTTCATGAGAGTTTCATCAGTATGGCGGTCGAGGTGGTGGATTTTGTTCCTGCTGGCAAGGAGATTGGCAACGGCCTTTGGCGGAGGCTTGTTGGTGATGGCACTGCTGATAATGTTGATCATATATTTTGGGTCATTATCAATTGGGACCTGGTCCTTGACTCTAGAGTAGAATCGACCAACGGCTGCCAGGTGGACATCACCGCCGAGGATGGTAACACGGACAGAAAAGCGGCTGGATAGCTGCTGTAAGCGCTGGATCAGATTTCTTCTCTCAGATTTATGCTGTCGCGCAGTGTAGTGGTCATCCAGGTCATCGAGAAGATCCACCTGGCCATCGAATTTGTTGAAGAAACTGCCGCCCCAGCCAAATCGTTTGTTTAACAAGCGGATGGGAGTGATAAGCGGGGAGGAGAGGATGTTCTCCAACCAAGCAAGGCGAGGATAGGCAATCGGGACACCAAGTAGGAGAATCAAATGCTTTATTTCTCCATTCGCGGCGGCGAACTCTCGTTTGAGGCGGGCAAAAATGGCATCGTAGGTCTCCGGGTAGTTGACCTGGTGGCGAGTTCGCTCGGTGCGTGCATCAATTCCTGCAAACGCAATGCGCTTTCCGAGTCGCATGTAGAGATTTCTACTTGTTTCCTCGACATATGGACCCGGCTTGGAACCGACTATCCAGCTTGGTTCATCCTGGGTCTCCTTGTAAACGTAGCTGTTTTCAAGCTGGCGTTGGTCAGGCCCAGCAGTGCCACCGGAAGCCTGCATTGTCTGGGGAGCGTCTGTCGTGAAGGTCGACACTGGAGGGGCGTTGTGGTGCTGGAATAGGCAGTAATACTTGAAGGCCACGCCTCCAAGACCGCGGAAGACAGCACATCTCATGAAATGATCCGTGTAGGAGCCGAATCCGTCAATGATATCATGATCATCCCAGATATTGATCTGGGGGATCTGGGCGTTGGCGGTTGCAAACGGCTCTGTCCCGTACCACTTTACGTAGTTCTTGAAGTAGAATGCATCGCACTCCTCCCTCAGGCTGTTTGGAAACGGATGCGCCCGTCTCCTGTGAGGGTTCGAGATATCAGTCCACTCCTTGAGCGGGCCCTCTGTACGGACGGAATCGTTATATATCTGATCACCGCCTCCGATCATCACATGGAAGGGTCTTTGCGCGTGAAGTCGAAGGACGTCGTGCCATAGGAGAGGGCCCTGCCAATGGCCGAGATCCGTGCCGACGGAGAAGCCATTGCAGGAGTGGAACATGATGCGCATCGATTCCTCCACGGAGGGCACGATGAAGTTCCATGAGGTCATCGTATGCTTCTCATCGACATGCCGGAAGCCTGGAATGGTATACTGCCATCGAGCTTCGTAGCTCTCCATGGGAACAGTAAGACGGAAGCGCCAGAAGGCCGAAGTAGGGTTGGCAAACAACTTGACGCCGTCGACCGTCGGCTGGACACCGCCAGCACCATCGATCGGGCCCTGGACGTTCGAGACTGGGCCGAGACATTGCAATTGCAACACGGGTGGCTGCTCGCACGGCTTTGTAACTATGAGGACACTTCCGTTCCAGGACTGACGGGAGTTTCCATCGGCGCCCATATGCTTGTAGTTCAGCAGCGGGCCACAGAGGACCTCCAGGTTGCCAGGCTCCTGCACAGCGACATTCCCGCCAGCGATGTTTCCATCGCCGGGTTCAGTACCATCAGGGCGCATGTGGCTAGCTAGACATCACCGTTACTCCTGTCAGTACAGAGCTCATTGACGCGACAGAGGGGAGGGAGAGCGCACTTGGGTCGATGGGCTGCGGAGCGATATTTGTTGTGGCTGGGTGCTGAGACGCGGCCAATTGAGTGGCTTCCATTACGAATCAAGTCGCGCTCCTCGAATCTACAGCCTCTGGAGGACAAAGACGGTTGCGATAGAGCGGCTGTGAGGATTGCGCCAGGCCGAGAGAGCTTTCGAGAGCTTCCTGGAGGGCAGGTCAACAAAGCAGGCTACGGGCGAGCTAAGTACGAGGACGCGAAACTGAGGCTGAAAGTGGCGAGGGAGCGCGCACAGTTAGCTGCAAGCAGGTATTCGGTACAGAGTACGGAGTACAGGGTACTTTCGAGCTGTTGCAGAAAAAGAAAGGTGAAGGCGCTGTGATGCGATCGGAGGTTGGACAGACGGCGGATGGAGAGGATGTTCGATGGAGCTTGAAGGTCGAACCACAGTTGGTGGAGCCCCTGATATACCAGGTTTTGCTCCCTGCCATACTCCGTGCTCTACTCCCAGCAATTACTCAACGATAGATATCTACGGATAGACGATGGACAGACAGGCTCAGTAGCCGTGATTCATGGTGTATTCATGGTGTATTCATGATGTATTCATGATGTATTCATGTGGTATAATGTATTCATAATGGTAGTGCATAGGATATCGGTAAAGCAGCAAAGGGAATGAAGGATCCTTGCAGCAAGGGTTCGCGCTCCCTGGATCCCTGTGGACGGACAGTTTGCCAATATCATTCGACAGGCGAGAGCAACAGCTTGGGTTCAAGCCACAGCGCATGATCCACACCTCGTATTGCGAGTCTGCGCCGCGGGAGACGGGATGCTGCATAAGCCGGGGCGCATCTGTATCTGGACACATCGCCATCTCGTCATTCATCACAGAGGGTTGAGGTCGGTTGCTCGTTTCATCGTGTAATTACTCCGTTAGATCAGTCCACCCACACCAGGACCCCCTTTCCATCCGTTTTCATGCCCTCCGTTGGCAGCACATGGAGCGTTTTGTTGTAGTACGAATCCACCACGACCAGCTGCGGCTGTATCCACGTCCCTCTCCGAGTCGCCAGGAGACTGTACTGCACCGTGTGCCGGCTTAGAGGAACCAGCTGCACGGCGAGTGACTTGGGCCCGCTGAACGCGAACTGGTCGCTGGCCTCCATGGTCAGACTAAACGTCAGGAAGTGCATTGACGGGTTTTCCAGCGTGTAATTTATCTGAATCAGCCCAGGAAGGCTGGTCGGCGCCGCTGGAGATGCGAGCGCGCGTGGTTCGCTCATCGGAATGACGAAGCGCGGGATAGCCAGGGACGTTGTCGCTTCCCCTGGAGGAAGAGACACATCTGGCGGCGTTGACTCGGGTGTATCCGTTATGGAAACGCCGTGCTGGTTCCCCCGACGCCATCTAATATCCAGCGTGAAAGTTAGGGCCGTTGACTGGCGATCGTCTACCGCAGGCCGTTCTACGTCGACAACGAAGTCCGAGTTCTGGGGTTCTTCTGGCCGGATGCTTCTCCGCTTAGGCTTGTTGCTTTGCTCTGCGGTGATGGCACAAACCTTCCCTGCTACCGTGCTCACCACCCTCAGCGTGACATCCTCTATGACAAGAGGCTCCTGTGCAAAGGACATCAACTTCGAATGGACTAGCCACCGTTGTTGCATGTTAGTCCGCGGGCCCGCTCCCTCGTCGGAACTTGTCGTATCATCGAAATGGAAGAAATCCGGCCACGGGGTCGGATGTAATCGGGGAAGGAATTCGTAACTTGCTTCAAATGGCTGGATAAATGGCAAGTCTAGCGATATTGTCTTGGATATTGGAGTTTCCGGGTCGGAGTTGAGATGATAAAACGCGCTGATTTCTAAATCATATTTTATCGGATGGGGTGTCTCGATAACGACTGCTGGCAGGATGGTATGTTCGGCTGGCCCTAGTTTGGCAACGTTGCGCCTAATAGTTTGGGTTGTGATGACTGGTATACCAGGAGTCGCTCCCGCTGATTCCGACATATCTTCAGTGTGATCCAGGCAATCGACGTCGTCCAGCCAACTGATTGTGGCAGGAGATTCAGAACGGCTACTAAGCTTCACTTCGATGACGATTGTCGCTGTTTCATCCTCATTATTGTCCAGCCTGACATTTAACCCGGCTTTCTCACCCAAATAGTACATATCGCGTAGGCCAGGAACCGAAATCAGTACTTTTGGTGGTTTGGGTAGAATCTGGCAGGCCAAGGGGTCCCTTTCTTTTCCAATTCTCCTCGCAACGACACCATTTTTCCCCTTCGCCCACCACCGAGGTTGCTGGCGGGAATGGTCGACGGTAGTGTAGGAGAGGTCAAATTTATCATCTTTCACTACCAAAGTAATTGATGCGACCCGAACATGGCCTGCCTCGCGTGGGGTCAAAGTTAGGGTGACCGCGCTCCTCTGCCCAGGGGAGAGTGCCAGATTTGCAGTCCCTCTCATCTCCGGGTAGGCTGTTGCTGAAGCTTGGCCGCCGGAGGGGATTGATACCGCATCGCCCAATATTATAGATGATAGCGTATGGGAACATTCAGATGCTGGTGTCGCGTCGGCATCAGCAAGTATTCTAATTGGAGATAAACCACCCTCGAAGGTGATTTTCACCTCGCTGAGGTATATCGGCGCCGAACTTTTGTTGCTATCTGATTGGAGCACAAGTTGGCCTTGAAGGGGCTCCCCAACGTTTCCTCGTGAGGAAATGAATAGGAAAGAACTCGAAACTGAGGTGAACTGGTAAGCCAAAAGCCAGCAACAAAGTGGATAGATAACAGCTCACTTACTGCAAGAGGTAACCTCTTCATCCCTCAAAACTATAGTAGGCCTTGCGTCCTGAGCCAAAACGTCATATTTTTGATGTATATCATATTTCCAGTCAGGTCGGTTAGTAAAACCTATAGCTGCGTTAGTAATTTTAACGAATAACCGTTGATAAATATAAATATCACTTACTCTTATTCATTAATTCCCAGTCTATACGGTAAATAGTCTCAACGTCGCTGCAGCGCACTGCGCATTCGCGTAGTAACCATCCACATTCTTCCATCAAACTCCACCACCCTTCCTCCCTCCAAGAAAGTAGAAGCCATAGTGGGCGTAGGACCTGGATGGCATCAGTCCAAGATTCGAGACGGACATACTCTTTCGCCATGTCGAATTTCTGCTTTTCAACAGCACGGAACTGGCCTCTCTTGGCGAATTCTGCTACCGACCCTTCAAGATACCCCAAAATTTGTTTCGAGTACTTAGCTCCCGGTTGGTCAACAATGGGGTACTCGTTATGAGGCTCAGGGGCCTGGTATGTATCATAGACATTCGACCAGGCTTTCCGTTGTGATCCTGAAGGCTGGTCTGGGGGTAAACGATCCTCCTGCGGTATTTTCTCAGCGAGGAGTCTTCGACGTGCAGTATGCTTGGCCGCGCGACTTAACCAGTAACCACGATGGTGGAGGAAATCCCATGGAGACACCCGTTCTCCTGATACCACTGCCTTTTCAGACATAACGTAGATCGATTCACCTGTATGTTCAGCCGCATCCAGAGGGTTCCCGTGTCCTGTAAACATGGAAAGATGGGCGCGATCTAGCAACTCTGCCATCACTAGAGACCAATTCACTTCCCACGCTTCCCATCCGTAATTACTAGTTCCTTTCCCTTGGCGGTTGACAACATCCTGAATTCGTCTTCTATGCGCGTTCCAGAATTGGACAGCAGATGTTGTCTGTTCCACCCACAAGTAGCACCGGAGGATTCGCATAGCAAGTACGTCCGCAAGCATGCGCGCATCATTGAACTTTGGACTCCATCCAGCAATTGATCCAAACACTTCCTCCCCGAAGAGTAGATCATATGCGCTCTCATAATTACGGCCGGCCGCGTCCATCTCCTGGCGAAACTCTGCAAAAACACCCAGTTTAAATTCATAGCGAACATTCCATCCCTGAAGCGATAGAGTCTGGGACGTCCCGCTTGTCGGCGGCGATGTTGGTGGGGGGATACTACTCCGATTTCGTTTCCGTCGAGTGTGCTTTGAGAGGTCTCTGTAATATTCGACGGCTGGGCCCTGTAAGGCGGAGATTAAAGATTTTACGAATCTCTGGATATCAACTGGGTTGGGGTTCGGTTGAAGAGTAAAAACGTTCCTGGGATCCAAACCAGTGGCCTTTCTAATACTTGAAATGCGGTAATTGGCATCATCTCGAAGCGGGCCGTCTTCAAACAAAAAGACGACAACAAATCGGGTCTTATACTCTGATTGAGCCCAGTCCCTTTTTAGACTATTGATCTCTATCTTCAGCTGGTTGTCTTTGAGGGATGCCATGTTTGTGTCAGTGGTGAGAGGGAAGAAGTTGATGAACGCTGCAGGAACGAGGGATCGGTGTTTAGTGATCCATTCCGGCGTGATGATGCCATCTGGAAAGACCTCAGACCCCGGAGTCAGGGGAGAGAGCGGCGAATGTAGCACGAGAGGAGCGCCCAATCCCTTCCCAGAGCCCAGTGTGGTGTCCGCGGCAGTAGGTATCGACGGTCTGGCAGCCTTTTGCGGGGGGAGCGTGTACGTCTAGCAAGACCGGTTAGCTGTAGTATGAAGATATGGGAGTATAGCGACCTACCCTCCCAGCTCTCCGAATCCTAAATCCCACCCCGTTGGACCTGTGGCTGAAATATCTCGAGTTCCATGGCCAGTCCGAGGCATCCTCCGCGAGCAACGCACTCAGCAATCCGTCCGCAGTGGCACCAGTAATGAGCGGGAAATCCGAAAATATGCGAGCTCCGCCGTCTGTAGAGCCCGTCGCCTCTGGATCTGCGAGCAACGGCAGCCGATCTTGCGAGCTCTGGTCTGGGCTGAGGCCTGATAGTATAACAAGCGGGAGGTTGTGGTCAACGTAGCTCGCGGGAAACGCATCCATGGCGCTCGGCCGGGCTCAGGAGCCAGGTTATCTCAGTGATGATTCGCTTTCGTCTCTCGTCCCTGAAGGCCCCTCCGTCTAATTAAGCCGTAAACTCCGTATAGTGGGAAGCTCTATATCATGTCGCTACCTCTCGAGATCGAGCAGCATATTGTCCTCCCTTTTTTTTTTGGTCAAATCAAAGGCCCTGGCGCAGTGATTGGACGCATGCTAGCATAACCCCTGGCACGCTGAAACGCTGGACCTCCCGGAAGCTGCTCCGAAATGCAGATGTTCAAGCCATCCAGAGCTGTGTCCGTCTTGCTTCTTCTTCATCCCTGACGCGCTATCGAAACCTTTCCCCAAAGTAGGTCACGTGCTCGAGCTCGAGGACGAACTTCGACCTCCTACACCCTTGCCTATATACTCTTTATATCTCTGCTCTCTGCTCTCTATTCTTTGCCCTTTGTTTTTCCAGCTAGAGTACCTGGCGCCCGGTTGAAGGCCGCCAGTAGAGGGCAGACGGAGGCAGCGGAGCGCAAGTTTTTACCAGTAACGAGACCCCAACTATGACCTCCCGAACTACGAGGACGACCTGAACCCGCTCTCCCGATTGCCTGCCTCCTTTCCTCCCGTCCGATGTCCCCGACGATAGTACAGCAATAATGACAGAGCAGAACGTCATATTACATCGAGTGCTAGACATCCCACGCCATAGGCACGCTTCAATCTGATATTTCGTCGAGTTTTTAACTCCCCTGCCGAGGGCAACGCGCGCGATGGACGCTTCCAGCGACATACGCTCCTCCCGCCTCAACAATGCCACTCCGCCTGAGATATCCCAGAGACGCCAGTCGTTGCCGGCTGGCTCTGCGCCTGTGCCAGCCAGGCAGCCCGTGGCTCGCGGGCACATCGCCCCGGCTTCTCCCGAAGTCATCTCCTCGCTCATCTCGTCCCTCTCCACCATCTCTACTCCGGCTCGAACCCATTTCGAAAGCCTACCCAGGATAGGCTCCCAGACAGCGCCACCCTCGCCGACCTCTGCGCACGACGCCCTTTTCGACGAGGATGCTTCTGGTCTGGATTATGGCTCGTTCAAGGCCGCCGCTGCTGCTGAAAACGAGGCCCCCTTTCTGCACCCCTATGATGCAGCGATGTCGCCAGTGATCAGAATGTCAAAACCACCGTCCTCATTACGGTCTCCGCGCTCCTCTGTGTCATATCACTCATGCCGAAATACCGCAGATGATACCGCTTCCTTACGGCCACCATCTCGCGCCTCGCATGGCTCGTCAACAACCATCCAGGAGGACTCTACGACTTTCGGAGTCGTCCGTCTGGAGCCTGGTTCTGGAATGTCTACCACCAGTCTTGTCTCGTCAGGTAGCAGGAAAAGTCTGAAAAATCAGCTCGGTCTCCTCCGGCGGTCATCGCGAGATTCTACAAATGCAAGGGGCAAGGATACCGAGCGCCCAGGCGCAGAGGATGGGCTTTCGGTGGCCAATTCGCGCAGCAGGTTTAGCTTGCGGTCCGTTCGTTCAATGGCAGATCTTGCAGAGGAAGGAAATGGCACCCTGTCGCACAACAACAACAGCAGCAGCTCCCAGAATATGGCAGGCGGTTTTCAAGACTTTAGACGGGAATCTGCTCCCAATCTGAAAGAAACACAAGCGGCCCCTGAACCTTCAACTTTAGCTCCAGGTGGTATCGGAAGTGGCAGAAGTATACCCACTCGAGAATCGTCACTGCGGCACAGCTACAATGGAACATCGACGAAGAAGCGTCGCTCTGCTAGGTACAGTGGATATTCTTACAAGGATGTCACGGTTGATAAAGAGATTGCAGAAGTCAATGCAGAGGCGGATCAAGTAACACAGCGCATTAAGGAGATCAAGGATCACCAGAAAAAAGTCAAAGATAGAATGGTGCTCGATGATCGGCTCCCATCGTCTCCATCAGATACCACGAAGGTCAATGGCCGAGCATCTGCTCAATCTATGCAGTTGACGAAGGTAGATGAACTGGCGATCGATATTGGTGATAGCGCACCCTCACCCACCGTCAGTACTCGAAGAGTGCCATCCGTTAGCAAACGAAGTACCCCTCTCGCGCCCAAGGCCGGAAATTTGCAGGCAGTCCCTGCGGCGCATCGCTCGAGGAATGATGAAAGCCATAAACAAAGTAAAGCGTCTGATGTCAAAAGCCATAGAAGAACACACTCTGACTCGCCATCTACCGTACCTCGCGCCTCGACGGACGCCAACGCTAGGCCGACCAGTCCTGACGTAATAGAGGAGGCCGTTGAGGCATATGTGACGGCGTCTAGACTTACACAAAAAGTGCATCATCCGCAGACTGGTCGGGTTATCGCCTTCTCCGAAGTGGGAGACCCCAACGGCCATGTTGTATTCTGCTGTGTAGGTATGGGGCTAACCCGATATCTCACGGCATTTTATGATGAGTTGGCTCGGACACTCAAACTTCGGCTTATAACCCCCGATCGACCTGGAGTTGGAGAAAGTGACCCTTGCCTGGATGGCACGGGGACTCCCTTGAACTGGCCTGGTATGTGATCATTCTCGTCAACATCTTGTCCGCGACATTGTACTCGGTTTAGTCCTAGTTCATGCTAACTTAATCACAGACGACCTTGCTGTTATATGCAAATATCTCAAAATATCAAAATTTTCCATGCTCGCACACTCCGCCGGTGCGATATACGCTTTGGCCACGGCGCTACGGATGCCTCAGCACATAAGAGGCCGCATCCATCTTCTCGCGCCATGGATACCGCCCTCTCAGATGTCCGGTATGGGTTCACACAAGGATCCGCTTCCGGCTAACGCACTTCCCTACTCTCAACGGCTTTTGCGCGCCTTGCCCACACCGATTCTGAAGGTTGCCAACTCTAGGTTCATGACTGCAACCAGCGCCAGCATTACGAGCAGCCTACCAAAGAGTTCACGAAAACCGAAGCGCCGAAGTACCGTGGGAAAGGAGACGACACCCACACCGGGGGATCTTGGAGGCACCAATACCGCCAATGGTCAAGGCAGAACGTCGGCCACAACTCCGCGAAAACACCCTCCCCTCCCATCCCAAGAAGCAACACCCGCTGTCGCTTCTAGCGCATCTAGCTTCGTTGCTGGCCCCGCCGCCGACGCGGATTCTAAATCAGAGCAGGAACGGCAGTCTGAGTACGACAATCGCTTAACGCATGCGATTTGGGAGCTTGCCACCAGTAGTGCTAACCCTGCCGTGGATTTATTGATCTGCCTAGAACGCCGGCGAGCTATTGGCTTTCGATATGTCGACATTAATCGCGCCGTCGTCATTCACCATGGCTCCCGAGACACACGAGTCCCCGTTGACAATGTGCGATGGCTGGGAAAGACAATGCGGCGATGTGAAGTCCGAGTGCTTGAGGGAGAAGGCCACGGACTAATGGCATCCGCAACCGTTATGGGCAATGTGCTAATGGAGGTTGCAAAAGAGTGGGAAGACTGGACGATTGTTGTGCAAGGGCGGAGAGACGGAGCGAAGCCAGCAGTCGCTGTGCAGTAGCTTATATTGCAACGGAGAGTCCTCGGCCATCTAACTCCTCTTCTATGCCTTTGGTTTCACAGCCTGTCCATCTCCAACTGCATTGCCACCATTGTTTGGCTAACTAACTACCTGTGCTCTTCTTGTGTTTTAGTACTTCTTTTTTTCCACCATGCCTATGAGCTTGACCCTACGTTTTGACCAAAGGTTCCTTTTACATTGACGTACATATACCAATAATCCTTAAATGTATATCATTCATATATTTATATTTTTTATGATTCAAAACTCACTTAGCGTTTTCACCTGGTATAATTCTATCTGACGCTAAATATATGGTAGCTATCGAGATTTCGGGTTGTAAACGGCCTCCAGTCTAACTATGATAGACAGGCGGTAGCAATAACGCAGGCAACCTCCTTCAAGATATTCTCGCCTTAGGAAGTTAGAATCGCCCAATGCTGGTGACGTAAACCAGATTTCACAGGAATCAGGGGCAAACACGAAGTTAACTAGCGTCTCACGACATATCAAAAATCCAGCTCATCAAACGTCATGAAGAAACAGACCTAGCTCCACGCAAACCTCGCAGTTTATACCATCAGCAGTTCATCCGCGCATAAGGGTTGTAAAAACATACATCCAGCCTATGATCGTATTGGCCTAACGATGCTTTCTCCGCGCCGTCTTCGAGTGTTTTTCATCTCTGCACTGGTGCTCGTCTGTTTCATACTATATTTCACCGTACGTCTAAATTCCACGATCCATAACATCTAGTACATGTTTGGCTTGGTCAATTGGCCGATGGATGCTGCCACCTATTCTTTAATCATCTGGTATTCCACTTGTTGGTGGACTCTGATCTAATCTACTCGAGTACTGTAGGGGAATGTTCGGCATGCACAAGCCGTAAGAGCTGCCTCGCAGCCAGGAGCAGTAAAGCTCAAAGGGCCTGGAGAGCATGGCAACGAGAACGATGGCAGTATCTTTGAGAAGCTGAAGCCAGGGTCACTGCGGCCAGGCGACCGACAGCCCTTGGATAAAGTAGCCGCGACAATACACAACGCCGACGCTGTGCAGCCAACGTCGACTCCAGGCCAAAAGGAACAGCAGAACGCAAACAGCGAGGATGAGACGGTGAAGGAGGAGATGAACTCGATCTTGAAGAAATCTCCAGGTAAGCTTCCATCTCAGGCAAGCCAGGTCATACATATATCTACAAACAAGCCTACTGCCTAAATATACTTCCGTCTAATGCAAGTACTAATGATGTGGCATGATCCAGTCATTATATTTTCAAAGTCATACTGTCCGTACAGTAAGAAGGCGAAGTTCTTCCTGCTTGAGAAATATGACATTGTTCCTAGCCCGTTCGTCGTGGAGCTGGACGAGCATCCGCTCGGCAAAAAGCTACAGGCGTTGCTTGGAACAAACACTGGGCGGAGAACCGTCCCCAACGTCCTCGTCAATGGCAAGTCCATAGGCGGAGGAGATGAGATAGAAACATTATATGCATCTGGCGAGCTGGGGGGGAAACTCCAGGCCCTTGGTGGGAAACGGGTGACGGCAGGCCCGCGGAAAGAAGGGGGCCCAGAACCTTAGAGCATTCCTTACATCGTCCACGCTGCATCTGTATATATTGTTATTCTGTGTACTATTAATCCTTATACCGGCCGTCCTTCATCTCTTCCCTACCACTCTGCGAGCCTTTTGATGTCTTCGTCGTCCTTCGAGAATGTCCCAAAACGGAATGTCACGTGAGATATGTTAGTAAGATCACGCTAGTCCGTAAGTGGACCTAAGCGACACACACAATTTGGCGGCGACAAATTTACTGATCAAACTAAGACTGGAACTTGAACTTCGTGGAGGAGAAGCGCAACACCACGACAACCATTTCATTTCTTCCGTTTCCCCCTCGGTCAACCTCACAGGCGGAGTCAAGATGCTCTACATACACTCCCAGGAGTCTCTGCAGATCCCAGAGAATGGTAAGCCTTGTCCTGGTGCGGCAGCCGTCGCGTTTCTGGCTATAGCAGCAGAGGACGACGCAGCTGGAAGCCACTCGGCATACTTGCAATGAAATATAGGCAGAGCGATGCCGCAAGCTTAATTTGTCTGCCGGGATTGCCTTGCTGACGAGATGTTTTTCGATATATAGTGAACTTGCACATTCGATCCAGGGTCGTGACGGTCGAGGGACCTCGAGGTACGGTCCAATATTCACCCTCCTACACCCCTCATATACTCTCAACAATTATCACAATGAGTGCAAATCAGCAGTAGCTTGATGTTGTATACTGGCCAATTGCACCGGCATGCGCTCACACCTTTCAAATTGCAGGAAAATTGGTCAAGGACCTCTCCCACCTTGCCGTCTGCTTCAGTCGCCCAAAGAAAGACACTATCGCTATCGAGGTTCACCATGGAGGACGCAAGGCCGTTGCCACTCTCCGCACCGTCAGGACCATCATCAACAACCTTATCATTGGCGTCACCCGTGGCTTCAAGTACAAGATGCGCTACGTCTATGCCCATTTCCCCATCAACGTGAACATCGAGACCAGCAAGGAAAGTGGCGCCGTTGAACTTGAGATCCGGTACGTTATACATCAATCCCAGACGTTTGACTCCAGGACACCTCCATTCGATGGCGAAAGAGAGTTCGGGGTTCCTGGAAGGAGTCAAGTTGCTTGATGGATAACTCGGAATGCTAATACCTTGTCTAGTAACTTCCTCGGTGAGAAGGTTGTTCGTCGCATTGTCTGCCAGAAGGGAGTTGAGGTTGTTGCTTCCGCCAACGTCAAGGACGAGATCGTTTTGTCCGGTAACTCGATAGAGGGTGTATCACAGAGTGCTGCCGACATACAACAGATTTGCCGTGTTAGAAATAAGGATATCCGCAAGGTGAGCACCCTTATTCGGTACATTATCTGCCAAGCTGCATACGCTAATACAAAGCTATTCTAGTTCCTTGACGGCATATACGTCTCTGAGAAGGGGAACATCGTGGAAGAGTAATCAATTTTACCAAAATTTCCTGCTCTGTTGAGATTGGGGGAGCGTCAAAACCGTCGATAGCATGTTACTCTGCCAAACGATAATGAACACTTTCTACTTACCACGTACTCTCCCGTGGAGAAGTCACTTCTTTCAACTGTAGACGTTTAGTCTCTCTCTCGGCTTACTCGCTCAGAAGGCACTGGAAGCAATAAGATTGGCGTCCTCTTTCGAATGCAGGCTGAAGTACGGTCGTTTTGATCAGTCAGTCTGTATATACTCATAGATGAAAGCCTATTAATTAGTGTTCAGTGGAGAGGTGCCGTTGGCCTAGTCAATAGCAATTTCGTGGCTAAAAAAGAGATCCATTTTAACCTTGCTTCCATGTAGCTAGATGTTGATACTTATCAGGGATTCCTCTTCTGTGTCTCCAGTTTATCATGGCCCCCTCTTGGCTAGTAAGAAGTTAGCCTTGTGCGCCGCAATGAACGACGTCTATGATTCCATCATGCATGTTCTTAGTGCTATATCCCAAGTGTCATAGGCCTTGTCTAGCCTAACATTGCCCTCGCTTTATCAGGCTGCCCCTCCTTGGTAATCTCCGCCCTACCTATGCTTTACTGTCTACGGGCATATATAGAAATTGATCTTGTACACTGCTCCTATACGAGTAACCAAAGGTTTTTCAAAATTAAGCTTTAGGTGGTGATATATCGAGGATCAAACTATAAAGTTATCCATGCAGCAAACCACAACTCTGAGGTTTTGAATCTATAGTAAAACGCCACCACTTACAACCAGGTCGAAGCACTCCGTAGTTAATGCAGGGTAAAAATTCCTGAACATCATCCAAATACTCTAAGGTAGCTACATTTGTACACACCAAAGATAATTCAAAGCACGATCTATGTATCTCAAAATGCTTCAATATTCTGTAAATTTTTTTCTCGGTCTATAAATATCATATCATATGGCCCGTGCATCTGATTAACTAATGTCACGTGGATGTCATTAGCGCTTATCTAATCGAAGCGCGAAATGGAAGATATCATCATCGATTGAAGGAAGAGGAAGAAGACAGATGACCTTTTCGAGTGAGCGTTTGAGTGCGAAGACATCATAAGACTAGCACCATAGTATTTGATTTTGTTTGCGCTTGCTTATATTTATACTTAATTTATATCACAGCCGACTCTCCTTACTTTTTGCGCCTCCGCGGCCTCCCGATATTTCTCACGTCGCATCCTGGATGCGATACTCGCTGCTCTAGCTGACATTCAGCATCCATACGCCTAATCCTTGGCCAGTCATTAGTCCTCCGCGAACCTCTATCTAGGGGCCCTTTATAGATCCGAATACATTGCTCTGTGGTCGCAGCCTGCCGCGTGCCATGTCTTCGCAAGCTGCATTAATAGACGAGACCATCGTCGGGTTGAAAAGGGCCCTGCTGCGGCGTACCTCAGGTCACTACTCCTATACCATACCATTAGTCTTGAAACCCCCACTAACACAATTCTATTAATCCAGATGCCGCTTATGACGATGCAATCAACCAACCCTCCAATCGTGGGAATAAGACCAAGCTGAATGCCGAATTCGTTCGAGAGGGTGCTCTAGGGTACATGAACCACGAGCAATTTTATAGGAAGGTAAGCTACGTATATGTGAAACACGGTGGTTTGATGCTCTACAGCGAGTGCTAACTCGATATTTTGCATAGCAAGCTGAACATTCGGGGTACAAACGTGATATCTTAGAGACCAACCCACCACGTTACGATGCCGAAGGAGATGAATTAGATTTTGATGACTCTGATGCGATCGCCGATGCTGACGCGGCAGAGGATAACCCATTTGCAGCAACTCACCTAGACGGTAAAGCTCTTTCACGAATTATAATAGATGTGCGGCATGTTTTATTGCTACGTTGGCTAACCATTTATTTTAGATCTACTATCTCCATTAACACACCCGTCTGAGCTTGCCAATCACTCGATGGCCAATGCCTACACTAATAAAGCGATTACGATAATGATCGAACGGATCAATCGCCGCCTCCGTTTGGAACGACATGCACTCTGGCAGGCAAAAAACGTTTACAGACAACTTGTGACAGACTCCATATGGATGCCATGTGGTGCAGTAGAACTAGAAGAAGACCGAGACATTTTTGGGCCGCCACCCAGTGCGATTGGCCTTGCCTCAACTTCTCCAGCGAATGGAGCCTCGACTTCACGGCCTGTAATAGGTCATCAGGAAGGCACACTATCTGTCCCCAAACCAATGGGCGAAGGCGTAGCTTCACCTACCCAAAACGTTACCTGTACAAAAACTGAACAGCAAGGAGTGAAGAACGGGAACGCTATCGCGAAGGAAAACAATAAAACAAGGGTGAATGGTAGTTTATCTCAGGCCTCACATGGGCCCTTAAGTCCACCGCAGGGCCCTCACGAAGGCACTCCGATGGACTTGACAGATAGACATGAGCAAGGTATCGCCGATCAAGAAGGATTCAAAGCTGGTCATAAAGATGGATCAGCTAGCGGTCAGTGGGACGATGGCCAATCTACAACAACTTTGCAGCGAGAATCATCGCCAGGGGAGGGAGAAGCTGCAGACGATGGATCCCCTCATCCACCTCGCCGAATGACGACGAGGGCACAGGCGAGTCAGGCTATGAGCGCACAAGAGCAGAAAGATGACGGGCAATTACCACTAAATCAATCCACAAACAATGGAGATGGACATCATATTCCCTTGGAGGTTGATCCTGTATTCAGGTTGCCACGAATAGCACGAGATGATAGGAACTGTGGTTTATCTCAGAACGAAGCTGATGAAACACGCCGTATGCTATGGGCATACATCCAAAAACAAGGAGAAAGTGTACGACTATTTACCGAAATGCTTGAAATGCTTCGGAAGTCTCGGCGGATGAAAGAAGAGGTGTGGGAATGGTGTAAAGCGGAGGCACATATAGGGGAGATGAGTGATGGAGAAGATTGGTATGACAAAGACCGATGGGGGCTAGCGGAGGGCGAGGACCTGAGAAAAGGCGCTGATGAGGAGGAGACAGAAGGAGTAGAGGAGGGAAGGCCAGCAGGCAAACGAGGCAGAGGCCGTAGAGCCTGAAGAACCAAAGCCTCTGGCATGTATTTAAGCCAAATAATGAATCGCCATCTAGAGTGTGCCCATATTTACCCTAGTTTCCTGTCTTGTTACCAGCGCGAGGAGTTTCCTTTTAGGCTCATGTACTCCGTATGGATAGTATGATTAGAAAGTTTGGTAGTGAAAATCAGGAACAAGTGCATATTCTAGTAAATGAGCCCTGGTGTGATATATCTATATACAAGGCGCTGAAATTTAAGTATGAAAGTGTCAGAGCTTGCGTTTAAGCAACCAGGGAATACGGCACTCCCTGAGGTAACCATGAGGTACAATTACAGTGACAACCAAGGATGAGTGTTCATATCAGAGCCATCCAGGTTTGCCACACAACAATATCAATCATCTCGGGAGATATAAAAAATCCGCCATGCGAGTGAGCAGGCCCCCATGGCGGTAACGGTATACACTCAATAAGACTAGCTGCCGATGAGAGTCGACCAAGTGGTCTACATACCGGCTCAAAGCTGACCAGGTAAAGCGCTCAACATACGCCGATGCATCCATGGCATGCTTGGTTTGGCAGTTCTTGGGGAGGGGGGTAACTGTTTAAGCTGCCTTACCATCCTTTTTTGACGCAGCTCTTTCTCTGTCGCGTTTACTGTAGATCTCAACAGTGAAGGGTCTATAAAAGAAGGATAGAGCATTAGTCAATTCCGTAAGGTAATAGGGCATTGCGGTATACGACCGCGGGGATTCGAAACATACTCTTCCCATAAGCAAGCAATCTTGTAGCAGATATAGACCTCAGCGGTCAGCAGTAGGCCAGCTGGCTTTCCATGGTACAAGGTGACTGCGAGAAAGCTCAGGGTGCTGCCCCAATACATCGGGGCACTGGTGACGTTGAAAGGGAAGCCAGTAACTGGCGCGTCCATGAGGATGCCAAAATAGTCACCAAGATAAGTGCCCGTGATACCAAGAGCCCACATGCTAGACAGGACAAGGACATTTCCAGCGGCAAAGAGGCCGTAGGCAAGATACGGTTGATGAATAGCTGCGAAGTAAGGCTGGTTCCTAAGGGCGTCATTGTAGAGATGATCGCGGATGATTCCGAGCGAGAAGATGGTGACGGCTAGAAAGTAACAGCCATTGTATTTGTTCCCGAAGATTTTGGTCAGGAAATGATTGTTGTATTCTATCAGCCACGGGATATTAGGACCTTGCTCGACTGCAGTACTGCGAGGTCGGTTTCAGATGGAGGGGTAGATATAAATAACGGACCTTGACGGGCAACAATACTGCAATGGTTAGCACATGTATTGTTCAATAGCCATGTCAGAGACAATAAACTGTATGTACTCACTTCCAAAAGAGCGGATTGAATGCAATTGTCACAGCAGACACTTGTATGTTACGCCGTTAGCTGCTTGATGTCAAGTATATAATGTCGAGTCAAGTAGAATGAGTATAGGCAAACTTACAGGCGAGACTTTGCTGTGAAAGATCAATATACTGTGAGAGAGACATGTCGAACACCAGGCTTGAAATAAGAATCAATTTAAAGCAAGATAGCAAGCAAGTGACGAAGTCGCGGGAAGCTCGAAGGTGTAAACAAATGTTGAAGGTAATAAAAGAAAGAAAGAAACAGTTTCCTACTTACTGTGGTGCATATGACAATCTCGATAACAACACGTGACCTTATCACGTGGGTCCTTAGGTATTCCATGTTAGGACTAGGGGGATCGGGCGGAATGATCGAGCCTTAGACTGCAGCTCTACGGAGGTAATATAGCAATAAATAAAGGAACTACTAAATAATACATATAATTACTTTTAATTTAATAATTAATCTTTATAAAATAACTAAAATAGTAACCTCTTTTATATAGTTATTTCTTTATTAACTCTTTAATTAAATATTAATATTTTTTTAATTAATAATTAATTTTTAATTATCTTTAACTAAAAATCGATATTCTTTAACTAATAATTAATTCATTAATCGAAATTTGATGAGTAAAATACTTATCGCCTTTTTCTGCCAGCCAATAAAAGGAGAGAAATAAATGCAGAACGACAACAAATACGCGGCAGAATAATTACAAAGCGTACATTATTGATTTATTCTCCAACGTTGACATCAACAATTTCAACTGCGTCAACTTTTCACTGCGAACGACACCATGACTACACTAAGTGAGATCAAATACTTGCGCCAGGACTGCATCGCCGTAGTCCGTGACTACTACCAGTTTCTAACCACGATGTATCTTAACAAAGACATTGTTCTTGAGCCACTAGAAGGAGGCTAACCATTAATTATGGACGAAGCCATGCTGGCTATTAGTAAGGATAAGATAGTTGCTTCTCTACTCCGCCATTTGCCTTATCTAGCTTCTTCTATATTATTGGGAATAGAGAGTGAGCCTATCCTATTTGTCTACTTTGCTAATTAGGTATATAACTATACCTATATTAAGTCTGGTGGATTAATAGCTAAAGGAGATAGGGACACAACCCAAGGATTTAGAGATATAGAGAGGATATGATCTCATATCGTCGGTCTCACGTGTGGCGGACGGAATAATACTATAATACTCCTTAATACTAAGCTTGGCGTTATATTCTGGCCCAAATACCCTAAGGGTATAGTAGAGGACCCTTCTTAGGAGAAAGTTCTAGATAATCTATATAACTATACGCCCGAGAATAAAGCAGACTAGTGTATGAGTGGTGATCAATAGATAATTATAGACTTTTTTAAAGTATTTAAATCTTAGTTTTGTAAGCTATCCTTTATTCTACTTAATATATATATTATAATTAAGATCTATTCGGCTAAGTCACAAGAGGTTATTCTAATAGTATAGGAGATTTATTAAAAGTATAGCTGGCTAAATATAGAACTTTATAATAAGTAAAAGTGCCTAGCGTCAGTTGTTACAGACCATCTACGGCGTAGCCTAGATAAGTACGCTCATTGGATAACAAGATTCCGGAACGGAATAACTATTAGGATCACGTGACTAGCAGTCCAACGTGCCGAGGCCAGGACCAGTCCAAGGGATGGACTCCAACTATAGTCTAAGTATTGGACTAGGAATATAGTCTAAAGGATGGACTCTAACTGCAGTCCAAGTGATAGACTAAAGGAAAGCTAGTGATATAGACTTTCAGGGAATATATATAAGGACGCTTATTTCTATAGGATTAAGAGTCTTATACTCGCGATTAAACTAGCTACAGTTTTACTATACTGCTTAATACAAAGCACTATTCTAGTTATCTTATACTATATTCACTAAATACCCCTTTGCCCATTAACGCAGGTTAACTTTGTCTTTACTGCTTATAAGGACCTTTAGCCTTTATCTAACCCAGGCACTGACTGAAGCCACACTTAGAACTGAGGGATAGTCTTACTATAGTATTCTATCTCACCTTGGTACCGAGCCGTCTCCTATAATAACTTACTTCTAACCTAAGCTTTCCCTAAGACCTTCGTACCTTCTATCTTACGGCAGATATGAACCTCTAATCACCTTTAGGTAATCAAGGAGCGCCGTCAGCTTGTGACATCAGTGCGGGCGAAGTTGGAGGACAAGTTCCCCGATTGTGCGCATATTGATAGTTAGGCAATCGATATTGAACCACGGGATATATAAACCAGCCTATTAGTTATATATTCTCGAGTTTTATATATATAGTTCAGAATCTATGCTTCCGCTCGCTTGGACCCTGTCTAATCTATCTATATCTTCTATATCATAAGCTGACGGCGCTTCTTGATTACCTAAAGGTGATTAGAGGTTCACATCTGCTATAAGATAGAAGGTACAAAGGTCTTAAGGAAAGCTTAGATTAAAGGTGAGTTATTATAGGAGATAGCTTAATATTAGGGTAAGATAGGATACTATAATAAGACTATCTTTTAGTTCTAAGTATAGCTTTAGTTAGTGCCTTAATTAAATAAAGGTTAAAGATCTTTATAAGTAATAAAGATAATATTAATCTATATTAATAGATAAAAGATATTTAGTAAATATAGTATAAGATAACTAGAATAGTATTTTATATTAAATAGTATAGTAAAACTATAGCTAGTTTAATTATAAATATAAGACTCTTAATCCTAAGGTAATAAGTATTTTTATATATATTTTATATATTAGTTATACTAGCTATATTAGCTATACTATCTAATATATTTAGGCTAGTATAGCTATTATAAATCGTTTGCGGCGTAGTCTCAAACTATATACTTATTAAATAAAGTAACTAAAATAAAAGAATCTATTGTTAATTAGCTCACTAGCTCAAATATCTATAAATAATAAAATAATAAAAAGAGTAAGTACTAGCTATACTAGCCTAAATATATTAAATAGTATAGCTAATATAGCTAGTATAACTAATATATAAAATATATATAAAAATACTTATTACTTTAGAATTAAAAGTTTTATACTTATAATTAAACTAACTATAGTTTTACTATACTATTTAATATAAAGTACTATTCTAGTTATTTTATACTATATTTATTAAATACCTTTTTATCTATTAATATAGATTAATATTATCTTTATTACTTATAAAGACCTTTAGCCTTTATCTAACTAAGGTACTAACTAAAGCTATATTTAGAACTAAGAGATAGCCTTACTATAGTATTCTATTTTACCTTAGTACTAAGCTATTTCTTATAATAATTTACTTTTAACCTAAACTATCCCTAAAACCTTTATACTTTCTATTTTATAGTAGATATAAACCTCTAATTACCTTTAAGTAATTAGGAAATACTATTAGTTTATAATATTAATTATTTTAACTTTATAGTTATAAAGAGGTAAAAGTAATTTTAACTTATTAAAGTTACTATACTATTATAAATACTTTAACCTAAGTAATTTATAATTATATATTAAGAAGAATAAAACTAGATATATATTACTTTATCTTTAAAAGTATATGAACTATAAGAATATATCTAAAAGCTAGAAATAAGATAAGTTAATATATTATTAGTAGGTAGACTAATTACTAATATTAATACTCTATTTATATAAATAAAAGAAAAAATCATTAAATTAAAAAAAAGAATTAAAGATTAATCTAATAATAAGTAATTAATTAAAATTAATAAATATAAAAGAATAATAAAAACTATTTAAAGATTATAGAGATACTATTAAATAAACTATAGTATAAATTAAAGGATATAAACTCAATATTAATATACTTAAAGTAAAAATTAGAAATAAAAAAACTACTATTAAAATCTATAAACCTAATATCTATAAAAGAGATTATACTAAACTAGAATACTTTTTAGAAGAATATAATATCTACTTAGTAACTAAACTAAAAGTTACTAATACTAAGAAAGTTATTTTTATAGGATTTTATATATAAGAAATAGTAATAATATAGTTTAAGCTATATCTTAAGGATTAGACTAATATAAGAGGATAATCTATATTATATATAGATATACTTAATAATTATATATAATTTAAATAAATATTTAGATAATTCTTTAAAAATATTAATAGAAAGAGGACTCTATAATATAAGCTATAGAGACTTAGATAAACTAGAGATATAGTATAATATATAGTATAACTATAATAGATCTATTAAGAACTAAGAATTAATAATAAAAAATAAAAAATAGCTATATTTAAATAAAGACTTAAATTAAAAAACTAATATAAAACTATTAAAATAGAACTATATAATAATTTTAAATAAATAGTTAAAATAGTAGTATATATTAATAATTAACTTTATAATCTATAAAATATATAATAAAGAAAAAATATTTTCTAGATAGAAAATTAATATAAAGGATTAAATAAATATAATAATTATAGTATTATATCTATAGAATTAGACACTACTAAAAAATAACTTTATAATACTAAAAAGAGTAAGAGATATAGAGATACAAAGTTATATTTCTATTATAAAAAATCTAGCTATATTATAAAAGACTATAGAAAGAAATAAGGGGATACTAAGAAATACCTTAATATTACTACTATATTTAAAATTAGTAACTATAAAAAAAAGTAAGGTAGGGGAGGCTACTAAGATTTATAAAATATTAAATAATACCTTAAAGTAATAAGGAAGATTATCTATCTATAGCGACTAAAAAATAAATTTAATAATATATATAAGTAAGTACCTAATATATAATAATAATAAAATTAGTAGAGATAAAATAAATAAATTAAATAGAAAGAATAACCAATATTAGTATAATAAAATATAATAATAGGATAATAAATATATAATTTAATAATAAGCCTAAATTAAGAAATTAGGATACTTAAACAAATAGACTTAGAAGAAGAGACTAAATTAAAATATAAAGATATATAGGAAGTAAATAACTAAAAAAGTAAAATACTATAAATTATATTTAAAGATAGTTATAAACTACTATAAGAATAAAGAGGGAAATATAATAATTAGATATCTAATAAATACTAAATAATATATAAAGGGAAAGGACT